GGAGCAAATTCTGGAACAAAAAATGTGGGACGAATTGGGGAGTGACATTTTGAATGTGGGACGAATTGGGGAGGGGACATTTTAGTTCGAATTTTTCGAGGAAAATCTCAAATTTTCGAACTAAATTTTTTAGTTCGAATTTTTCGAGGAAAATCTCAAATTTTCGAACTAAATTTTTGGTTGTCATTTGGGTCATGTTCAGTTCGGTCAGTGTCATTTGATCATTTGTCAGTTCGTCAGGGTCATTTGGGTCAAAGAAGGGTCAAATCAAAGGCCTAATCAACGTCTAAGGAAGCCTATGCCTAGTGCCCTACTGTCTACACCTATTGAATAAGAACCCGTGCCTTTGGATATAACTCGGAGGTATGAAAGCCTGAACCTATGGAGAGAATATTTTTTAGAAGGGGGGTCGGTCAGTTCATTGCGGGATTTTCAGTGTGGGCCATTTTTGGAAGTGACATTTTGTCTGTGGGACGAATTGGGGAGTGACATTTTGTTTGGGACGAATTGGGGAGTGATGTTTTGTCTGTGGGACGAACTGGTGAGTGACATTTTGTCTTTGGGACGAATTGGGGAGTGACGTTTTGTCTGGGACGAATTGGGGAGTGACGTTTTGTCTGGGACGATTTGGGAAGTACATTTGGGTCAGACTTGGATGTGGGGAAGAAAGGTGGGTCTTATAAAATAGGTATGGACAGTAGAGCACCATGTTGGACCCGGGGGAGCAGTAGAGTACCGAGTCGGGGCCGAGGGAACCCGTAGAGTCGGTCCAGGAGAAGTTGTAGACGAGTGGCAGGCACAGTTGAAGTTGTAGACGTCTGGCAGGAGCAGTTGAAGTTGTAGATGGCTGGTAGAAGTCGTTGAAGTTGTAGACGGGCCGATGAAGTGCAGGAAGGGGGGGGGGGGGGGTTCTAGGTCGAATCTAAGGTCTAAGTGCCCTACTGTCTACACCTATTGAATAAGAACCCGTGCCTTTGGATATAACTCGGAGGTATGAAAGCCTGGACCTATGGAAAGGATTCTTTAAAAAAGGGGGGTCGGTCAGTTCAGTGCGGGATTTTCAGTGTCGGTCATTTTGGTGCCGGGTTTTCAGAGTTTGTTCCAGAAATGGAGCAAATTCTGGAACAAAACGTTTTTGGGGTTTGTTCCAGAAATGGAGCAAATTCTGGAACAAAAAAATGTGGGACGAATTGGGGTGTGACGTTTTGTCTTTGGGACGAATTGGGGTGTGACGTTTTGTCGGTGGGACGAATTGAGGAGTGACAGCTTGTCTGGGACAAATTGGGGGCATTTGGAGTTTGTTCCAGAAATGGAGCAAATTCTGGAACAAAACGTTTTTGGGGTTTGTTCCAGAAATGGAGCAAATTCTGGAACAAAAAATGTGGGACGAATTGGGGAGTGACATTTTGAATGTGGGACGAATTGGGGAGGGGACATTTTAGTTCGAATTTTTCGAGGAAAATCTCAAATTTTCGAACTAAATTTTTTAGTTCGAATTTTTCGAGGAAAATCTCAAATTTTCGAACTAAATTTTTGGTTGTCATTTGGGTCATGTTCAGTTCGGTCAGTGTCATTTGATCATTTGTCAGTTCGTCAGGGTCATTTGGGTCAAAGAAGGGTCAAATCAAAGGCCTAATCAACGTCTAAGGAAGCCTATGCCTAGTGCCCTACTGTCTACACCTATTGAATAAGAACCCGTGCCTTTGGATATAACTCGGAGGTATGAAAGCCTGAACCTATGGAGAGAATATTTTTTAGAAGGGGGGTCGGTCAGTTCATTGCGGGATTTTCAGTGTGGGCCATTTTTGGAAGTGACATTTTGTCTGTGGGACGAATTGGGGAGTGACATTTTGTTTGGGACGAATTGGGGAGTGATGTTTTGTCTGTGGGACGAACTGGTGAGTGACATTTTGTCTTTGGGACGAATTGGGGAGTGACGTTTTGTCTGGGACGAATTGGGGAGTGACGTTTTGTCTGGGACGATTTGGGAAGTACATTTGGGTCAGACTTGGATGTGGGGAAGAAAGGTGGGTCTTATAAAATAGGTATGGACAGTAGAGCACCATGTTGGACCCGGGGGAGCAGTAGAGTACCGAGTCGGGGCCGAGGGAACCCGTAGAGTCGGTCCAGGAGAAGTTGTAGACGAGTGGCAGGCACAGTTGAAGTTGTAGACGTCTGGCAGGAGCAGTTGAAGTTGTAGATGGCTGGTAGAAGTCGTTGAAGTTGTAGACGGGCCGATGAAGTGCAGGAAGGGGGGGGGGGGGGTTCTAGGTCGAATCTAAGGTCTAAGTGCCCTACTGTCTACACCTATTGAATAAGAACCCGTGCCTTTGGATATAACTCGGAGGTATGAAAGCCTGGACCTATGGAAAGGATTCTTTAAAAAAGGGGGGTCGGTCAGTTCAGTGCGGGATTTTCAGTGTCGGTCATTTTGGTGCCGGGTTTTCAGAGTTTGTTCCAGAAATGGAGCAAATTCTGGAACAAAACGTTTTTGGGGTTTGTTCCAGAAATGGAGCAAATTCTGGAACAAAAAAATGTGGGACGAATTGGGGTGTGACGTTTTGTCTTTGGGACGAATTGGGGTGTGACGTTTTGTCGGTGGGACGAATTGAGGAGTGACAGCTTGTCTGGGACAAATTGGGGGCATTTGGAGTTTGTTCCAGAAATGGAGCAAATTCTGGAACAAAACGTTTTTGGGGTTTGTTCCAGAAATGGAGCAAATTCTGGAACAAAAAATGTGGGACGAATTGGGGAGTGACATTTTGAATGTGGGACGAATTGGGGAGGGGACATTTTAGTTCGAATTTTTCGAGGAAAATCTCAAATTTTCGAACTAAATTTTTTAGTTCGAATTTTTCGAGGAAAATCTCAAATTTTCGAACTAAATTTTTGGTTGTCATTTGGGTCATGTTCAGTTCGGTCAGTGTCATTTGATCATTTGTCAGTTCGTCAGGGTCATTTGGGTCAAAGAAGGGTCAAATCAAAGGCCTAATCAACGTCTAAGGAAGCCTATGCCTAGTGCCCTACTGTCTACACCTATTGAATAAGAACCCGTGCCTTTGGATATAACTCGGAGGTATGAAAGCCTGAACCTATGGAGAGAATATTTTTTAGAAGGGGGGTCGGTCAGTTCATTGCGGGATTTTCAGTGTGGGCCATTTTTGGAAGTGACATTTTGTCTGTGGGACGAATTGGGGAGTGACATTTTGTTTGGGACGAATTGGGGAGTGATGTTTTGTCTGTGGGACGAACTGGTGAGTGACATTTTGTCTTTGGGACGAATTGGGGAGTGACGTTTTGTCTGGGACGAATTGGGGAGTGACGTTTTGTCTGGGACGATTTGGGAAGTACATTTGGGTCAGACTTGGATGTGGGGAAGAAAGGTGGGTCTTATAAAATAGGTATGGACAGTAGAGCACCATGTTGGACCCGGGGGAGCAGTAGAGTACCGAGTCGGGGCCGAGGGAACCCGTAGAGTCGGTCCAGGAGAAGTTGTAGACGAGTGGCAGGCACAGTTGAAGTTGTAGACGTCTGGCAGGAGCAGTTGAAGTTGTAGATGGCTGGTAGAAGTCGTTGAAGTTGTAGACGGGCCGATGAAGTGCAGGAAGGGGGGGGGGGGGTTCTAGGTCGAATCTAAGGTCTAAGTGCCCTACTGTCTACACCTATTGAATAAGAACCCGTGCCTTTGGATATAACTCGGAGGTATGAAAGCCTGGACCTATGGAAAGGATTCTTTAAAAAAGGGGGGTCGGTCAGTTCAGTGCGGGATTTTCAGTGTCGGTCATTTTGGTGCCGGGTTTTCAGAGTTTGTTCCAGAAATGGAGCAAATTCTGGAACAAAACGTTTTTGGGGTTTGTTCCAGAAATGGAGCAAATTCTGGAACAAAAAAATGTGGGACGAATTGGGGTGTGACGTTTTGTCTTTGGGACGAATTGGGGTGTGACGTTTTGTCGGTGGGACGAATTGAGGAGTGACAGCTTGTCTGGGACAAATTGGGGGCATTTGGAGTTTGTTCCAGAAATGGAGCAAATTCTGGAACAAAACGTTTTTGGGGTTTGTTCCAGAAATGGAGCAAATTCTGGAACAAAAAATGTGGGACGAATTGGGGAGTGACATTTTGAATGTGGGACGAATTGGGGAGGGGACATTTTAGTTCGAATTTTTCGAGGAAAATCTCAAATTTTCGAACTAAATTTTTTAGTTCGAATTTTTCGAGGAAAATCTCAAATTTTCGAACTAAATTTTTGGTTGTCATTTGGGTCATGTTCAGTTCGGTCAGTGTCATTTGATCATTTGTCAGTTCGTCAGGGTCATTTGGGTCAAAGAAGGGTCAAATCAAAGGCCTAATCAACGTCTAAGGAAGCCTATGCCTAGTGCCCTACTGTCTACACCTATTGAATAAGAACCCGTGCCTTTGGATATAACTGGCAGGTATGAAAGCTTGAACCGGGAGATTTTTGACAATTCGATAAAAGTGGTATTAAAAGTACCATCTGGAATTCATCTGGGAGTTTCGTTAAACATAAGTTCAGAATTTTGAAAAAAAGAGATCGTCAAGTTGGATTGCTTTTGGAGTGTAAGAGTGTCTGAAGCTCTCGGAGCTTGGAAAAGTTTGGTGTTGGGTAAACCCTTGGCGGTAGAGGGGGGACCCCTAACCCATTTTTAATCAACAAAAAAATAATGTGATAAAAAATACCACTTGTAATAAAAAGGCCTTTTTGCTTTCTTCTAAACGAATCCGCAAAAATCCTTTTTTTACAAGTGGCTTAATTGTGCTTTTCCGTTTTTCCATCTAAGAATTTTGCTGTCTTGATAACATTACATATGTACTTGAAAAAAATAAAACAAAATATATCGACGCAAACGGAAAAGCACTAAAAAATAATAAAAACATTTCAGTCAAATATCTTTTAGACCTTTAAATGTGGCGGAAGCATCTTTGCCACATTTTTAGCTTCTCTCATCTTTTCAATTCATCATCAATTTGTTGCAACCAATGCTCATTTTGAATACTTCCCACAAAAACGCTTGTCTTGCTGTAGCTGCAGATGTTTCAGACCTTCATCCACAAACGTACTAGCAGTGTTTGTTGTTGAAGCACACATCTGCATAATACCTTTAAAATAAAAATGCAAAATTTAAGAGGAAATTTTTTGAGGCCAACAGCATACCCAGAGTTAATCCCCAACGAAACACCTAATACACTCCCAAGCCTATCCAAATACAGTCAATCCCACCACAAAAACCGACCATCAGCATTGCTCCCAAACCACCCCAAGACATTCAATTAATGCCCCAGCTCATCTCTGCCTCCATCCCCCACCAAAACAGTCCGTCACATCCCCAAACAAAACATCTAATCCCTCAAACAAGAAAAACCATACCCAGAGACACTCAAGCAAATCCCCCAAAGCAAATCTTATAACTAGGGACAGCCAAAATATGCACGGAAAATCGCCAAATATGCGCATATATATGCACCGAAAAAGCCCAAAATATGCACCAAAATATGCAAAATTTGCCAATATATGCACTGAAATATGCACCAAAAAATAGTTAAAATATGCTTTAAAAGTCTATATTTTATGTTAAAAACATTAATTTAACCTTTAATTTTACATTTTGAGAGCAACTCTAAAAGATTTAGTGGATTTAAAATTTCTGCAAAAAAAATTTTTTTTTAATTTTTTCTAAAAAATTTTTCGAAAAATATTTTTTCAAAAAATTTTTGCAAAAAATTTTTTTGTCTAATAAATTTCAAAATTTTGGTCAATTTTTGGCAAAATTTTACAAAAAATGTCAAAATATGGACCAAAATATGCAAAATTTCCCAAAATATGCACAAATATGCAAATATGCGCGAAATGGTCGAAATATGCAAATATATGCATTAAGAACCGGGTCTTAAAGTGCTCGTACATATGTAAAAACACCATTTTTGGGCTTCCCACTTCAAGGCATATCCGCATACAAAACATGCATTTGCATGTTTTGGCTGTCCCTACTTATAACCCCAAAAAAATTTTTCATCGGCAAACCTGGTTCTTGAGATGATAGGCATATGATTCAAATTCATTACGTAATGTTACAGTTTCTTTAACACGTTTATCCTCCTCAGCAAACTTCTCTACTTCATTAACCATTCTTTCAATATCTAAAATTAAATTTATTTAAGTCTGGTAAAACCCTTGTAGGATGGAGCAATGGACGTTTCCAATTTTCGATTTTTTCTCAACATGACCGATCCTTATTGATTAGGACTGAACAAAAAACCCAATGGCCAACCTAATTTTAAAAACGTACAGCACCTTGGGGTTGAGTATAATCAACACCAATAAGAAGTATATTAAAAATAATATAGAGGAATTTTTAGTTTAAAAAATTAATCTTTTTTTTATCTTTTGCTCACCTAATATTATATTATTAAAAAATAATAAATTACAAAAAAAATATACAGTGCCGGAAAAAAAGATAGGACCAGACGCACACATTTTCCTTTCCTCAAATTTTCTTCAGAATTTTAGACTTTTAAGAGAAAAAATTTGATAGAAATTATCGATTAATCTATCCTCTATTAAATGAGTACTAATATTACCTTTTTGATTAATAATTAATTTTACAAAACAGTTCAAAACAAAAACTACTCAATTTTTGTGGTGGAAAAAAAGATAGGACCAGACTAGAAATATCGACTTTTGTTTGGTCAAAATTTCTATAAAAATTTTTATGAACATTTCCATCGATACTGAGTAGAAAATTAAAAAGAACGAAGTCTGTAACTTATTTCTTCATCGAGATCTCAAATCTCAAAAATCAACGGAAAATAGGGTTACAGTACTTCAGAAAATATTTTAGCCCCCTAGAGCTTAAATTAAAAATTTTATTTTATGCCTATCTGAAAGCCCATAAAATTTACTACAAAATAGTCCAAGTTTTTATCTTTCCAATAAGAACTCATGGAGATAGAGGTAAGGCAATTTTTTAAGTTATCATTTCTGGGGTATTTTGGGAGATTTTGAGAATTTTTAATGCATAATGGACTAGATTTAAACAGATATTTTTTTAGAAAAATTAATTTCCGGACTATTTTGTAGTAAATTTTATGGGCTTTCAGATAGGCATAAAATAAAATTTTTAATTTAAGCTCTAGGGGGCTAAAATATTTTCTGAAGTACTGTAACCCTATTTTCCGTTGATTTTTGAGATTTGAGATCTCGATGAAGAAATAAGTTACAGACTTCGTTTTTTTTAATTTTCTACTCAGTATCGATGGAAATGTTCATAAAAATTTTTATAGAAATTTTGACCAAACAAAAGTCGATATTTCTAGTCTGGTCCTATCTTTTTTTCCACCACAAAAATTGGGTAGTATCGGTTAAATTTTTTTGAAAAAAATTTTGTTGGTAAATTATCTTGATATTTATATTCATTTTAAAGAGCATTTAAAGAACTACAATTTTAGTGTTGAAACTTTTTTTCTAAAAGTTAATCGAAAAGAGATAGTAATCGATAAAAACTAATTTAACAGCCTCTGGTCCTATCTTTTTTTCCGGCACTGTATAAACCTGTTAAAACTAAGCAAAAAACCCTATCACCAAACACAAAAATTTAGAAGAATAGTAAAACCATCACCACGCAAATTTGTTTTAATTATTTTTTTGCTTTTGTTTTTCTAACCACCAAATAATATTTATTTTTTTGTCTTCACCCATCATCATCATTTACATATTTAGTTTCTCTTGTCCCTTCCATCTTCATTAAATTTTTCAATTTCTTCTCAAAAAAGTCTACAATTTCTTTTCGATTTTTTTCTTCTTCCAAATTTATCTTCATTTCTTCAAAACTTTTTTGTTGAGGAAACTCCACAAAATTTAAACCAAATTCACAACAAACTTGTTTAAGAAGCCAAGGAGAAAACAAATTTGAACAAAAATTGTCTTTTAAATTTGATGGGCCACCTTCTTCCGGCAGTTTTTCTTCGTTTTTATTTTCTAAAGTTTAAAAATGAATCCTTTTCCTCTTAAATTAAAAAATTTAAACCTTTCTCCTTTTGAAAAAAATATTAAATGACTCGGCCAATATCAAAAATTTCGTTTTCAATTTTATCATCATTAATCTCTTCAGAAGACATTTTAGACCAAGCACATTTTGTATTTTCATTGAAAACGAAAAAATCATTTTGAAGAGAAGACAACGATTGAATTGCTTGTTGTTTTTGTTGTTCTTCCAATTTAACATTTGAAAATAAAAGTAAACGGGTAAAATCAAAAACCTGAAAAAATAAAAAAAATTTTACTAAAATGTTACAAAAAAAGCTTGGCTATACCTTAGCCAGTTGACAGTTCCGAAAAAAATAAATCTTTCATCTTATCAAAAGAAACCTTTAGCCTTTCTTATATATTTAAATTTTTGACTCCTGAAAATGAGCTTGGTCCCCTATAGGCTGCGACCTTTAAAGGCCTGTATTTCGACCCAAAGAAAATTCCGGCATGAAAAATGGCCCCAGTTGACATCTTGACTAGACGAAGGCTACACAAAACGAAAGAGTTTGGACCGCCAACCGACCAAAGTAGGCCAAAAAAAGTAAATAAAAAACCTCCTCATCCCCGTCAATTCTTCCAATTTCGAAAAAATTTATTTCCGACTTTTCCTCACTTTTGAGACTTGCCAAAGCTTCAAACTCCAAAAATACATTTTGATTACAAATTACTTGTTTTCTCCATAATAAGTCCAATTTGTATATCCATCTTGTAGCTAACAGCAAAAGCATGACATAAAGCGTGAAGAGAAGAAAAACGAGCAGATTTTTCAGTTTTACATTGAACAATTGGATGAAGAGGTAGACAAATATCTACAAAAAAAATTAGCTAGAAATTGAATGTAAAAATAGTGTAGGAAAAATAACAACATCCCCAAAAGGAGTTGAACCTTTACCATATAAGGAGAAATGTTGTGGGGGGATTGGAAAATTGCCCAACAAAACCAAAAGAAACACAACATCCTAAATTGGAAGAAAAACGTCCTGACCTGTTAACTAGGGTTGCAGGCCCGGGTCGGTTCGAAAGATCGAACCGGGCCTCGAATTTTAGCCCAAAAAAGACTCGACAGGTCCGGCCGATAAAAATAATGCCTGAAAAAATGACTCGAACGTGGTCCGGTTCGAAAACGGCAACCCTACTGTTAACCCTAAAATCAATGGCTTTACATGAACTTAAATTTTTTTTTACAAAAAGGATCATGACAACAATAAATTAACCCTATTCCCTACAGTCTTCCCACAAGTCACTGCAAAAGGCAAGGAATAAATTTGGACGAATTGGAGGAATAGATGGTGCCTATGGTTCTCTCCAAAGGTGTAAAAATTATGGAGAAACAAAATAATAAAAATACCAAGGTACGGAAGAAGAAACTCCTCCTTCGCAGTACCAAAAGAATGGAAGAGAACAACAATTGAAGGAATTACATTTGTTTGCCTAAGACAGTCAAGCAGCGAAAACAACGATGTAAGGAATGAACGAGTCTTTGAGGCGAATGAGTGAGATTTTAGGCTTTGTTGTTTTCCACGTCAGCAATGTTACTTTCCTCGTCTATTATGACAAAAACTGAGCGAATCTGTAAAAATATTTAAAGAATGATCAAGATGAATAAAGGAACAAGGGAACTAATCAAATAAAGTACACGGTCTGAAGCTATCTCGCGGAGAACCCAATGAAGACAAACGGGCCAATCACGGACCCTGAAGTACCCAGTCTTGAATCTTATCCAACAGAGAACCCAGAGAAGATAAACCAGGGCTCCGATTCGTACTTTTTTAAAAGTATTGTACTTTTTTATCGACCTTCGTACTTCCGAAATTGAATTTGTACTTTTTTGAAAGTATGTACTTTTTTATCAACATTTTTGAAAAAACGAAGAAATCTGGCTTAAGGACCTCCAAAATTCTCAAAATTTTCGCCTGCGGCGCAAAAAATGGAAGAAATCTGGCTTAAGGACCTCCAAATTTCAAAAAATTTTCGCCTGCGGCGCAAAAAATGGAAGAAATCTGGCTTAAGGACCTCCAAATTTCAAAAAATTTTCGCCTGCGGCGCAAAAAATGGAAGAAATCTGGCTTAAGGACCTCCAAATTTCAAAAAATTTTCGCCTGCGGCGCAAAAAATGGAAGAAATCTGGCTTAAGGACCTCCAAAATTCTCAAAATTTTCGCCTGCGGCGCAAAAAATGGAAGAAATCTGGCTTAAGGACCTCCAAATTTCAAAAAATTTTCGCCTGCGGCGCAAAAAATGGAAGAAATCTGGCTTAAGGACCTCCAAATTTCAAAAAATTTTCGCCTGCGGCGCTTCTCAATGGCAAACATTCAATGGACGAAGGAAAGAAACTCGCTTGAGGTTAAGACTGTCAGAGCTTTGCTTCATGTGACAGCAAATTTCGACATGTCATGCAATGAAATGCACAAAATGCTCAGTTGAAACAAGAAATTATTAGAAAAGATTAATTTAGGAGAGAAATATAAAAGATTGATCACGAATAAATATTTTCAAATTTAATTTTGAGTGTACTTTTTATTTGCAAATTTTCTCCCTATGTACTTTTTTTACAAGATTTTGATACTTTTGAGTGGCATTTTGTCGATCGGAGCCCTGAGATAAACGTATCAATCCCGTCACTGAAGTAACAGTCTTAAATCATATGGGATAAGGCTAACCAGAGACAAACAGAGAAGACAAACGAGCCATCACCAGATTACACAGTCTTAAATCTTATCCCACAGAGAAACCGGAGAAGACAAACGGGCCGTCTCCGGAACCTGAAGTGCCCGGTCTTGAAACCTAAGGCATAAGGCTAACCAGAGACATACAGGGGAATCACGGACAGGTTTATGACCCTTGACAATACTAAACTTAAATCACAAACCTTATTAACCTCAACAACTCTCTTAACAATCTTTTGAGAACCAGCAGAACCAAACAAAATATTGAGTTGACCTCCATTCAGATAAAGTTCCAGTGATTTTGAAATCTTCGTTCCATCTTTAGGAGAAACCAAAGCAAAAAGTTGTCTATTCTCATTAGTTGATCGACTAGCTTTGAGTAAATGAAGGGCAAAACTGGTAGCAAATTGATTAGTAGAATTTAAAGTTGGAGTAATTAGAAGAGTAGTCATTAGAATGATTAAAAGTGGTTAATGTAAAAATCTGAAAAAGTAAGTAATTAAAAATGGGAAACATTAAAATCAATCAAAATCTGTTGAAAAAGCAGAAATACGCGTAAAATTAAAGCAAATGATCTCGATCGGAGTTAAAAAATGGTCAAGGCAAACGAAGAAAAAAGTTGTTGAAGATGAATTTGCGCAAGACTCAAATGTACCTAATTTAAATGGGATAAAGTGACATTAAACAGAATGCCAAAAATAAAATCGATAAAAACACAACAGAACGATCAAGTACAGAAAATCAATAAACACCCCTCTAGCCTTCTACAGGCTTCTCCCTGTAAAACTTCCCCCCTTCCCCAATGAACTAAAAACCTCCAAAAACGGATTCCATCCATTGAAGCACATTCTGCTTTCTCCATACCATCCATACCACTGGTTGAGCTAAAACTTTCAAAAATTTCTAGAAATCAAGAAAATTGAAAAAAAGACAAGGACAAGAAAAACAAGGACAAAAAACAAGAAAATGAAGGAAGGGTGGGGTCATTCGCTCGCGCATTTTAAGCAAGCGATTTTTTCATTTAAAAAATTTGAAGATTTACCGGGCCAAGGGTTGATGAGGAAGGAGAAGGACATGTAGACGAGGAAGAGCATGTAGACGAGAAAGAGCATGTAGACGACCGCCACCACCACCAGTGCATGGAGTAGGACCTGGCTGAAAATCACCCCCTCCCATTATAAATTTTTATTTTTTTTTATTTTTTAATAAAAAACCACACCCCAACCATATTCCAACATCACAGCAAGCAGGCCACCAAAAGCATGAAGAGCCACCAACCACCAAGAGCATGAAGAGAGCCACCAGCCACGATGAGCATGAGGAGAGAATTCCGATTCACTAACGATATGAGTTGGTCTTAGGAGGTTTTCAAGAAGGATCTGAGCCATTTTTCGCTAAATTGACTCTAAGTGGAATTATGGGTTCCAAACGTTAGAACATAAGATTAGTTGAAACGGAAAGTCCAACACTTATGGACGTTTCACGGTAAAACGTCCATAAGTTTTAAAATTCCTCAACTCATCGAATCGGCCAAAAACACTCAACTCATCGAATCCTTAACTCATCGAATCCTCAACTCATCGAATCGGCCAAAAACGATCAACTCATCGAATTTTTCCAAAAGGGGACGTTTGAGTCCCCTGTTTTTATTTTTCTCCCGAAAGGGCTAACTGAATCTTCGTTGAAAAAATTTTTTGCTGCTATGGAGGCTAGGAAAAAGGGCTTTTGGGCATAATCGGGGTCTACTGGACTAATTTGGTCCGGTTTTACCCGGTAAAATCTCCGCATAATTTATTAGGAATGAGATAATGTTTTCAGGAATGAGATAATGTTCTGATAATGTTTTCACTGGCCGGATAAACTTGGATGAGTGCCCGATCAACTAATTAACAAAATTAGTTGAAACCCCAGAAGAAAACAAAAAAAATAAACAAAACAATAAAAAATCTAAAAAATAAACACGGGGACTCAAACGTCCCCTTTTGGAAAAATTCGATGAGTTGATCGTTTTTGGCCGATTCGATGAGTTGAGGATTCGATGAGTTAAGGATTCGATGAGTTGAGTGTTTTTGGCCGATTCGATGAGTTGAGGATTCGATGAGTTAAGGATTCGATGAGTTGTAGGGTAGCCATTTAGTCTTTTTCTCTCTCCGTAGTCTTTATAATTGGATAAATTGTCATTTTTCGTAAATAGACTGCCAAAATTTAAATTGGAAGGAATAACGAGGCATGAAACATAAAGCACAATAATTGGACTATCTAAATACATCAAAAGTCTGAAAAACTATCTAAAAAGCTCAAATACCTTTTCCATCCAACACTCCGCATTTCTCCTAATCCAGTTCGGTTGCTACCTTTTTCCAAATCAAGTTAAAACAAAAATTTTCTATAAAATTTGCGCTTGCTGCAGTGTGATGTACCGAAAAGACCAAAATCAACGACAAGATATATCAAAAGACGAATCATTAGAAAATATATATCAAAAGAAATATGTAATTTTATTTTAAAATTCTAGACAATGTCAAATATTTTAATTTTTTATCAATAAGTGAAAAAATACTATTTGTTTGACAATTTTGGACGTCATCGCCCGAATCTCACTTCAGTCTTTGAATTATTCAAACATGAGAAATATTCGCCAAAAGTCCCGTGTCAGGTGCACTTTCTTTTATTAATCTTTGCACAGCCTTGAACTTTCCATGGACACTATCACCAACAAGGCCAAGTATTACACATTCACTAGTACTCAGATTAATTCCAGCTCTTTCTAATTGCTTATATGCGTAGATTCTGAAAATCCATCTTTATTTTAGTCAATTAAAAATATTAAAGTAAACAATGGTACTTATTCCCTTTCCTAAACAATCACGACGCCAGAGGTATGGGGATTCCTTCCTCCACAAATTTTTCCTGATTACGTACCTCAATGTAAATTCCTTAAGACTCTATCCCTTTTAACCCCTTCATTTTTTATATTTTTTTAAAGATATTAAATGAATCTATTAACCTGTCAACCATTGAACGACTTGAAGAGCCATCAACAAGAACATGCACATTGAAACCTTTCTCCTGGAAATCGATTGCCGTCTGAAAATTAAATTTTCTGCGGTGAATAATTTCGTAGATGGCCAAAAAAATTAGTTATTCCGAAAAAATATTACTGACATGATAGACGCAAACATGCGCTTCTATTCCACATATAAGAACAGATTTGATGCCAGTACCAAGCTCATTGCGAAGATCTGGAGCACACATTGAAAACTGAAATATAATCACCGATTAAAGATTTAAAAACTAACTTTGAACCTTGGTTTTAGTGAATACTGGAACATTGTGTTTATGCAGACCAAGTTCAGCTACAGTGTGACCCAGACCATTTGGATTCTGCTCCGTCGCAACAATCTATGTTTTAGCTACGTATATTAAAAAAACTCCCTTATTACCTTAATGTCCAGCAATTTTGCAGCCTCAATCATTCGCCGTGTTACTTCTACGATTTGGGGAAAGTATTGAATATGGTTTCTAATTGTAAATAAAAAGTTAAAGCAAAATTGTATATTGAAAACCTGAATTTGTCTTGCATGTCACAAACTAAAAGAGCACTCTCTGAAGGTACTAATCTCAGCATTCTTGAAGCTGCCATCGAAACTGAAAACTTAATAATCGCGTTAAACAAAAAAATGTAATATGTTTGGTTGTATTATCAACCATAAATTCTCTCGGGGTGGGGTTACCTCGGATATGAATGAGTGGGATCACCCCAGAGTATCGACACCCAAAGTATCGACACCCAGAGTATCGACACCCAAAGTATCGAATGACCCAAAGTATCGACACCCAAAGTATCGAATGACCCAAAGTATCGAATTTTTTAAATTTCATAATTAAGTATTTCAATGATCGGGCATGATGTTCTAACATCGGGGAATTGTGTTTTCGATCAAACTGAGCATAGCGACCGAACAAGATTCTACTTGGAGATCGATCACTCTTCTTTGATTGGACATATTGATCATGATCGATGTTTGATCCATTGTTGGAACAATTTCCCTATGTTAAAAAGACTTCCCCGTCCTTGGAATACTTAATTATGAAATTTAAAAAATTCGATACTTTGGGTCATTCGATACTTTGGGTGTCGATACTTTGGGTCATTCGATACTTTGGGTGTCGATACTCTGGGTGTCGATACTTTGGGTGTCGATACTCTGGGGTGGACTCGAATGAGTTAACCATATAAATATCTATGAAGAAGAAAAAACGATAGTATCCGAATTAATGGTTGGCGGACGATTCAGAATTCAGTATCGAGGGCGTATCATCCAAATACATATGTCCTCAATACTAAGTCGTCGATACTGAAGTCGTCGATACGTCGATACTTTACCGAATTAATGTGAACATTTGTGCGACTAACATTTTATAGTCTAAACTAATATGGCGTTTTGTCACATTCTAGTTTTAGTGGCATTTTGTCACAGTTCTAGTTTCAATGGCATGCTGTTTACAATATTGATTTGCAGCTTTTCAGTGTAGTCGCAGGAAATTTGGTGAACAACCCGTTGAAGACAGAGTGAAGGATTAATGGAGTCTTGTCCTCTTTTTCTTATGCTTTCATATGTATGCACTCCCTCTTCCAATTGCTTTTAACTATTTCTTTCTTCCAATCGTACTGTTTCTCTATTTTCTCTTACATTTTCTCTTTTCTTGCGTCTATTCTCTCGAAATGCATCAATTTATCATGCTGTATTTAACTTGAGTCATTTTATTTGATCTCTAGATTTTCCACTAATGCTTTTCTAACTGCCCAGTAAAGTGTCTTTAATTTTGTTATCTGAAGTATACGGGATTTGTCTCATGTTCAATTTACTTTTTATGCTTGAAGTTATGCGGAATCATAATATATTGGGTTCATTTCTTCACAACTTCTCCCTTAAAGTTGCCGCGCTATTTTCAATACTCAATATCTACCGAGTATCAAATTGCCTCGGTCCAAACAATTTCATATGTACTTAAATTACGTCAATTTTTCTTTCCAGGATATTTACATACATATCATTAAGATATTCTTATTTTTCACATAAAAAATCGCACGTGCATTGCGACAGAAAAGATATCGGGGAAAAAGAAGTCGATTGAAATTTTGTCTCTCCTTCTTTTAATGTAATTTTCTGTCGCAAGACGTAAAGCAACTTTTATGTCATAGCATAATAGTTTTCGTTTCAGACATTAACTTTTCGGCTTTTTAACTTTGAAGTACTAATTTTTGTTTGTCTTTCATATTTTTGCTACACTGCATTGCCATTAATATTTACTAGCGGCATCGAGTTATTTAACAACACACGTTTAGGAACCATGGAATTTCGGAATTTGTCGTAGGCAGTAAATAATCAGATCATCAACTTAACTGTTGATTTTGGAATTTTTGGTCATACCTTTATCAAATTTATTGGTGGCCTATTGAACTCACCGGCGTGCAGTTTCTAAAAAATATGATGGCTCAAGTAAATATTTTATTTACTTTACTAAGGAATTTGAATATAATAAATTTTTTCATAACATTTAACCATTGCTTTCTAATTCCAGTTTACCTCTCCAGCTGCGTCTAACTGTTGGGTTCAACCACCTCCCGATTCGACTGATAGTGGCAGCGGTGATCCTGTTCACATACATAATCATCATCCGTTAATAGCATCACAACACTTTGTCACTGATCGTGACATCGTTTCTTGTGCACAAATACCTCAAGTGCTCCCAAATGACAATCAATTAATCTTTAAACAGGTAGAATCAATTAATCTTAAAACAGTTCTTTACTATTATAGAATCAACTGCAGCAATTTGTAATGCCGCCACTAGCACATCAGAATCACTATTCAAATGTCGGGTATATTACTTCTCGTCCTTGTCATCACTCAGCTGATATTAACTCTAATAATACTAATATTGTGTATCATGCCGGTTTGTTTTTATATACCTATACCGTATGTATGCTGTACTGTCTCCTTCAGTATATATCGTATCTGTGCATAGTGTAGTTTGCTATAACAGTACAGTATCCATATCAATAGCCTAATTGAATCTATCCATGCTTTCCTACTACGAGCATATAAACTAATTGATGTCCTAAAATAAACAATTAATAGGGTTAACGCCTCAACAGCATATGCTTGGACGAAGTGAGGCTACATCACAGCATCAACAACAAAAGATTGCCAATGTTCCTGCAACAGTTCAACCACAGGTAGTTATGGTTTGAATTCGCATATGATATTTTGTTTTGTTAAGTCTACAACAGTTTTATGCATTAACCCGCATCGACGTGATGTTTCCGCACGCCCTTTAAACAAACTAACATCCGAACTGATCAGGACATATAAGACAATCAATGAGGTAGTTTTTTCCAAGTTAATGTGTGGGCTCGAATGAAACGTAGTTCTTCATATTTTAACAAATTTTAAGAATTACTACAATCGCAAAGCTCGGCGCCGCCAGCATGCTATTGATGATTTGTCGTCTGTAACTGCTTCAACCACTGCACCGCTTCCACACCAAATGCGTACCCAAGTCCCTATAACAGATCCCAGCGAATCGATGAATAATATCGCTTCTGGTGGAACAGCAACCCTAAACACCCTCTTATCAAATCAACAACACAATTTTCTTGGGATGCTTCAGTCTTCATCGGTCTGTTTTGATAAATTAAGAACTTATGATTAATTTCGATTTAACTTTAAATCTTGTTTTTAGAATTTGCAAGTTGGCTCAAGTTCTATTCCTTTGCCCGATGAAAGTTCAGCTGCTTCTGTTAGTGCAAATCTTTCCTACCATCATGTTCCGCAGCAACGCAGCCTTCCTTATAATGTTCCATTAGCAGGGACGAAACATAAAAACCATTTATTGCAGCAACAATCAATTTCATCCAAAGTTTCGCAACAGCAACAGATGGCTTGGAAAATTGCAATGGATGTGCAGGGTCTTCAGCAACAATCAAATCAGCAGCACCCTTCAGTATGTTAAATAAGTTGATATAACAGGCATTAACCCCTAGTTAAGAGTTAAAATATCTTAATTTAGATACTTAATTTTTGTGATATGCTTAAATTTTCAGTTGGATCTAAATGAAGAGGACTGCGATGATGAAAACCATGATTATATCATTCGAATAGGCGAAATATTTAATTACAGGTAAAATAATTGCTTCGATTACAAGTTTACTTATGCTTTTTAAGGTATCGGATTGAATCAAGTATTGGCAAGGGTTCATTTGGACAAGTAGCTAAGGCTTACGACATGGTAGATGAGGAAAATGTTGCGATCAAAATTATTAAAAATAAAAAGGCGTTTTACGATCAAGTAAGACGCTTATCAATTAATTTTGAAAGATGCTCGTAACTATATAAATTCAAGGCACAAATTGAAATTCGATTACTCGAATTAATGAATAACCACAATTCAGAAGGTCAACACTACGTTGGTAAGCTTTTTTTAATGTTTATTGCATATCGAATATTATTTAGTTACATTAAAAAGCCATTTTATCTGGCGTAAACACCTTTGCCTAGTATTTGAACTGCTATCATATAATCTATACGACCTTTTGCGAAATACGAATTTTCATGGAGTTTCGTTAAATTTGACGCGAAAATTTGGACAACAACTAGCAGCAACTCTTCTATTCCTTTCACAACCGGAACTAAACATAATCCATTGGTATGTCCTTAGTATTTTTAAGAGATAAAAAATAAAAACTGATACTTTTTTCGCCTAAATTTTTCCAAAATTTTTTAGTTCATTTAGTTTGTACAATTAAAAAACTTAACTTTAGTGATCTAAAACCAGAGAATGTGCTCCTTTGCAACCCTAAACGTTCGACGATCAAGGCTAGTTTTTCTTTTGTTTATATATTACAAAGGTAAAAATGATTTGGGGAGAATAAAGCAAGTTTATAAGGATTATTAAATGTTTAGTGCAAACGAATTTTAATTTTACAGATTATCGATTTCGGTTCATCATGCCAATACGATAGCCGAATTTATCACTACATACAGTCGCGTTTCTATCGCTCACCAGAGGTTTTGCTTGGCATTTCATATGATACACAAATTGACATGTGGTCTCTTGGTTGTATTCTTATGGAGGTAAATTCGAACATTCATTAAAAAAACTACATTTCTTTATTTAATTCAATTCAATAACAGATGCACACAGGCGAGCCACTTTTTCCAGGTCATTCTGAGTTTGATCAGATGATGAAAATTGTTGAGGTTCAAGGCATTCCACCACCTCATATTCTTGCAGCAGGTACCAAAAGCTCCAAATTTTTTGAGGTGGACGAACGTGAGTATAAATTTAAATGGATCATACGCATAAATCAAATATTTAAGTTGGACAATGGCACTGCAAAAAATCGCGTGTAACTAAAGCCTACAAAGCACCAGGATCCCGTCGCCTGTCCGATATACTAGGTATGAACAATAATAGTACTGGTCCATTTTCACGACTCGGTGAAGGGCATGGTCATATGTTGGAAGACTATATGAAGTTCAAGGTTAATAATATACTAATCAAACGTTAATTTTACTGGTTTAAAATGTCGTTTCTAATAATAGAACCTTGTAACCTAAAAAATGTTTTATTTTCTTATGATTTTTAATTAATGAGCTGCCGAAAAGCTTATACAAAATTTTTTACTGTAGACTGATCATTTAGTGTTGAATTTTCAGGATCTTGTCAATAGGATGCTGGATTTTGATCCACAAAAACGAATTTCACCGTACTTTGCTGTAAGACACCCGTTCTTGCGGAAGACTGCACCAGAAGAGCAACAATCAAATTCTGCAAACGTTGCTTATCATTCTCATTCAAATGTGCCTATGTCGCTACAAGCGCCAGGCTCAGATTTCGTAAGTCGACCCACATAGTAAGATAAATTACTATTTTATAGTATATCTGCTAATAATATGACGACGCCAGTTTACAATTAATGATGGTGGCTTGAAGATGAACAAATGCGTTGTTCACTTCATTTTACTCATTTCCTCAAGCGTGGATGAAGACAGGGCATAAGGAAAGTAGTGGATTATATATTAATCCTAAAATGAAGGTCAGATGAGTGAACACATTTCAATTTGTATTATACACATAAAATCAGCTTTTCATGTTATACAATTTGTTTTGAATATATTGTCTTGAATAAATTTCTTATACATCATGACTGCAACGAAATAGAAGGCGATCCAAGATATAACCTTAAAGTGCCAATTGATTTTTAGCTCATTCTTTAACATAAACCTGAGGTCACGGCACACCCATAATGTACTCTTTGTTCCTCCGGTAGCGATGCCATGTTATGCTTGTATGTTCCTAAATTCAAACGAAAATATTTAAAGGTTAAAGATAAAAATTTAATCGATCAAATGTTATACGTTTTGACTCCCCAGCCAAAGGAATTGTCGCACCAATATCACCACATACTGCGCATTTCTGCATAACAAGATCTCTAAATTATTGAAAGAATGAATGAACCTGTTTCCAATAACGGAAAATATTATTTTGAAGATTCGGAAATCTGCCACCTATCAAGAAGAGATCCGGGGTCCAGAGTGCACACTACAAAAGATTTTGTTTTTCCAAACGATGATTTTATGAAAGATTTACCTCGCCATGTATCCAAACGTCCATTGAGCTCGGGGATCTTGTTGATCTTTCCTGTTTATTATTTCAAATTACTGAAAAGGTTTATAAGGAAAACTTCATTATTTTGTTTGCTCTGCGTAAGTAACGTCCTCGGCATGATCCGTTCAGGTGGATGACATTCGGCAGAAATAGAAACGAAATACGGACCAAACAATTCGCCCTTAAACGAAAAAATATGGGTCACACATACTCGTTGAAATCCCACTTCCTTTCACCACTAAAAACAAACCAATGGGCGTTGATTAGTTCCGCAATGTTGAAAACACAATGCACACAACATATTTCCATGTAGTAAATTTGCAGGCGGTTCGGGCTTGAAAATAATCTCTTAAAAAATATTTATAAAAAATAAAACCTGTAATAATCGCAGTTTATGTGAATCCATGACGCGTTGCATCATCCTCTGATAGCTCGCTGGGTGGAGCAACCTTTTCGCAGAGGTATCCAACTTGGCTTCTTTAAGCTCGCCTTTCTCCTTAATTTTGGCGATATATTGGTATATTTATGAAAAAATTTAGGAAAATATAGCTACAAGTAACTTTCTTTTTCTTGTCCCGCCATTTTTCCCGTTATAAAAGAAAAAAAGTAAAGACGACCTCTTGAAAAGTTATAGTGTTAATCTTTAAAATTTAAACAACCTTTCTCATACAGCCATAACGCTCGTGAACCTTTTGCATTAAGGTTAAATGTTCTTGAAGTTTTTGTGGAAAAATCTGTCGGGTAGAATTTTTCCTTTGTTTGTGATGAAATTGTGCTTTATGTCGTTTATTCTTGGAGCTGTTTGTTCCATTATGATTAACTCTATTTTGTATTCCATTAATTTCTGTGTTATCTGCATCGTTTTTGTCATCAAGTTTTTCATTTATAGAATGAATTGCCTCAATATTAGAAGCTCGAAACATCTTCAAAATTCAATTTCAAATGTGTTCTAATTTTTCGTTTACTTTACTGGCTCCCCGACTTTTCGTCAGAGGACTTTCCGTCAATACTTATCGTCAATGGACCTTACGTCAACGGTCTTTTCGTCAACGAACACTAATGCGTTAAAACTTGGATAGAAGATCGGTTTCATAAAAAAGATGTAGATATTGATTTCGATTTATTTATGTTTGAGCGGAATAGAGACGTATAAATGAAATTTAGACATTACCAAAATTAAAAAAAGATTTTTAGCCTGTAGCAGATATTTACATTCGGCTAAATAAATCGCCTTATTGTTAATTTGGTTACTCCTACCTAAGCTATGGACCAGTATATTGCCTCCTTCAATTTAGTGTTACACCCAAATTGCTAAATAAGGGGAACTAATAATTTAGCTATTTTGGGATTGGCAAAAGGCTTAGCGCTTAGCAGTTTTTAGGTGTGTCGATGACAATATATACGCTTTCATAAGCATTCATGCTAATATATCCAAAAATGGATATTGCCGCTCAATGTCTTCTCTTCAACAGCTTTGTTAACAAATTCGTTTAACTAGCTTCACTTTGCTTTTATTTTTAAAGACTAAAGCAGGGGAAATATAATTTTTGGAGGGTTTTAGCGCTGTATTCCTTAGAAATTTACAAGCTCAAACTACAATTACATATATTATTTTGAAGTTTATTTTTTAACTATGAAGCCTTTAAATCACAATAAAAGTAAAAATTATTAAATATTGATGTTATTTATTAATACCAAGAAATATGTATACAATGTAACAGATAAACGCAATAAGACCCTTTCTTATTAGCTTAATATTTTTCTTATTAGCTTAATATGTATTCACATTCAATCCTCATTGCGTTTCCATAGGCATCAAATCCGAAGCCATAATTATTATACTTCTAATTAACGATCGCGCGCAAGTTCATATAGATAGGCATATGACATAGTATATAATATTACATAAGGAATTAACCTTCTGAAATTTATCTTTACATCGTTTGAAATTGAATATAATTTTAAATTAAAAAATAAATGATTATACTTAGTATAATTCAAATAAAATCCCACTATATAGAAGTACATATAAAATTGGTTAACAAATAATTATTTCATAGGACACTTAAAACTAATGACCGAACAAAATCTTACCAAAATTCTGGCAATTTTTCAGCCCAAAATTCAGTCCAACCATATTTAAGACTTATATGTATATTTAGTTAATGATAGAATCGAAATTCTCTACAGCCTTCTATTAATTCATACGATCAAATTACACATTTATATGCATACAAATAACTTAAATTTTGAATGTAAAGTTATTTGATCCTTTGTTTTTAGCCATTAACAAAATTTTTATTAAAAGCATTTTTATTTGTAGGCTTGAAAAATTGAAAATATTCATTCATATTTTAAAAAATTTATTTAAATAAATCAATTTATTTAAATTATTTAAATAAATTTAAGGACTCAAATTTTGGATAAAAATGGGATATTCTTCATAATATATTTACATATTCCTATAACGTGCAAAAACATTTTTAGCCTTTTCAATTTCAAAAATTGAAAATATTCATTCATCCACTGAGGCGTATTTTGCATTTTATCACAAATAATTATTTAAAGTTCCAATTTATTTTAAACTTTTGCAATTTCGGGAGGGATTTATCATAGGTATTTTTCAACGTTTTTAAATTCTCAATATTTACAGAAAAATTTTCATAGCTTGTCACTATATCTTCAATTTAATATTCTTTAAATTTAACCTGCTCCTTCTTATAAGTAACCTCCCTTTGGGAATACTATCCTGGCTTTTTAGAAGAGTCGATTAAAACCTTCATTTTAAATTGACTGAAGTGAAGTATACTTCTTATTTCTACATATAACATTAAAATTTTTTATGAAGGAATTTTTATGTAAATTTAACCTGTTCTTTATAACACCTTTAAAATCCTCATTTTAGAGATTAGAGTATTTTTAGAAAAATTATACGCGTATTTTCTCGCTTAATTCCCCGCCTCAGAATAATTCCTCACTCTAGATTAATTCCCCATGCCAGGGATGGATTGAAACTATAATTCTTCACCTCCAAGTACTAGTTTGTTCAAAACTCGAATAATTCTCTTCCCTCTTATAATTCCCAATCACACGGATAGGTTTAAATATTAATTCCCTGGGGAATTATTTGAGGAAATATGTTATGCTTGTTCAAATTTATTTTCACGTTATTTTTTACTTAATCTTTCTGTTTTCAAAAATATCTTTTAAAAACTGGCCTAAAAAGACACGCAAATATTTCAACGAAATCACTCAAAAACTTCTTATGAGCAACTGTTTTAAATTAGCTTTAAATCAATCACCTTTTCAATTAAATAGTAAACTACTATTAAGTATTATAAAAAAGAACAAATCACAAACAATCAGACACAGGAGTGCATTTAAAAAATCTTTTGTTTAACTTTATTAATAAGCATGTTACATAGTCCCTAAATTGAATTTCTACAGCAAAAACTTTGTAAAATCCTTGTATTTGACTGAATATTAATATGTCAAACGTCTTGGATATTAATACTTATAACAACAGCAAGAACGGCAACACATCAATAATAATTTTAAGCGAACACTCTCAACAACAGGAGCAGAAACAAGAGAAGTGCCTCGAAATGGAAGCATTATTTTCTGGTTTAAACAATTTTTTTCGCGATGATGACATTCTGAAGGAATCAGAACATTCATCAGAGTTGGTTAGAAGAAATAAAGCGATCATAATAAAAATATAAATTTTCAGCTTGGAAATCTTATTTTTACCGCTTATTTGTTAGTAATTGCATTTGGCTCAATTGGTAATTTATTAACTATAATGGCTGTTTTGCGCAACAAACAAATGGCTTGTTTTTATTTTCTATTTTTAAAACAATAAATTTGACATTTCAGAGAACTGTGCGCAACTTCTTCATTCTTAATTTGGCACTTTCCGATTTTTTTGTATGTACTGTTACAGGTCGGTGAGTTGAGGATCTTTTCACAAATAGTTATTCTTTAGCACCAACGACGGTGTACACCGTTCTTTACGTTTTCTGGCCGTTCAGTCGCCCTTTATGCAAAATTGCCGGAAGTCTGCAAGGATTTAACATTTTTCTGTCCACATTTTCAATAACTGCAATTGCATTAGATAGGTATCAACTCAAAAAAATTATCTTCAACTACAGATAATATTTTTAATATTACAATCATTTAAGGTATGTATTGGTGATTTTTCCGACAAAAAAACAACGACAGCAAAATCTTTCATTAATTTTTTTCTCGTTAATTTGGCTGGCATCTATTCTGCTAGCTGCTCCACTCTTCCTAGCTGCTGATATCAGTCCAATTTTTCATGACTCCCAATGTGGCATTGAACTTAACTTGTGCAATGAGCAGAATGAGCGATGGAAGGAGGTGAAATAACATTAGCAATTCCTTTCAAAAATATTAATCCTAGCTCTTGATAAGCAAAGAAGCTTATACAGTAGGTGTTATTATTCTTCAATATTTGCTTCCTCTTGCTTCGATAGCATTTGCCTATTCGCGTATTGCACGAAGAATGGGTACTAGGAAGTCTTTTCGGTGTGCAAGTGGCGGACGTGAAAGCCGAAAGAACAGTGTATTTTTGGTATGCTTATTAGTTAATTATTAAGTTTATTAGTAGGGACAGCCAAAACATGCAAATGCATGTTTTGTATGCGGATATGCCTTGAAGTGAGAAGCCCAAAAATGGTGTTTTTACATAGGTCCGAGCACTTAAGGACCCGGTTCTTAATGCATATATTTGCATATTTCGGCCCTCCCGTGCATATTTGCATATTTGTGCATATTTTGGCAAATTTTGCATATTTTGGTCCATATTTCGGTATTTTTTGGTAAATTTTAGTAAAAATCGCCGAAAATTTTCAATTTTTCGGATTTTTTTTGGTAAAAAAATTTTTTCGAAAAATTTTTCGGAAAAATTTTCTTTTGTTAAATTTCTATGCAATAATCTTAATTCCATAAAATCTTCTAAGAATTTTCTTAAATTGCGGGTTTAAAGGCTAATTTCTTGTTTTTTGGCTTAAAATATTGATCTTTAAAGCATATTTTAACAATTTTGGTGCATATTTCAGTGCATATTTTGGCAAATTTTGCATATATTGGTGCATATTTTGGGCTTTTTCGGTGCATATATATGCGCATATTTGGCAATTTTCCGTGCATATTTTGGCTGTCCCTATTTATTAGTTAACCTAAAAAAATTTTTCATCTAAAGAACACTCCAGTGTTTGGTTCCAACAGGAGTTCTTTCAATCGTCAAATAGCATCTGGAGGCGCTACTTCTCCTTTCATTGCATCAGATAATGGACATAAGCACTCTAGCAATAAGCAACCGTTGGTTATCTCTACTAATGGCGAATATTCTCAGACGAATGGAAATCTCCAGAACGTAAATCCTTCTGCTGAAATATTGCTAAAGCAAAGGAGAAAGTGAGTGCCATATAATTTTACTAAATTTAAATAAAGTTGAATAGGAACACACAATTATTCAATTAATTATAGATCAATTGCTGACAGACATCGCCGCACAAACATGTTGTTGGTTACACTTGTTGTTGTTTTTGCTTGTGCATGGCTGCCATTAAACATATTTCATGCGTAATATTTAATTTATCCTTTATTTTCCCTTAAATCACATTTTAACAGGTACACGCTTTTGTTCAACAAATTTTCCAAGACGGCTTCATTCTCTGTACCAATTTTTGCAATTTGGTTTGTTTAATTTTTATGAAACTTATTCTGATCTTTAAATACTCATAGCCATTTAACGGCAATGTGTTCAGCATGCTTGAATCCCTGCTGTTATGCATTCTTCAATAATAATTTTCGTCAGGAATTTCTAGCAATGTATCGGAAACTTGGTTTGATGTAAGTAAACTCGATTTTTATAAATTTTGTGATTTTTTTAGAACTCTTTATCGCTGTTTTGCTAGATTTACAAAGCGATTATGTCCCAGTACTGAAATAAATAAAGAAAAAAGTGTTGACGCAACACAAAGCAACGAAAACAAAGAATTAGGTACGTCACCATCTGAAAATGAAACAAACCAACATCTACAGCAAACAATCCAAGGGGTTCTAAAAAATTCAAAGGAAAAGAGTTGTGAGGTACTTGATGTAAAGATGGAGAATCAAACGAAGAATCCATTAGAACTATGCGAAACTTTGATAGAGAAACCGTCCAATCTTGCTAAAACCATCCAAATGGATTTATAACGTAATTAAAGGATGCCTAATCTTTAGTATTTAATCTCATTTTATAATAAATTTCTGAAAATTTATTTATTTCTTTTTTTATAAATAACGAATAAGAAACTTTTTGAAAGAAATTTAATATAGGTATGTATATGCTGGGTCTTTCTTGTTAATTACTTAGAAATTAGGATTGGACTGATATTTAACTAAAACTCAAAACTGAAGAACGGGCTTTTAAACTTGGATTAACCGAAACCGGAGGTACCGAATAACCCGTCATGTCCATCCCTATATAAATAATATATATTTTAAGGGGTTGTAAAATGTTTGGGAACAAAAGAAGCAGGTGTAAGAGTTGAGGGGACATCAGAATTAAATTTTTTTGACTCATTTTCTTTCCCGCCTTCAATAAAAGATTGTGATAGTACCGACGGCGGGGGTGAAGCGATTGTTGATTGCGAAGTTGTCGAAGTGAAAAACGAAAGCAAGAGACGCTGAGCTTGTTGAAGCATGAATGTTGGTGTTTGCTGTTGTGTTGGTGATTGCTAAATTTTTGTTTGTTATAAATTTCTGTTAAATAATATTAAATTGTGGTTGTTGGCTATCGGTTTAAAACCCGAAGATTTTCATATTTCTTGCCAATAATTAACCATTTTTGTAATAAAACCGAAATTTTTGAAAATGAGCGATTTAAAAAAAAAATTCCCCATAAATACATAAAACCGATATTTAACTAAAACTCAAAATGAAAACCGGGTTTTTGTAATAGGATTAACCGGAAACCTGGGATACCTGTTAATAACCGATCAACCCCAATTTAAATATAATAATTAGAAATTTCTATGTTTATTAATGCTTATTACATTTATCGAAGAAGACTGCTCATAATGGCCATTTACTCCAGCAAGAGGGAAATTTGAGACAGCATATTGCTCAATATTTTGGTGTTGGAGTGATGGTAAAGCTGGCAGAATAGATAAATTATTTTTTTGGTTGTTATTGGTTTGGTTGTCGGTTGGTTCGTTACAATCCATAGTCCCAATTATTCTTTTCCTAAAAATTAGAAAATTTTATACTGGCAAACAAAAGTTAGGATCCCTAAGTATGAAAATTGTTATAAAATCATTCTTTTCATTTTTAGAAGTTAGATGTTCAACTTCAAACCTCACAATTTAAATGTACTTTCATTCTTTGATAGAAAAAATTTCCCAAAATCCCTAACCTTGTTATTTCTCTCAACTTTAAATAGATGACCTTTTTAGTGTGGACAAAAGTAATGATCCCTATTTAAAAAAGATATTGACAGCTTTACTCCCGTTCAACATTGATTTTGAGGTTTTATTTTTAAAAAGGAAGTTGAACAATTAACTTTTTTAAAATTTTCATGCCCTGGATCATTACGTTTGACCGATATAAGAATTATTTTTGTAAAAACACAAACCACTTATTTCTCCGATTCTGAAACCATATCTTCACTTGTGTTTCAGTAAGGCTCAGTGTTCTAGCCAAATCTGTACGTTGCTGACTGTTGAGATATCGATGTGCGTTGAATGCTGCTTCCAACAGACTAACCTTAACAAATTGAAATATACTATGTACCAATAGAGACGGGATAAGAGAATTGTATCAGATATCTCAATAAATCTCGAAAACTAAAATTTTTGTCCTACGATACATCTCAAAAAATCTCGATAACCGAGTTTTTATTCAAGATTTTGTCTCGATCCGGTTTCAAAACTAATAATTAAGCGTTTTGTTACCTGGCCTCTGGAGAATACAGTACGTGTTTTTTTCTTTCGTATTCCTGTAGCTGATTCACTTTTTGATGAGTAAAAAGATTTAGTAGAGGGCATAACTCCAGAACTAGAAGGAGGTTCTTCATCGCTAGCCTAAATTTATTCGCAATAAGAAAATAAATTTTAAAAACACCTCACGGGACTCATCACCTTCATCCGATTCATCGCCCACTGGGCTTTCTTCATTTAAAGAGTTTTGCCTAATAGCAGTAGAGATGTCGCCCTCACTATTATCTCTTTCTCCTGTCATAAATGAGAGGAAGTTCTAAAATTATGTATGGCTGATTAAATAAGGTTATTTAAATTAGTATAAACTAGGGTTGAACATGACCGGGTTTAAAACCAAGAATTTTGATATTTCTTACCAAAAATTAACATTTTTATGAAATTTTAAAACCCAAAAATTTTTAAAAATGAGTGATTTCTTTAAAAATCTCCTAAAATAGAACTAATATTTAATTAAAACTCAAAATTAAAATCAGGTTTTTAAATTTGTATTAATCGAGAACAGGTTAATAACCAGTTTTGTCCAACCCTACTATAAACATCTACTAACCTGATGATGTTGTTGTGCATCCATTATAAGTTGAAATTGCGGCAAAATTGCAGCAGAAGCAGCCATCTTCTTTTTTAATTCTAAAATTCAGAATTAATTTTTTTATTTTATAAAGAAGCGCTTGAATATAAAGGAAAATTCAGTATTATTTTTAAAGAGTTTAATCAAATGTAATAATCGCTTTTTATTATTGTTGCCCAATCCGCCGCGCATTAATAATTATGTGCCTTTTAAGAAAGAAATGCCCGAAAATTATCCAAAAAATAACAAAAAAGCTTTGAACGCCGCTCCTTTGTGCATGAAAACCACTCGAAACAAAAACAAAAACGATTGCGCATCGTTTGTGGTGATTGAAAAAAAAGATGGATAAAAAAGCCAAGAGAAAAAATAACACAGTAGGTGAACAATTATTTAATTATTAATTTTGATGAGTTTCTATTGGGCCCCTTTTTAAATCCACTTAGAAATGCGCGCATATCAGACCTATTAAAAGAGAACAATAAAACGTAAGTGGTAAATGTCCGGTTGGTGTCCTACATGTCCGCAAAGAGAATGCGCATTTTTCCTTCCTTTTCTTGCATTTTTTCCTGCAAGGAGTGGCGCCCATTTTTCCCTTATGTATGGTATTCCTTTTGGCACGTGGAAGGAAAGAGGAAAAATAATTGAAATTAATTACTACATAATAAAGTACAAATAAATATTTTATTTTACTAATCATTCCCCCACAAATATTTCCTCAAGAGAAAATTTGTGGATTCCAATTTTCGCGATAAAGAACTCGATCTTGAATCAAAGAAAAAATCCCAAATGTTAATTATTGAATATCTACAAGGCTTTTGAAGACTGAAAAAATCAGCCTAAAATGTGGTAATGGTATAAGTATAAAGTGGAAAAATGGATACTTGTATTAAAATTTTTATAATTAAGTTGTCCCAGAAAAATTGCCAAGCAATAATTTCTGTACGTTCTGATATGTAGATTTTTTCTCTGATCATTTATAAAAAATATTTATTTGTACTTTATTATGTAGTAATTAATTTTAATTATTTTTCCTCTTTTCTTCCACGTTCCAAAAGGCATACCATACATAAGGGAAAAATGGGCGCCACTCCTTGCAGGAAAAAATGCAAGAGAAGGAAGGAAAAATGCGCATTCTCTTTGCGGACATGTAGGACACCAACCGGACATTTACCAACGTAAGTTAACCGTTCAACAACAATTTCCTTTTAATGTTTAGTAAGCACAGCGGGGAGCGAAAATTTTTTTATCTATACAATAATTTTACATAAATATTTTCCGAATGTTAATCCTTAATTGTTTTAGATTAGATTAAAAGATTGTTGAATAAACATTAAAAATTTACCAAAAATATTCGTTTTAAGGTAAGTTTCGATGCTTTCAAACTTATCCGATGCTTCCAAACTTATCCGCCTATCTTATCTAAAATTATAGTACTGAAATCTGCCCAATAAATACATATTTAAAAAATATCCTTAAACGAATAATTGAGGTTTGCTTTTAGCAAAGGAAATTTGTTTTCAAATAAATTTTATCAAATTATGTATCGTAATCTACAATACATATTTGCACTTCCTCTTATACACTTTTAATGAAAATTCCCCCTAATTCTTTATGGTCAGCTCATATCCCGAGGGCATTTTTGCGATTACTTCTTGACACCACCAAAACAGTGTTTAATATTTTCGTTTGGGCGGTAATTTGTTAAGAGTAGCCAAATTAAATTATCATACTCCTAACAATAAACGGACATACATATTAATGAAAAATGAATTGTAAAATACAGTATATGGAATAATAAGAGGGCATTCTGATATGTGAGTTAATTATCGTATTAGAATAAAATTAAAAAGATAAAATTTGAAATATGTAATTACATAAATTAAAAAGTAAATTAATATTTTATTTAATGGCCTATTTTAAAATAGTTCCCCCATTTAAAATATTTTTCTCATTAATTAGTGTCACCCCTCAAAATAGATATTCTCTTTTTAATGGCAATTGATGAGAAAAGTAAACATAATTTTGTCTCAATAAAATTTGTTATTGAAACTCAACTCAAATGAAGATACCTAATTAAGTTTTGGACAAACATTGAACGAATCTATTGTATTAAAACTAATAATGCAAAGGAAACCTCAAAATTTATATTATAGTGATGAGAAAGGGAAGTGTTACAAAAATATACAACTAGATAGTACTTATGATTAAAAAGAAGCGGAAGCGGTATAATACAATAAATTAATAAGAAAATGTACAATAAATAAACAAGAAAAAATAGTAGAAGAATGTGTAAAAATGGGAATATTTTATATTTAATGTTTAGAGTGCTTCCGTCTATTACATATTAAAAATTATATCGGAAATTAAAATAATTTCGATAATAAAATTGATCGGAAAAACAGAGAATATCAGAAGTTAAATTCATTATTTAATTACCTTCCAATTGATAGTTTTTTCCAGCAACAGAGGGAACCGCTGTCACTGCTTCACGACCTCTAGCCAACATATGATCTAAAGTTGCCGTTCCTCCAACTTCCTGCTAAATTACATAAATTAATTGTTAAAGCTATGAATTTCTATTTAGACAGAATTGCTAATAAAAATCTAATTCTTAAACCTGTTGTGATTGTTGTTGAATGAAAAAGGCGGCAACCAAATTTAATTGTTGTTGCCAGGCTGATGTTGTTATTGGAAATGTATTTGTTGGCACTTCGTCATGATTTTGTTTGCCAATTAATCTATGTTGTTGGTATTGATTTTGAGAGAATTGTTGGTGATTACGTAAAATCATGGCATCAGGCGAGTTAGAATTTGAACTAAAGATTGATAAAAATCGGAAATAATTTAGTTTAGAGATTTAAACAAATGGTTAGAACTATGTTGAATTAAGTCAGGTTTCGTTTGGCCCCCGGGAAAAAGGGGGCTTAAACCACAGTACTACCAAAAAATCTATTAACACGGGTTAAGTCCGTTTTTTTAAATCTCCAGATACCACCCCCCCCACCCCCGCCACCATTTTTACAAGATTATTTGTATTTTAATTTGAATCTTTCGACTTACGATTTCTCTATTTTAGGCAAACATAACGAAGCATCATTGAGTTGCACGTTATGAAGATTTTCAAAACTCTCGCATTTTAAAGTTTTTTTCATTGGGGGTTCGTAAAATTCCTTGATTTCATTAGATGTTTTAGAAGAGATGGCAGTAGCTGAACGTCGCCTGTGGGTACTACACGATGGCCGAGAATCAGTCAACAACTCCTAAAATTGAATATTCCCAATTCAAGGTAATTCAAAAAATTTTTTCCCGGATTTTTTTCTGATTTAAATTTTATAAACTTTTTTAATACTAAAAGCAACTTACTACTATAGAAAATGCTTTTCGCTTTTCGGCTTCGTCATCTTCGAAGTGAGGCTCCTGCTTATTGTGTGATAATACAGAACCATTTGCTGCTGTTTGAGAGATATTATTTGATGAATTTTTTATGCCCTCTTTACTATCAGGACTCGACATTTTGTACAAATAATAAAATATTGACTGTTTTTAAATAAAAATTATATTTAGATAAGATTAAGAAATATTCAAAGATTTATGTATTAGAAAATGTGGAATGTAAAACAATAATGAACCATCATATACCTAATTAATAATTATATGTAGTACATAACAGTAAAAATTATCATTAAATTTTCATACCATATCCTATAATTCTTATACATAATATTATACTTATAGTAACATTCTTGTCATGCATATTCATTTCCTATGCAAAGTCGGGCCATTAATTACATAACAATAATCCTTTTATTAAGAAACACATATTTTTAATCCCATGTGAAATTGATGAACCGCCTTATACCTTTTCTAATTTTGACAAAAATTATTTTTACCCTTAAAAGGAAAACAAAGACGCTCAGATCGGAAATATCGACATAATCTAATTATTGAAATGGAAAGTGGATTTACTTAAAAATAATTATCGTAATTAAACAGTTAAAAATTATACATAAAATATTTAATTAAACTCCACAAAGGATATAAAAATTAATCAACGAGATAATTAATGTTTTGTGTTTTGTACAAATCAGAAAAATTTTAATCTAAATTAGTTTTACTTTATAATAATGAATTTCCTTTCTTGCAACAAGCGTGAAAATCAGTGCATTTGAAGGTCGTACTTTAAATGCGCAATACGAAAAGCACTTAGAATTGTTAAAATAACTAATTTTATTGCTTGTTTTAACGGGAGAGAAGGCACAAATTGATAATTTTTCGTTATGATTGTTGAGTCCATTAACAAATTAAGGAGAATTCGTTTATAACGCCGCGTAAACAATTAAGAAAAATAAACTTTTTATTTAAGAGATTTCGCGATAAATCAAATGTAAAATACTTTAAAAAAGTTGTTAGTTTTTGATTAAGATTTAATCAATTAATTCTAACAAGGTTTTAATTAAATACTTGTTGTTTACAGTTAACGGATGTTAACAATTTTTTATATATTTTTTGAAGCTTAGCTACGTTCCGGCAGCTTTACAATTTTCAATCTGCTTAGAATCGGAGCATTTCAAATGAGTACTGGGGTTTTTTTAATGTTCTTGAACCAATGGATAAATAGGTAATTTGTTACGCTACTTTATACAAAATAAAAAATTCTTTACTGAATTAAAAAAGTTATGATCTAAAGTCTAAATTTTTCAAAAAAATATAATTTTTCGGGACTTAATCGATCATATTTTTTACCAATCGGTCAAAAATTTTGAGTTCTGGTATCTTGTAGCGTATTTAATTCACTACCCATTGGTACTAAGAACATTAAAAAGTGGTCATTCCTTCATAAGTTATAGGGGCCGGGAATCAGTTGAGGTATACTCGTTTAGAATAGAATAAAAGCACTACCTTCAACTTTTTGCGCCTAAATTACTCCACCTTATCTCAAAAACTAAAAATAAATGAATTTTTCTTTCTATTAAAATTCACAATTCAGTAATTAGTTTTCACAAAAAAATAACAAAAAAAATATTAAAAAATTATACAAAGTAGGATAAACGTAGGTTTGAGAAAATATATTCAAAAATGAGAAAACATGTCAATCGAGAATGGCACAAACTTGCAATTAAATAAATATGAGTACGTGTAAAGCTTAAAGTAAAACAATTGTGTCTAATAGGCGAATGCTTACAAGTGGAAAAGTATACTGTCATTAATTTGCTTAAATAATGTTAAAGGAGAATTGAAATATTTTTAAAAATTGTTCTACCTAGAAATAAGAATATTGAAGGTATCCATAATTAAAATTATATAGGAAAAAAATTGAAAATTTCAGGACAAGTTAATTACTTATTTTGTAAGATCGGCAATAAATTAGGTAAACTAAAATACAAGACAAATTGTGTTTAGTTAATTTTGGCCCGCCCGATCCCCATCAATTACTTTATTTTTTTCATCTTCGCGTAATTGGTTGGCTGCCCAAATTTTTTTACATGCGTAGTACATATGTATATAAAGTGAGGGCGGAGTCTATAAAAATCCAGAATCCAAAGGCATTTAAATAATACATATGTATAATTTTATAACTCAAGTAATATTTGTAGTGTCAAGACGCAATTTTTTACTCTTTAAATTAAAAAAAATTAATAAATAATGACAAAAATAAAATTTTTCATACTATACATATATTAAGGAACGCTTTGGACTTAATCCTAGGATCATACAATAATTTATTTTATTTAGGCATACATTGCAGCAACTCCTTTAAGCGCTCAAGCAATCCACTGGGTTAAATTGAAGAAAAAATAAGAAAATTCTCTAAATTAATTGGCACTTTTTACTTTACTTAAATGAAACCATTTCTTACCAGGAATCATAACTTTAAAAGTGTGGAAAATTGACAAGGATAGGATTAGATTGAAATGGAATTAAGAATAAAATGACAGGAAACGGTGAAAAATTATCCAAAATTAAATAGGACAGGACTAAGCAACAACATTATTTTTTAAGCATGCTTAGTTTTAGTGGAGGGAAAAGTCAAGTAATAAATAAATGGCATCCATATATTAAATCTTATTTAGGCGCGACTCAATTTTTTACATTTCATTCTTACATATTTTTATTCATAAGGAGGGAAACAACTTTTGGTAATTAATTTTAATTCACTTACATAACTAAATCTAATTTGTTAGAAAGGCTGGAAAAATAAGTTAGTATTTTATCCATTGGATTATTAATAAAAGTGCATTATGAATAATTCTGGGATAGATAATGAAAAATAAGACAAAAAGAAATTTTATTCGTGTATGATAATATTTAATAAAAGAATGAATTTTAAATTTTTAAATTACTTTATACAAGTTAATTGCAAAAAATTCTAAAAATATTTTTAGGAATGAAATTTGATACCTTTGATGAAAGACGCAAAAATCTGCATAATTGCAGATCCCGAGAATATGAATGAATTTAAAGAATAATAAAATTCAGTGCCGATCATCCGGATGCTCATTAATTTAAGAGTGGGTCTAAAGAATATTTAATAAATGAAAGGATAGAAAATGGCATAAATGTTCGCTAATGTATAACCTTCAAAATTAGGAGGCCAAATAAACTATTCTTTTAAGAACAAAAATAAGTTCAAAAAATATAAACTATTGTTAAATACATAAGGGATAAATGAGAAAGATAATTTAAAAAATTAAAAGAATACTGTGTGAGGATATATGTATAATTAAAAATAAGAAAAGAATAGTATTTAGTGGGCTTGAGAAAAGATATGAACGGGAACTTTTGAACCACTATTGGATATAATTTTGTCTCAACTTTTAAGGCGTTAGTAGGTGAATAACCAAAAATGGAGAAAATTCGAAGCTACATAGATTAGCCTCAAAATTTTAATAGAAGTGAAGTAGGGTTTGATATGTATATTAAGTTGCAAAGTGTCAAGTTATCACTGTTATTTTTATAAAATTTTCAGTCAAAACATATGTTTAGAAGCTCTAAAAGTAATGAAATATTGGTAGTTTATTTTCTTATTTTATTAAACAAAGGATAAAAAGAATTATTCTTTATATATTTAATAATAGATAATGAATCTTGTAAAACTTTTTAGGAACAAAGGGAGAATATTTTTAATGTAGCCTCCAAAACTTTGCTGAAAAGAAAGGGGAATAATACAGACGAATTAAAAATTATAAAGGATTTAGTTCTTAAATTTATTTTGTAAATGAAACTCTTAAATTATTAAGAAAATTCTTGCCAAAATTTGAAATTTTTAAATTATATCTTATCAAGTATTCATGAATTATTTAGCTTTTATTGGTCATTTTTTATTTGTACTCTGTAAATTAAAAAAAAGATTTATAGCATAAAAATGACTCAAGAAAATCTTGTAAATTATTAAGTCGAAGAAAATATTTTTTTACTTAATTTTGAAAACAAAACAGCGTGACTGTCTTAAAGACACACTTGACTTTAAAGTTAATTCATGCGTTTGATGATAAACAATTAAAGTCATGCTCAATGAATGTGCATTAACCTTGTTATTTAATTTTTTAAAGCGGATGAGGAAGGAACGAGGAAGAAGTGTAAACATCTTTGTTTTTCTTCCGCCAGTTGATCATTTTAGTGCCAGATTCTTTAAGCTAACCTGTGGCCGCTAAGAAAATTTGTTTATTATTCAGTACAACAATTAAAATAATTGGCACTTTTCACATAAGCATGCAATTTGTTTTAATGTAATTGTATTTGTTTTCTATCTGTCGACGTTGTTAATTTTTTTAATTTATAAGGAAAACAATTACAAGAAAACAATTAATGCTTGCGTCTTCATTTAAGCGTTCACATGCTTATGCTGTTGACATTAAAATTAAAAGGGAAATTAAAACATTTAAAGGGAAAGTAGTTTAGTATTTATGATAGTCAGGGAAGTAATCACAAAAAAAGAAAAAAAACACAAATTTCTTATTTTTTAAATCGTTATAAATATGTACACGATAAGGAATATAAATGCATGTACAAAAAAGGGCCAATTCTTTATGAGTAAAATCTAATTAATTCGCCCATTTCCTTTATCCTTTATTTTTATGTTCATCTTCCTAAAAACCATTAAACTGCAGATGCTTTTAATGTACAAGCGTACTAATGTTTTTTAATGATTGACATCCAGCCGGTTGGCTTTAGTCAGCTGCCTTAATTTCCAAAAACAAATTCTACAAAAACTGCTAATTTGTCTTTAAAAACATGCTTTTGTCGTTGAATAGTCAGAAATATGTATTTGCAAATACAATTACGCTTTAATTAGCTTGTACTATCTCATAAATTAAATATTAGCCTAACATCAGTCGGAGCAGTTCAATCCCGGCTCAGTTCAGTCTCGATCCTATAACTCTTGAAGAGATGGCCATCTTCATATTTTTGGTATCATTATATAGAGATTAAATACATTATAAGGTTTCAAATAATCAAAACTCTTGACTGACTGATAAGAAAGTTGTGATTTAAAAACTAACTTTTAAAAAATGCGGAAAGAAACAAAATTTAAATTGGTATATTGAAAGATAAGTAAGTTTAAAATAGAAATGCATTTTCACCTCTTAAATATTTATTCAAGTATGTCTTTAATCGCCTTACTAGATCCATAATCTAAATTGCTGGGCATTCCATATAACAAAATCCGAAAAAATTTCAGATAAATACATACGCCATCAACCAAAATTCAAAAAAGCTATAAGCTACTAAATGATGTAAAAGTAATGGGCTTGTTTATCGATAAAATATTAATAAAAACTAAATTTCAATTTAAAGAAAAATTTGACTGAAATTTTATTCAATAATAAAGCTTATATTGTTAAGAAATTATAAGTGTAATAATTATGCGTAATAGATAAAATAGTTAGAAATAGAGGCACAATTAAAATATAATAATAAGAATGCACGTTGTGCTACAAAATAATGAATCTACGTTCCTACAAGAAATTTTAAGCGTTCTTCTGTGTGTGATAGCGCTGTTCAAGTCGGCGTTTCAAATCATGCCAAAAGCAACCTTTCATGTTCTGAAAGTAATTATTTATGAGAAAAAATTAATTTCTTGTTAAAAATGCCTCAAAACGATCATAGCAGCTCAGATATGTCATATCCAATTGAGTAACATTTCCGGGTATCTGATTACAAAATGTCAAGCATCTAATAAAAAGATATAAATTAAATGTGTAAATAAATTAAATAAAAACAAACTTTTCACCAGCCATAGTGTTGGCAACACCTAAAAAGTTTATTTAAGCTGCTTGTTTTTTTGTTTTATGAAAAGAAAGTGATGTGTAGCTTACCCCATAACCGATAAAAAAGCATTTCAAAAATGGAAATATGATAAAGATTAAGTGCTTACCATTGCGTGCACAACATTCTCGATGGTCTCGACCCTGCGCTGCGCAAAATTGCATGTCTGCTGCTGCCTAAATAAGTATTTAAGTTAAAAATTAAATCCGCAGATCCTAACGTTGAATGAGATTATGACTTGAAATTTAGTCTTGAAACCACAAAAATTTCAAAATTACTTACTTGCATTGGGCATGAATCCATACGGAAGTACATGTTCTAAATTAAATGAATTTTACATGAAATAAATTTTAAGAATCATCATTATATTTTTAAAACAAAAAATACCTGAAGAGCTTGACGAGTAAATGAAACGAATGAGCATTTGCTGAGACATTGGTCAGGCTTTAAAAATATTTACAAGATATAATTATTTTACTCGTGTTTTACCAATTGTCGCGCCTGACAACAAGCCATAAAGCGTGCGTCTGGGCTGTCTAATGGCCTGTTTTCATGCTCTTCTTCGCCACCCTGTAGATACAAAATTATAATTTTGGTTAATATTGACATATTAAAAACTACAATTTTTCTAGTTTTAACTGAACAAATTATTAAAATAATTTTACTTCAAAGCCCTCCAAATCTTTTGAGTTTATCTTCAGTGTCCTAGAAGATGCAACCCTCGCTCTGAGTCGATAACATCCGTACTGGCCACAACCTCAAAAGAAATTAATGAACTGAATAGATTCTTAAGTTGCGTCCAAAACTTTCATACCATATCCAACTCCACATTGTGCCGGTATACAAGGAGGTGGTGGTGGTGGCAAACATCCAACTGAACATAAATAATTTTTTAATTAACCAATTATTTTTTATTTAATTTTTAATTGCTTTTTATTTTACTAATTACCTCCTCCGCCACATATTCCTGAAGCAAAACAAGCGTTACTCAAATGGTTATGATTGAGGAATAAAAGTATCATGAATGAGTAAAGAAATAGTTGAGTAAAGTATGTAAATTTTGTTGTAATTGTAGTTTCAGGCATTGTAGTTTTTTTTAGTAAATTTAGAATGAAGTTGAGATTGGAGTTTTTCTATTAAAAAATAAAATGCTAAATTTATAATAAATCCTCAATGAAAAAATATAATCGTTGCACGATAGATGATGGACGACAATAAAAGGATAGCAACTGGCCATTCAATGCGCGACCAATTTTCTCCCAAAAAATAATGCTGGCCATCCGGCTTTGGAAATTAGGCCGGCTGTGTGAAATCTAGAATTTAAGTTAAGCCGCGCAGTTATGGAATCGCGCTGTCTAACGTATTTCTTTTGGCAACTATTCATGAAATTAAAAAAATATTTCTAGCATAGGTAAATTCTTTTAATCTTCTAAATCGATTGAATTTTCACGTTTGCCTAAATATACCTAATTTGTATTTAATACAATTTTTGAAACATATCTTCTGGTTATAAAAGAAAACATGTATAAAATTTTTTTAAATTTGTATTTCAACAGATTAGTCTAATCCCTGGGAGTGGACAGTGTCCAGAGTGATTGATATTCCATGACTTCACAAATTCTCTCTACTAATCCCTCTTCTCTCTCATTGTACATATTTTCAATTCTAAATAAGGAATCACTTTTTCTAACATTAAAAAAGGAAGAAGCTTAAATAGCGTTTTGAAATTGGTTATATTTTGAAAGTAGAGACAAGTTAATAGTAGATGTTGGAATAAAAAAAGCGGCTTATTATTAGATTAAAAATGTGTTAAAACATTTTTAAATATGTATTTGAAACCGGTCATGTTTCATTCAATAAAATTTTTGTTATCGTTTTAAACTCTAAGAAAATTGATTAATTTGTCCCTTTTTAAAATCCATATTAAAGCTAAAAACCATGGAAACGATATTGTATCTAATGATAAATTTTAAAAAAAGAATCGAAATATTTTTTTAATTGGATTTTAGGGAGGAATTTGTCGTAATTAAGAAATTTGCCATAATTAATTTTAAGAAAGCCAAAAACATTTGGAATTGGTGTTAGAAAAAGAAGAAATTTCATATTGCGTTTTTAAATAGCTTTTCGGCTAATATATTTTATGCGCGCAATTTCCTTTCACATCTCCAAATTTATAATCGTCTATTGCCAGTCTCTATGGGCGTGTATTTAACCGTTGGTGGCGTTTTTGTGGTCAGAAAATTGGTCAAAAAGGATAAGGTTGGACGAAGAAAAAGTTTTTTTTGTATGTTTGTATTAATTCCAGGCAGTCATGCTTGCATGGTTTTGTTGAGTTTCTATTTGTTACGATTAAACATTAGTATGATTTAAGATGAAAATTAAATTTGCACTTGTATATGTTGCTTTTTGGTACTTTTTGATGATTGTTTATTCTGACCGGTTGGCAATATAAAAATTGCAAATAAAAAAATGACCGGTGTTGTTAGAGGATGTAAAGAAAAAATTGAGAAATGATGAATCAAAAAAGATACATTAGTAATTGGTTTTGACGAGAAAATGGTTATGAATTTATCCTGTTATTCGCGTTTGTATGTAAGAAAGTATTAATTTGTAAAAAGTAAAATGAAAAATTAAAAGAAACATGCAAATTAATAAATTAGTATGAGTGTAGGGAAATGTTTTCTGATCATCTGAAGCAATCAAAAATTTGTTGAAAGGCAAAAATTTAGTTGAAGACAGACGATAGGCACGAAGGATTAATTTTACTAGTATTATTTGGGATAATGCAGAATGTGAATGAGGTAGTCAGAAAAAAGAAAGCGATAGGTAGAAATGAAACGCGTTTTGATGTTTGTACGTTTGGACGAAAAATCCTCGTAAAATTCCTTGTTCATGATGGGAATTTTAGCCTTTAGCGAATACCTGTTTTAATCTTCCTCCTAAGAAAGTAAAAAAGGTTGAGGAGAAAGGTGTGCTAATGGTAAAATTAAGATGAAAAATGTAAAAAGGAATTGTTCTCTTTCAGATTAGAGCGAAAAAAATGAAAATTATGGGCTTTAAATTATTGCACTAAACTATTTTGAATATTTTATCTTTATCATGTCTCTTAATAAAATATATAAAGTAGAAAAATATCACTAGACTTATCAATAGACTGAAAAAAAGCTTTCAGAAATGTCATCTTTATCCTCACCTCGATTTGTTTTTATATCGAAGGTCGATATGTAATATTTTAGACGTTTGTTAACCGCTTTACGTCAGCGCTAAATTATATTAACACAAAAATGACTAAAATTAACATTTTATGTGATTCATCTAAAGCATTAAACAATGAATCCATCAAAATTGACCTTGAAGCCTTTTATCCTTTTTAATATTTTTTGTTTGATGCAAAGCAAATTCACCAGTAATAGTTTCCTTTGTTGTTTTTCACTTTCTTCTTTTACGCAAACTAAATCAAATTGCATTGTTATGTACGATTACAATAAAAAAAACATAGCTCAAGGTGGCTCAATTGTCAAGGACATCTGTGTAAAAAATATCCTCCTTTAACTTAACCCTTTGTAAAATTCTCCCTATGGCAAATTTATTAAAAAGGTAAGCACAATGTTCGGAAATGGGCGAAAATTAAAAAACAAGTAATTATAAAGAAAGCCCTCGATCCGGGTGAGGTACAAAACACCTTCCGACAGAACACCTTCTGGACAAACCATCTTTGACCAAAAGTGGGCTTCCCTTTATGACTTTCACCCTTTTGACCATTTTTCTATTTTATTGTTTGTGACCATTTTATACTTTACTCAGTTAATGACCATTTATTTTTGTTGTTTGCTTTTTCACGGTTTGTGTTTTTTGTGACGCTGTTTTTCGTGCTCATTGATTTTTGTAATTGTTTATATTTTATTTATTTTCACAAAAAAATAAAAATTTTGAGATTCTCTGAGATTTATTTTTGAATGACATCATATATTTCTGGAGTGTTGGTATTCAAAGCAAGTAATGGGGATACGGGATTGCTATGGTTTCCTTCGGATTGTCGTCAGAAACATTGTCAAACTGGTTTAGCGCTTTTTCAACTAGGGCAGTGGTTAGTTTTTGACAGAATTAATGATATCATTGTTCGACCACTGGACGGTATGCCGCCTTATGAAACTCGCCTCTATCGGACTGAATCATCACAACGGGACGCGTTTGTCGAGGTTCTTTTTGCTATTAATATTATAAGATTTTTGCATCATTTACATTTAGATCAGTGTTCCTCTCGTCTTCTTTTCGGACAAGGTCTTCAACCAGATTGTCGCATATGCCCCTGGATTTGGGCGTGTTGGGTCGTTCTTTAGGCAAGATGCTAATTTGAAAATGGACTGTCTCTATCACGCATGGATTGCATTGTATTATTTTCTTCAACTATCTAAATTTAAAATAATTTTAGTTTTGGTCTCTATCGTGATCCAAATTTATTGACACTAATGAACACTTTCGATGTCCAATGGTTGCTCACTTATCTGGCTGAGCCATTTAGCACCAATGAGATGGTTAAATTTTTAAATATGAATATGTAGCTAATGATTATGTTGGTTCCTTACAACCCAAATTTTCCTGCTTGTTTTATCGGAATTTTCTGACTTACAACCTAAGATTTGAGGTTATAAGCAAAACTGCATGGATATGGATACAGATAGTATCGAGGCTGTTGATCCCCGCCATATATGTCCGCATACGGATAACAAAATTCTTGTCCATGCCCAAGTCTGGTTATAAGGATGTCGAGACTTGTAAATAATTAATCTTACTTATGTTAGATAAGCTAGATTTCTTGAAATTTGATTGTTTATCCTTCAGATATCTGCTTCGGAATCAGGCATTAAATTAAGCCTTGTTAATGGAATTGTCATCAATATTGTTGATGGTTTCGATGATTCTGGTGGTTCCGATAGTGGCAACGATAATCAAGAAAATGGCGACGAAGTACCACAACATCACACTTTCAAGATTGTCACGGTAATATTGATTTGTATTTTGTGTTATACTGTCTATTTTATCAGTTTTGGACACCTTGGCTGCACTCGATTTGTAAATACAAATATGACGAGACTGCTCATCCGAAGTTGGATTTCCGCGTTGGACAATGGTTTAAATTCATGCCAGCGTGAGTTGATTGAACAAGTTTATAACTTTTACAGCAAAGTCATTTCAGTGCTAACTGGTCGACCACTGGTGTTGCAGTCAGTCCATTTCCAGTACAGGCGCCAAAGGCAATGAGTGTTATCGCGAGGAATCCTTTAAAGGTATTTTTCTATTGTATCGTGTGTGGGTTCAAAATCAATATTCATCAATTTAATCATTAATTAAAATTTACTTGCATATTTTTTAGTTACGAATTTCACACGCTCTTTACAATCTGGATCAGGACCCAGCTGCTTTTATCGGTTAATATTTCAAACATTTTTACCATTATCTTTTTTCTTAAAGTTCGCGTGCCGGATTGGCTTGGTGTTCTTCAATCCGGGAGAGAGTTTATTACTTCACTGCGCCGTGCTCGACAATCGCGTCCAAATTTTGCTCCTCGACTTATTGTAGAACTTAATGATGTTTATAATTGGGTGCTCCGGGACTTTGATGGACGCACTGGATCACCGATCCGTGTGGCACCAGCACAGGAAGTGATGGATCATGAGCCAGGCGATGTAGATGAGGAAGGCGTCGAAGTAAAGGAGAGTGACATAGAGGTTCCGAGACCAAGTATGAATTTTTGGTTTTTAGTCTTATCCTAATTCTTCCAGCTGCACCAATTTTGACAGGCGGGTTTGGACATTCGAATCGTTCTACAAATATTCCTTTTGTTTCGTCAACACCAAAACTTTCAACTACTAATAATAATACGAACGATTTTGGGGACTTGTTGGATGACGGGAAGAAAGTACATCCAACTGATGGGGGATTTGGACGTTCCCGACACAAAGCCCGTCCATTGGGTCAGGTTTCACGTCCCGTGGTTAACAATGAACATTCAGCGGACAATGAACGGTCATTATTTTTTGTTAATTTATAAGTAGGGATTGCAAATTTGATAAGAATTAAGTATATTTTTGGGTTTTTAGTTCACAATCGAATATAAGTGAGGAAGCTAAAGAGAATGATATGACACATGATGTGGCCCAACCACCAACCTCCGTTAATGCTACTAGGGGATCTTTTGGTGGTAGCCGACGTGGTGCGAAGCCTCGACCGCAGTTTTCACGCGCTTCACCCAACCCACCTTCGGTATTCTATTTCATTTTTGAAAATTCTGAAATTTCTTTCGACAGAGACCTCATTCTCGACAGGAAGGCAAGACAACTCAACAACGATCTTCACCCATCTCATCACGCCATAATGGCACATTCCTGGATCAATGCAACAAGCGTTCTGGCGGAATCGAGAAGAAGAACTTGAGCGGTGTCGTCGTCGCAAAAGCAACCAGCAATAATCGTAGCAAAAATGGAATAATAATGTTTGTTGTTTAACAATACTTAAACCTAATAACCTTAAATTTAATTTTTAGTTATTCGCCCGTTTTTCCGGAAGGTGAGATTTCTGTCCCTGTGTCTTTGTGTGGCGATTTGAGTGTTGGAAGTTGGGTCAAGTTCAATGCGTAAGTTCATTTAGCTTCTTCACTTTTTTGCTCTGAACATTATTTAGAACTATTATGGGTGAAAAGATCACCACTACGGATTTTGAAGTAGAGAAAACACCACCTTTTGAGACTAAAGCATGTGGAAATACTGTTAAGGTATGATTTAAAACTAAAATTCTTTTGTTAGATTTTTTTAGATCAAGCTCAATGCATATGTTCCGAAGAGATGGTACCCGCGTATGTCAACGTTCGTTCCAATAGTTGAGACTGATTTTGTTAAGGTTTTTTTAATTCACAATGTTTTTTCCCTGTCATACATATTCAGGTTGTCGATAGCAAAGGCCTATTTGATGAGACGTGTGCTAACCAGCAGTTGACAGTTTGGATTGAGAGGATGCTCGAAGGAAACTCGCAATACAATATTGTTTGGCATGTTGACCAGATCGATGAGTAAAATTTGATGATGGATATCAGTATTATTTATTGGCTTTTAAACATATTAGGTTGTAACGTTTAACATTTTTCCTAACTAACCTTTGCCTTAGTTTTGTAATTTTCCAAATGGATAAATTCTTATAAATTTAAACTGTTACAACCGAAAGTTATGAACATTTGAATACAATTTTTTGGGTTTATTCAATTAAATATTTATCGTACGGTATAAAAATGATCAATCTTATTAATTTAACTGGACCGGTTAGGCGATCATGTCTTATTTTCTGGCGTGTTGATATATATCAAATTAAAATTTTTAACATCAAATTTCCGACACTGAACGAAATCAGTCTAATTTCGATAATTCAAATGCTATTAAACTCAGTCAGCTATGACTCATATGAGGCCTATCCTATTTCAGGTACATAGTCAGGAGGTTGAACCCGAGCCTGCTAAAAATTTAACACTTTGTCTGCGGCTGCGGGAAATCGGATTTTTGACACCTTCGATGTCAGAAGTATAGATTTAACAACTAGCAGAAAAATATGTTCTTAAGATTTATTTTCAAAAATTTATTCGACAATTTAAATATTCTGATTGAGCTAAAGAATCAGACGGAAAACAGTGTCGATAAAAATAACCAAATAATTTCCAATAAAATTTCAGAACAATAGGCATTTAACATTGCGATGTGACATATACTTTAGGATTCTCCTTCTATGTGATGTTGCTGCGGTTGAACCTCTTTAGTCTCGTTCTTTGACGCTTCCTCGAAATCACCAACCAACTCTTAAAATTAAAACATAAATTTTTAACTCTGAATAAAGCCCTATGTAAATAATCGTTTTCGCTAATATAACAAAAAATTTTAAAAATATGCGGGATGCTACTATCAAACTCCCGTCAACATACTAGACGGGTGCTAGCGAAAAATCCAACTAGATATAATCTTGCGTGTTATGAAAATGGACATGTTACAGAACATGACCATATAGAAAACACGCAACCCAAACGTTAACCACTAAACCAAGGTAAACATTTAACAGGATATGTTAAATCGTTATAATATTTTAAGGGGTATCCGTTATAAAAATCCAAGTTTCTCTTTTTTAAAAACAAAACCTGGAACATCATCATCCGACGGCTTATATTGCGTAGTCACATTGTTGGCCAATTTCTAAAAAACAAATTTAAGTTTGTAGCTTCCAGACACCAAAAATAAAACCTTCAAGTGCGCAAGCGATTCAGCTCCAAGCTGGTTTAGAATGCCCGGCAACATGTCAGTTATACCTAAAATGGATTTTACGAAAAAAACTTGTCAGAAAAGACGAACGCTTGTTCTCCGCAGTCCCAGTGATCGAAAAAGTACTAAAGTAAAGATTGTAGATTAATATATAAAATGAACAAACTTAGCAGGCACCGAAGCTTGCACCTTCGGATTGTTGAAATGAATAACAGTCCCATCCTCCTTAATCATATTAACTTCTTCGATGCCAGGAATGTTCGTTACAGAAAGTTTCTTCAGGTTGCTCTGAAGCTTTTTGTCATCCAACGCTGTCGTTTTATGCACAACTTTCTTCTTTCTTCGGGCAGTCCCCTAAACATTAACACTCTTACTCGACAAGAAAATTTTTTAATTCTTCCTTATCGACAAAGTTCAATTTTTAAATTTTTATACAGAATGATAAAACAAAACCTTGCCACCAGTGCGAACATGTTCAGCATTCTGTTGGAGCTTCTTTATTTTTTCGGGATTCATCTTTTAATTTCAATTATGATATATTTAGGTTCTATATATGTCTAAAAGAAAAAAATTGATCAAATATTCATAAGATTAGTAAGGTTTCCATTTTCAGGAGTCTATTGCTTTGACCTGAAATGGAGCATATATTGTTTTGCGTTGAATATTCCCCTGTTTTTGCGCCCTAAAGCAGCCAACTTAGACTTTTTCGTGCCTACTAATTGAACCCACCATGATTAAGCGCGTAAATAACTCCAATTGCACGTCGCATAGATAAAATAGGTAAGTTTAGTGACAAAAGATCAAGTGACGAAATGTAAAATAACAATTAGAAAATGTAAAATGACAAAAAATTTATTATGCCAAATATAGAAATTTTAAATTTTGTAATGTGATTCTTCAGTCTAGGATCGGAACAAATATCGGAATCCAGACAAGTTTCCCAGTATTTCTTCCCGATTTTGTAAAATTCCATGTAATATGCCGTGTTTTTCGTCTATTTTCCTCGGTCCAATGCCCTTTGACCAACTGTCTTTATGTTCCATTATCTCACTGTCTAATTGTCGTCCCATAAATAGATTCCAATTGTCACAAATCTAAGCGGTTAAGGACGATTCAGTATCGCCGATTCAGTATAGCCGATTCAGTATCGCCGATTCAGTATCCGCCGATTCAGTATATGGCCATAACTTTCCTGATATTCGACCGATTTGAATAATTCTCATATCATTCGAAAGGTCTCAAGATTCGACATCTTTTTCATAATTGGCCCGATCAGATCTGGTGATCACAAAAAAAGTTACAGCGTGAAAACCGATTCTTTATGCCTGTGACGTCGTTTATCAGTGATAACTTTTTGTAGAGTGATAAGATCAGATCAGTCCAATTATGAAAAAGATGCAGCACCCCGAGGCCTATCAAATCATATATAATAATTCCCACAATATTGATCGAGCAAAAAGTTATGGCCAAAAAAGCCAAATACTGAATCGGCCAATACTGAATCGGCGATACTGAATTGGCGATACTGAATCGGCGATACTGAATCGTCCCCTACCCAATCTAAGTGCCGTGCCACAGTAAAAATTTAATTCCTTTTTTTAAGTTTTTGTTCATCTTCTAACTTCTAATTGCTTTTGTTAATTTATAGTTGTTTATTTACTACATTTTAATTGCTAATGGATTCTGTTGCTGAAAGTCCTATTGGTACCAGAAGAAGTGCGACAGACAATGCCTTTATTGTTCCAGTTGACGATGGAGAACATGTTACTGAATCATGGGTGAGCACGTTGTGGCGTTGGTGGAATGAACGTGTAATAAATGCACGATTGGTTTTTTGCTTCAATTTTTCTATTTGTTTCATTTTTCTTAAGACACATTACGACAAGGATGAGCGTCTCACTTTCATTGCTCAGCGATTTGCACGAGTCTTAACCGCTTTTTTTGATGAACGTACAAAAGTGGAATTAAGTGGACATTTGCTTTGTGAACAAACAAAACTGCTTCTTGGAACTGATCCTTTGGCTATAGCGATTCGTCGAAAATATGGGTATTTTAGATCAATATATTCATAAAATCTTTTTTTACAGACAAAGAATGGCTGAATGGATTTCAATTTATACAGGATACATAGAGCAGCATGAGAAAACCAACAAACAGAAAAAATTGCCAACACAGCCCTTAGTGCCTATGAAGCTTACTGTTTCGAGATCCTTGGAGTTTTTGAGGAAAATACCACAGCTGCACATTGCCCTTCAAGATGGTGTTGACGACCTACTTGTAACTGTAAGTCTTATAGTTTGTTCTGAAAGTGAATTAACTTCATTATTGGTATTTGTTATTTTTCAATTTTTCAGAACGTGCTTGGTGATCAACTGATGGGTTGTTTCCGTGGACGGCGTGACATTTCGGGTGCTATATTAGCGCGCATTCAGAATTTGGCAGCAACAATAACACAACAAATCACATGGTCCATGCTTATTGAACCAGGACGTCCGAGAACAGATTTATCGGTATGTTTTTTTGAAATAAAATTGAATGAACATTTATAGCGTTTCTATGCTGAATTTGATGTGCTCGAGAGTTTTTTTGACAAGGTTGGGTTAACTACTGAGGAATTATCTACAGGGCAAACTTATTCATCGACTTCTTTTCAAAATGATATTAATGCAAGTTGTGTGTTGGGCGGTCCTCTTTTAAATACTTTTATTCTCGCCCAATCTCCTCGAAATCACACCATTTTTGACTTTTGGAAGATGGTTTGTTATTTATTAATTTTTTAAATTTTCCCAATTAAATCCGCACTTTCTAGATTTTTTTTTTAAAATTCGTTTAAGGTTTGGCATGAGCGAAGTGAATATATTTTTATGTTATCAGAAGCAAGTGTTGTTCCGTTAGTTGAATGTAACACTCATTGCCCATTCTTTTGGCCAAGGTTCATGTTTGCTTCAATATTTCTATTTTTATCATTTACATTTTGTAGACTTGAGGACGATGAGTTAAACTTCGGGTGTTTACACGTACGAAATGTTGGTATTGACATGGCTACAGACCCTCTTTTTACTATTTTCAATTTGGATATTTGGATGACAACGATGGAAGAAAATTTTCAACAGGGTGTAACGGCAAAATTACGTCTACAACTTTGGCAATGGAATTGGCGAAACTACACAGATTTTTACTGGCCTTTCCGATTACTTTTTCGGTTAACTTTTTTAATTTAATATCATTTTGAATGTTACTATTTCCAGATCACGTAACTCTAAAAAACCGACAGTTTTGGTGTGTAATGATGGGTGTGGTAAATCTGGAACTTTAGCTTTAATTGAGGTCACCTTTGTTATAAATTTGTATTTTTTAAATTTAACAGATCTTTCTAATGCAACTTATTCGTGGTTCTGTTTCTGTTGAACATCCTATGCTGACGGCAGGTGTGTTCTTACGCCTTCAGCGGCGTCATGCTGTTGCTAACTCGATGCAGTGGTTGTTTGCTTATCGTACAGTTTTACATTGGCTCCAACCTTTTGTTATCTCATGGTAAGAATTTTTTAATAGATATTATATAATAGAGAGGAAGAGAAAACAATTTTTAACTTTTATTTTATAATTCTAAACCAATTGTATTTAATTAAATTTTCCGGTATCATCGCTTCGTGCTTGGTTTTACATTTCCTTCTCATGGATTTTGTGGAAAATATGAAGAGATTGCACATACTTATTCGCATAGGAAAAATTTGTCAGTTTAGGATTTTTTTAAAGACTTAAACTTGTTTTTGAATTTTATATTAGATATCTTTTATTTCTTTGTTAATCATTTTTTGACTCACTATTAAAATATAAATTAAGAGTTAAACAGTATTTATTTGTAACTATTTTCAATTGACTGTTTTTATGGAATATAACTTTCAAATATTTTAGCAAGACTTTTGAAAGGTAAACTAAAACATTGTGTGGCAGTCTTATTAGTACCACAAAATTCTATGGGACGTGCCAAAATTATTAATGCGATTAAAAGCAATTTCTGTGCTTGTTTGTTGTCGACTCCTATATGCGGTTCCTTTTTTTAATTCCTTTATTCTTCGGGCGGTCGAATAAATTTTTTCTTATCCTTAAGTGCAAACTACCTTAATTACTCAATTCGAAAGTGCTTGCATCACGTTCTCGACTGCTTTTTGTCTCCTCAAATTCTTGCCCATATTTATTAACAGCTAGCACCACTTTCCTCAATCTTCATTTTGTCTCATTTACTTCTCTTACTTTCGATGTTTGTTAGGCCCCCCAACTAACTCCTATTTGCACCTCTACGCTTTTGTGGTTGCTTCGGAGGCTGGCCTCCTCACTTAGAGTTTCCTCTTTGGTCCCCAGTTTTTTCTTTTTACACATCTTATTTGTTAAGGCCGCCCGTTTGTTGGTTGGGCCTCTTAGTTGGTTCCTCCGCTATTAGTTGGTTGGCTCCATTTTCATGCCCCTATTTCACATTTCTAATTTCAATATCTGCGCGTTGACAACAGTTTATGTTAAGGGCCTCAATTACAGTGCCAATTTAGTGGGCCAATCTTTAAAACGTTAACTTTTAATTTTATTTTACATTTTTTACTTTTAAATTCTCTCTTGCCTTGATTGATTCCCTTAATAATTCCAAAGCTTGAATTCTTGCTTTACCATCCGCTTTAAAAAAATTGTAGAGCTTATGACAGACATAAACGAAAAGGCGATTAAACAACATTTTATAACGTTCCTTTCCATTTATTTATGGACACATTAGCTTTTAGCAATTGTCTTTTGTTTTTTCCTTGGGGATGCTTGGGGATCAACAATTGTATTCTTGATTTATTCAATTCTTGTGTTTTCGTGATATCATTGTTCTGATTCTGAGTTTTATTCCATATTTTCGAAATCTAATTTACGTTTGCGATAAATTTAAATTCTTAATAACAGATTTATGCATCAACAACATTTATTTAATTCACCTTCGTGTTCATCAATACAAAACAGAGCCTATCATGCTCAACCATCAGAAGAAACATCAAAGATAAATTGCACGACGGAGGAAACCGGTAATTAAAATTTTCTTACTGCCTTGTAATCTGGAAATTGAACAATTATTTTTTGAAGGTGATGATAGACAGTCCCAAACTGTTGATCTACAAATGCCACGACAAACAGTCAAAGCAAATGAACAAAAAACTTGTGATGGTCGATGTTTTGCCGAACGTCGTGTTCATTGCAGGGAACTTGGTAAATGGGGAAAGCCAATGCTTATGACAATTGTTGGTGGGTTTGAATTTTTTTAATTCCGAGTAAATTAATTGAAGCTTCTAAAATCTTATATGCTTCTCTTAGATTTATCTCTCTACTATTCTCAAGTTTTTTTCTACTGGGATATTGAGCTTTTCGTTTATTCTTTTTTTAAACTTTTCTGACGGACATAATACCATTACCGCTTAACTTCTTTCTCGTTTCTCGTGTTTTTTTTGGTTTGTGTCTAAGGTTGTCAGAAAGATCATAGTTTTCGATTAGCTTTTTTAGAATGAAATAATTTAAAGGTTTATGCAAATCTTATTAATTAATTCAGAAATCTTTTTTGAATTCTCCTTTGGACTAACTGCTAAACTTTATTTTTAACTATCTATTTAGAGTACATGCAGCCCTAAAAACCCCAGATATCCTATTCACAAAATATATATTCATACATATTTGTAAGATTCATTTCTTTATACGGTATTTATGCGTAACCAACAGAGATCTTTATTTTTATTCCTCAATCCCAAAAATAAATCTCTCTTTTCATCTAAAATATATATTTAAAAGGCTGTTGACATTAGCATCCCAAAATCGTAATAAAGACAGCTTTTAACGATACCGAACTTTTTTTATTTGGTAAAAGTGTAGAAGCTAATAAGAATAAGTAAAATTGAGATGTATGGTTGCCCGGGGGATGTGTCTAATAAATTTTAAACATTTTCAAAAGTATAAAAAATTAATAAATTGGTATTAATTTATGTTTTTTCACTTTAAGCTTGAACCTTTGAAATCGTTTATATTTTGTTTTTGCTGTTATTTTTGACAAATTTTCCCTACATTTGGACATCATTAATTTAGAAAGCATTTTCTGACAAATATATTTTCTAATAGTTGTTGGGGATTGGCTCATACACAAGCTTATAAACATATATTTTGGTGATTCTGTGGTTTCCATGGTGGTTGTCACGGCACCATTTAATGTTAGCATTTTGGTTAGTGGCCTATTTATTGTGTGTGACAGCGATCCCCATTCCCTAAATCCTTGTGAGTCTGGATGCTAATTTGTTTTAGGAAATAAGCAGGAATGGGAAAAAGGAAATTTATTAATTTGATGAAAATAATATAAAGTAAAATTAAGGAGAATGATAAAAATAAGATAGATTTATCTTAAGATTTTTGGGATGCTAATTATAAATTTTAATTAATTTTAGCTCATAAAATTGACTCTCTTTTTTTCTTAAATATCTACTTGCTTACTTTATCTTTTATTCATTCTTATCTTTTTCCTTATCTTCAATTTAAACATCCTTTATCTTCCTTACACTGTTTTTGTCCAAAATTTTTCAATTGCTTTTTACACATTCACTACATATAGCGCATTCATATATATAAACGGCGTTTGCCTCAAGTGCAATCCTTTGGCACACTTAATTAATTTTTATGCCCGGGCTAAATTTGTGCTAAACACCGGCTTCCTAAGTGAGTCTCATTTTCATTTCATACTACGAATTGGCGCAAAAGTGTAGCGATGGAAACGTCAATGAAGAAGATGGGAAGTGCAAGATTATTTCGAAGGGCGACAAAATACGCAGAAAATGCAAAACAAAATGAAAATTACTTTTTAGCTGGTTATTAATAAAAATTTAAAAATTGTCCATGGCGCACATGCATAGATTAGTCATTAATATTTTTAATGTTAGTGCGAGGTAAATAACCTGCAATTTCTGCGGGAATATAATTGGGATGTAGAGGATACGATTTATTAAATAGTAAGAGAAGAAAGGTAGTATTTGGCAACCAATATAAACTATAAATTCGAACGTATAACAGCAACTAAAGCTAGACTATTTTAAAATCTCAGTTATTTAAAATCTAGGAAAATATTTAAATTTTACTCTAAAAGTATCAAATGAAAATGAAATTCATTGTGCCAAATGCTTAGATAAAATAAATAAATTGGTGTGAAGAGGGATACAAGTGGCAAAGAGTGAATATAAGATGAGTTGGATTTGTGGAAAAGGGGAGAAATAATAAGGAAAACCACCCTTTGCCCGAATTAATTAGTAGTATGCAAGAGAACCTCTGCAACAGACATGGCTGTCTAAATGTGGCAATATTCTCGTCTTCTTTCAAATTTTTGAATAAAAATGGGACGAAAATGCTGGATATTTTGTTGGTTGATGGGAATTTTCTTTAATATATTTTCATTTTCCCTTTGCCATCCACTTTTCTTACTTCGTTTCATTTCACGCCTCAAGCTGTAAATACTCCATTTATTGCGCTCAAATTTCAAAGTAAAAATGCATCCGATAAGCATAACCCGATTTTTTTGTTAAACAGAATTTTAAATTTTTTGAGGTTTCTTAATGAGAATTTTAGAATTATTTACATTTTTATAAAAAATCTTCCTCTTTTTCTAAATTATTAATTAATTTATGTATATTTTTTATATTTATGTGAAAACTTTAATTCCACCACCCTTCACATTAGCATTATTTTTAACCAACATTTTATTTCATTTCTTTGTTCTTTAGTAAAAATGTTGAGCGCTTCTCTTAGACAATCTAAAAAATTAAAGTCACACCTTTCGCCAGCCTAAAAACAAAGATTAATTTATTCAATAATTTGTTTTAAAATTTGTCTAAACTTATAATTGTTTGGTTCTTGTGTAATGTTAAAGCGAACACAAACATGGCCGTCCAAAAGTCTTTAATTTCGGGATTTAATATTTCTTTTGCTCCTCAACCCGTCAGTCAGGATCGGGAGGAAGGCCTGCTTTTGGAAATAATCCTTAAACCCTAAAATTTGAAATTATCTTTTTATCCCCTCTTCACTCATCTGTGATTTTCTAGGCAAATTTCTCCCATTTTTATTCTTTATCTTCCCTTCCCTAACAAAATTTGAAATTCGTTGGCCAGGAAAATAGTAATTATTTATTTCGCTTTTATTCTTTTTATGTTTCCACCACAAACAGTCCCATCCTCATCCAACTTCCGTTGGGTACTAACCAAAGCGCGACTTCCTTGGCCATCATTTGGCCATGGCTAGAAAACTCTCATTTAAGTAATGTTTATTCTTTTTCCATCACCGCTCTATCAACGCTTCCTTTATTTTTATTTAATCCTTCAAACGCGCCCTATCCTTAACCACCCTTTTAACCCTTTTTTCGCTCACTCAAAATAATTAGGATCATTTGCCAAATAAATTATGCATGTTTTTGGAAATAATTTTAAAATCCTACAATTAGAAATAGCCATTCTAAATTTTTCAATTTTTTAAAATTATAATAAAAAATATTTTGAAAAAATGCTCTCACACAAACGCTTTCCATTTATGTTATAGAGAATGAGGGTTGGGCGTCTTTTAGTTTGTGAGGATTGGCCCGGGCTAAATTTTTATATACTGTAGTTAAATGTGGAATTAGCGAACAATTTTTCGTTCAATTGTTCTTTTCTTTTTTGTTATATCTTTAATTTTAAAAATTAAATTAGTTCTTTTTAATATGTATCATGTTATTCATCAAAAAGAACCATTTTCTTTGAAATCAACTTAATTTTTTAAAATTAATTTTAATAAATAATTTAAAAAAGATTAACTTAAAATTGCTATTTTAGGTCTTGAAAATGTATTTCAACGTGCGCTTGGACCACTTCAATGGCGCAAATACTGCAAAGCTGTTAAAGGTTGGTGGGTTTTATTTTTGTGTTTCCTTTTTTTCCTAAACTTTTTTTAAAACATGATGAGAAGGGATATATTTATTAAAATAAATAGCGAGAGTAAAACTGCTTAGGGCTATTTTTATATTGAGCAATATGAAAAATAACTAAGCACGCTTCATTGAAATAATATTTAAGTTTTGTTAGTGGTGGTGGCCAATTTTTATTAGTGGTGGCCGTTCTGACTATATAAATAATTTTTCTTCCCTTTGTCCATATAATATGTTGGGTGGTCCATCTGTCTTTTATTTTTTGATTATCCTGATTTTATAATCTTTCTACTAAATATTTTTACCTCCCAAAATCTTCATTTTACTCCCCAAAATTTATTTTTACTTCACACAAAATTTTTTCTACGTAATATCTTTTATAAAAAGTAATATTTTCATTCTGTCTTCGTTTTAAGCATTTTTTAACAAAAGTTTTTTTGTCTTTTATGCATCTTAGTTGGTAAAGAAAGGTTAATTTACCAACAAATTGTATATAAAATGTGCGGCAGGCTTTATATTCTCTACTTCATTTTTGAAGCCTACATATCTCCGCACTTGCTATGGTTATTCGCCCTAAGCTGTCAGTTGGGAAAAAGTTTTGGTTTTGTTATATAGTTGTAGGTAAATAAGTTTTGTTTTCTAATTTTTTTGTTTGTTTTGTGAACTTTTGCCGCCAGCCATCTACAAAATCAGAAGCAATTTTATTTTGAAAAGGGGAGTAAAAAGACAAAAGTAACAAATTTTGTCACCTTCTTTATTTTTTCTAAATTAACCGCATTTTTAGATTCGTTTTTAACCCTAGTCTTAAAAGATTTAGCAGGTGACAGCTTACAAAAATTTCCGCGCATTTTGTTATATTTTTGTCAATTGTATTATTTCATTTCTTTAAGAAACCTCCATTAGGATTTTTGATCAATTCTACACTTAATTTTTTTTAAATTTTGTTTTAACTTTTTAAAATGACATTCAAGAATTACTGATTCTTTTTAAACACCATTTCTCTTAATATAATTCTACCACTTCTTTTTTTTCTTCTTGTTTAAAAATCATGGTAGGATCTTTTTTTTCTGCAACCACTACTATTTTGCTTGTAGTTTCGGCGACATAAAAAAAGGACAAAAAGTTCACAAGCTGTTAGCTATTTAACTCATTTATTCTTCCCTATTCTTTTTTACGCACATTTTCATTGTTTCATTTTTCATAGGATTGCCGTTTGACCTTTTATTATTTTAAATTTTTGCTCCAAATTGAATATTTTTGAATTGAATATTTTTGTTTTTTTGACGTCATTAGATATTTTGGTTTTTTAGAAATTTTAATTTAAGAAATTGCTCAAAATCATTTTGGAGATTTATTCTCATTTCTTTAAATAATCCTCACCCACCTTTATACAGTTTTATCTAAAAACCACCTACTCATTTTCTTTTTTTAATATTGAGGTAACAATGATTGTGTACATGAAAAATGAGAAAATTTTTTAGATTTTTTTAGGAACGAATGTCATGTTTATTTAGGTTTTTGTGGATTATTATTTGAACATAAGTAGTTTTTTTTATAATTCTAGTATGGGAATGTCGGCGAAGAAAGAAACCTGTCAGGTTCACAAGTTTATCCTTTGAACATTTTAGTTTTCTTTACTCATTTTATTTTGATTGGCATGCGATAAGACAATAGAATTTTATCAAAGAGTCAGCAGAACAAAGCTATTGTTTTTTCCCTCAATTCAGTTGCGATTTTCTTTAAGCAGGACTTTTTTTAAATTTTTTTCTCTAAAATTTTTAACCATTACCATATGACTTTTTTTAACATAAGCATTTTGGGTGTGCACTTTCCTCACAAATACATATTAAATGCTTATGCAGCAACCATTCGGGCGGCCCTATTAAAATTGGAGGTTCATAGGACTGCTTTCCACTACACCACCTCCGCAATGCTTTTTCTATTCCCCCATTGGCCGGGTGTGCACATTTAGAGATGTCCGCCCGGCTGCTGCCCGACTGACATTTTTGTGTTTTTTTTATTTTGTTGGCCTATCTATCCCCCCATATTAACCCATTTTCTGCTCAATCATTCATTTATTTTTGTAAATTAAGCTGTATTTTGTCATTTATTTTGTATGTATTTTTCTCTTTATTTTTTCATTTCGTTTTCATTTATATTTTATTTTTAAAAAGCAAACACTGCTAAAATAGCCAAACTTATATTCATTCTTCTTTCAACCTCCCCCCACATTAATGTGTAAAAATGACTAGGTATCTACCACCAATTGACATTTGCTTTTGTTGATGATCCAACGGTCCTCACAACATTCATTTTCTAATTCATTTCACCTGTCGATTAGTGTTGGGTTTTACAAGGTATTGCAAATATTCTTAATTTTTTTGAGGGACGTGGCTAAGATCGAAAATATTTGGCTGGAAATTCGCCATTCATTCCTTACGCAAACCTAGGCCTAAAATTTTTAAATCTGGGCTTAAATTTTTTAAATCTTAATAGTTGCAATACCAAAATTCACTGATTTTTTATCTCTTATTTATATTTTGCATTTTATTTTTGTCAATGTAAAAATGGGAAAAACTTTTAAGGAAGATCAAGGCTTAAGATAACTTTACATTAATGTTTTATTTGTTAAATAATTGTCGTTTTTATCGTCAGCCTCCTTTCTCTCAACGAATCTTAATTTTTGTCCTATGATTAAACCAAAAGATTTTTTAATAGCTTGCCCGTCCTTAATAATCGAAGATTTTTAAACTTTGAGAACTTAGTTTTTTCCACAAAGATTTAACCGCTATATTTTTGTTGAAAGAATGGAAGGTGTAAGAATGAGAATGTAGAGGGCAATGTTCATCAAAAATTAAAAGAATATATAAAATTTAAGTAGAATGGGAGAAATTATTTTTTAGAGCTTGGAAGGAATGTTTGGAAGTACAGTTATGTAAGTAGGCATTAAAGACAGGCATCAAAAAAGTGGTTGATTTAAAAGGAAATGTTTGCTCTACCATATTTCTTTCCTCTTTTCTTTAAGATTATATTGGTTGTGAAATTATGATTGGGGCGGGAATAACAACATTTTTAAGTAGAAGAGTATTTTTGATTATTAATTTTTTTAAAGAGATTTGTGTGTAAACGAGACTAAAGTTTATTAAGTGTAGAGAAATTTATTTTATGTTTAAATTTCTCAATAAAATTATAGAAAGCTTTCTTCTCTAATACATATCTCTCCTTCATTTAATTTTTAAATTCTTAAATTTTTTTCCTTTAATTTTAGTTTTAAATTACAATTCTAACTTTTTTAGCATCCATCTCAAATCCTAGGGATTTTTGTTTTATTGAAGAGTTACTTTGTGATTGGTGCCTTAATTCTAGAATGGCTGCAACTGGTTATGATGTATACTAACTTTATTAATTTATAAAAAATTTTTTTTTTAATTTAGTCTTGTCCAACAATGAATGAGGAACTTCTTGGTGATGATTCTGCTTCCTTTAGCTGCTCTACTTTAGCAGCATCTTCCTCATCTTCTACTAATAATGCATCACCTCAAGCTTCCACAATCTCAACAAATAGTAGAAATCTTAACAAATGCTCAGCAGCAAATTTCCAATCTTCTTCGACTCTTAATGACGAATCATCTGATAGATCATCTCTTTCAGCTGCGTCTTTACAATTTATGATGGAATCATCGGCTGCCTCTGCTAATAATAATAATAATAATCCTGGATCCCAGCAGCAACATTTTCTTGGCATTCAATCATCTATGGCGTTCCTTGCTTCATTGTTCAATCACGGTAAAATCCTATTAATTCTCTATTTTCTCAAAAATTCAAAATAGGTGCTACAGAATATCCCCAAACTTATTTGCCACCATTGCCTTCAGCATTTTCGTTTCTTTTACAAAAAGCAAATCAACCAGCAGCTTTACAATCACCATCAATAATGCCAGCTGGATTTCCTAAAATAATGGCCAGTTCAAAACCTAATTTACCAACAGCAGTTTCTCCAACATTTCCGTTGTCTCTTCCTCCACAATTTAATACTCAAGCTTCTCTTGATTGTTAGTTTACTTTTAAAATTTAATCTTTTTTAAATAATTTCACTTGATTGGGTCGGTTTAGGATTTATTCTATAGGATTGGCGGATCCGGGTCCAAAAAAGTATCGGAAATTTTCGAATCCAGGTTCGGGGATTTCCTATGATCGCCAACCTTAATTCTATATAGCTATTCACTGTTGGCTATTCAACAAATTTCCAAAAATTGTAATTCTTTCTATTTTATACTTTAGTGCAACAACAGCAGCAACAACAATTAGCAATGACTTGGCATTCGCAACTACTTGCTCTAAGTTTTCTCAATTCAATGCAGCAACAGCAACAACAAAATGGATTTATCTTTCCTCCTCAACTTCCATTAAATTCAGTTATTCAGCCATCTAATTTTGATCAACAGCATCAACAATTACTTTCATCTGCTTCTTCTGATGACGAAGCATTTTCTTTACTTTTCGGACAAAGATTGCAACAAAGAAAATATTCTCCGCCAACTTCAAATCAAACATTTCTTTCGACGGGTAGTATTGAAGGGAGTATTAAAAGTGATTTTCCTAGTCAAAAAATTGGTGGAGATGAACAACCATTGGATCTTTCTGGTAATAGTCACTAATTTTAAACTAGCAATAAACGGGTGACCCCAATTTACCCGGGCTATAACTTTCAGAATTATCGGATCTGAGACATGCCTGTAAAGTTGGATTAAGCTCGTCGAGTTGTATCGAACCATGGAGCGTTCCGGATTCGATAATTTTAAACAAGGTTATAGCCGGCGGTACTATGGCCTGCTCCCCAATAAACTAAATATTTTCAGCCAAACCAAGTGCCTTAAAGAATACGATTGGTAAAACTTCTTGCCCTCCTTGTTTAAAAATGAATATCTCCGATGATGTTTGTTCTCCACATTTAATTAAGGGGATTTTATCGCAACAAATTCGGTATTTAAAAATTAAAAATTTCCTCTTTAATTATCTTAACTTACAGAGAATCTCACGACTTGGATGAGGAAATTGATCTTAATGAAAGTGGAAATACAAATAGTGGCGTTGTACTTGGTGCAATCAACTCCAATTCGAATTTGCTAGAAGATGGTAGTGAAGCTGAAACTCCTAAATTATTAGGAGTAAAAAAATATTCCCAAGCAGATTTGGACGCTGCAGTTTTGGTAATCTTTGATTATTTCTTATTTTCATAACTTTTGTTTTTAGGACATTCGTCTCGGACGTTTAGGCACTCGCCGTGCCTCAGTTGTATATGGTATACCTCGTTCAACATTGCGTAACAAAATTTACAAGCTTGAGGCTGCAGATGAACTTTTGACTAGTGGTTTGGATTGTAGCACTAATAATAATAATAGCCGACACAAACGTCTAGCTGCCTCTGCTTTAAACAAAAAAGAACGTAAACGGTATTCTTTGTTTTTATTTAAAATTTTCCTTTTTTTAAATCTTAGAGTTGCGTCAACGTCAGTATCCTCATCGCCAAGATTGAAGAAAGAAAAACAGCAGGAGGTTGATGAAGGAATAGATCCTAGCAATAGGTCTAATGTTGAGAAGAATTATGCATTGATCTCTAAAAAAGGCGAGAATCTAAAGGCGAAAAACGAGCATTTGGAGTCTTCATTAGCAATTAAACAGCAACAACAACAATTGGATGTTTTAATTCCAAGTGCTTCGACATCATTAACAGATGGGATGTCAGTACCAGGTTTCTATTTTTTTTGTTTTTTTTGTTAAAATTAATTTTCCTTATAGCAATAACTGCCGAAACTCTTTTCAAAGAACTTACTAGCCAACTTGGTCAATTTGTTGGACAGGCTAATAATATTGAACAACTTGCTAATAATATTCCTACAGAACCCCAATGTGATTTTGACTTAGAAAAGTATCAGGAGTTTGATCCAAAATGCAAAGGAAAGCGTCAAAAACGTGGACAATATCGGTTAAATTTAAATTTATCCTTATTCTAGATAACAAATTTTAGTAAATACAACAAAGATGCATTAGATAGAGCAGTAACAGCTGTACGTAATGGTGAGATGTCTGTTCACCGTGCGGGTTCTCATTTTGGTGTGCCTCATTCAACGCTTGAATATAAAGTTTGTTTCTGGTTACTATTTCTTTTTCTAAAAAAATTTATTTAGGTAAAGGAACGTAATCTTATGCGTATAAAGAGTAAAAAACAGCACGGACTGCTTAGGTTGCCACCTATTTTGACTGCATCAACAGATGCCTCGGGAATTGTTCAACAACAACAACAGCAGAATTCTCTATATTCTTTGCAGAATAATGGCAATCCAAATGGAGAAGGACATAAAAATGCGGAAGAGGAGGAAGAAGAATCTTGTTCTCCTGTGACTGGAGAAGTATGCAAAAATTAAAATATGAATTAAAAAATAATTTTTAATATAAAGGTTCAGAATTTGCTTGGAACAATGCTGAAATCGCTTGTTTCTGCTGCTTCAGCAAATAATAGAGGAAATAATTTGTGTTAATATTATTTTTCTGCGATTTGAAATATGTAATAGAGATCAGATCTTTAAGCCTAGAAAAAGATTCTGATATAAGTAGCAGCGATGTCACGGTTTGAGAAAAAGTTGGGTTTTGTATATCAAGCCAGAAAGATTCCGGGTATCGGGTACCCATGACATCCCTGATAAGTAATAAACCCGGTCTGATCTCTAATACTTTAATTGATAGTTTTTTTGCCTTTAACTGATGATTCGATGTTCTAAATGTATCCTCCCTCCCCACCTTATATTTGTTACAATTTGTTGCCACCATGTTTGTATCACAATATCCAAATTTTTTATTGTTACCAGGGATTATATTTCTTGACCATTCCTAAAAATAATTAAAATATTGTAGAATCGTTCTGTCTTCTGTTGTTTTTTTTCCACCAAGATATAATGTATCTTAAATTTTAAGCATATAAATATTTAATGTTTTTTATAAATATGTATTTACATATCTTTTTACATTAAAGAATTTTATTTTCTTATTTATGTTTAAATTTTCATTTAATTAATTTCTTCAGTTCAGCATAAAATTTATGTTCAATATGGCAATGCAAAATGTACAAATGTGGCTTCAAGACAAGTGCAATGACAATTATTCGTATGGGGATCGCGAGGTGGGTATTTTGAAGTTTTATTTTTTTAAGATTGGAACATAAGCTTTCGTTAGCTAATTTTATCAATCCAGCTTTTGCTGGCTAAATATTTTTTAACCCAAAGCTTGTGTTCCACTTATTTTTAAAAGCTAACATAGACTAGCACAGAGTACTCTCTTATGTCATGTGTGCTTTCTACGCTTTCTACTTTTAGTCTTGGCAGCATTTTTTGCATAGAAAATAAAGAACGCACACATTTCATGCCAAATCCCCCTATCCTGCATATCATTTAAAAATAAGGCATTTCACTTCCTTCACTGTTATTTTCTTTTACCTTCGTTTTTGTTTTTAAATTAGCTTCTAATTTTTATTTTTTCCACTATTTTGATAAGCAAAATTTCCAAATAAATATTATGATTTTTTTCTATTTTTCTATAGAAATTCCTTCATATTTATTTACTCAATTCCCATTTTTATAATCTTTTCCAATCATTGCTCATAAAAATTCAAAATAACATTCTTCTCTTTCCATGGTTCTTGGCCTATTTATCACCTCAAAATTCCTGTGTTTTTAGAAAAATTCCCGCCAAAACCAATCAGTGCCATTCTCTTTGTCAGCAATTTTCTTCAACCATTTTTAATCATTCCATCTACCAAAAATAATTTTTATATGTTGATTCACTGATTTCTTAACTTATTTATTTTCATTCATTCCTTTTTAAAAATTGCCCACACAAATTTTCTGAATTTTTCGAAGTTTAAGTTTTGAAACATATCATGATTATTATTTTTCCTAAGCATCTTTTAACTAATAAAATTATTAAAGTACTATCTTTTTCATGCTCTTAAAAATGCTAATCTAATAAACAAAAATAAAGGACAAATAAACTGCTGATTAAGCATTTGCTCTTTTTCTAGCGATTTTTTTGTTTATTTTTTCAAAGTCCAAATAAAACCTTCGAAAATGCTACCCTCGTTCAAAAAAATATTTTTTCTTTTGTTTTCAATCATCTTCTGTATTTTTCTATTTATATATAATTTATTTCTACTGATTATTTTTGTTTAATTTATCATCTTTCTATAATGCTGATGCAAACACAAAATGAAGGAAATTGGTATTTTTTGCCCTTTATTTTTGAACATCTTATTTATAGAAAATTGTTTGGCCAAAATTATTTTTTAAGCAACCTACTATTTTTAGTTTTCATTTTAAAACCGCGATTTTAAGTTTAATATTTTAAAAACAAACAAAGCTAACTAAACTTAGGTTATATAAATTAATTCGTTTTGTGTTTGACTATGAGAAAAGTGTTTTACATGGGAGGAGGGGGTTCGTAAGCTTGAAGAGCAGCTATTTTTTATACATTTACTTTAACCAAAATATTTTATAAAAAAAGCATAAAACATACTTTATGTAGATATTTGTAGCTAAAAACATATTTACTAACTAGAGTATGAAAAGCTTATTTACTATCATGTGGTTATTTATTTTTGTGCTTTTTATTTTCGAAATTGTTTAGCTTTTTAAATAAAAACAAAATAGTGATGCAATGAAAAAAACGAATGCTATGTAGTTATTCTTAACGGAAGCGGATTTCGAAATTATTTCTTGCATTTTATTTATTTTGTTTTTTCCCCAAGAATTAAAATTATATATTTTTAGTTTTTAATTTAAACTATTTATTTGCCGTTCTTTTTAATCATTTAATTGAATTAATTGCTATTTATTGAATTAAACTTTTCATTTCTCTCCTCTTGTGTTAGATCTGATATAAGTAGATATATTTTACTTTTGATCGAGTTTGCTAATTATACTTAGAAACGAAAAAGAAAAAAAGAAGAAATTTTGTCTTGTGATTAAAATGTGTGGTGCTTAAAAGTTGGCTTTTTGACTTTTGCTCCACACACCCATGGCCTTGCTGAATATATTTTTTTTCTTTTTCTATCTTTTTTCTTGTTTCTTACTTTAATCCATCTTATTGAAGATTTTTTCCAATTTTTTCAAATTATATTTTTCTCGACATTTTTCTTTAAAATAATTTTCTATTAGCGCACTAACTTCTTAAATATTTATTATTATTTTTGCTGATTCAAGAACCCTTCCTTCTTCTTTTTAAGCATCTGGTTTTCTGTTTGGGAAATAAAAATATATGTTATGGAACACAGCCATTCATTCTCATTTTTATCCTTTTAGTCTTTAGCCTTTTATTTTTTAACAAATTTTGTTAGAACTTTGGAGGGGAATAATTGGTGAGAATAAAATGAATAATACTTGTAGTAGATTGATAGTTTTTAGAAATTTTTTTATCAAAGTGCTTCTATTCTAAAAATATTAACACATAAATTACAAACTTTTTATCATTTTATTTCCTAATTAAATAGTAAATTTTATTTTTGTATATTTGACGTTCATTCTTTTTTCCAAACCCCTTACCAAATATGCAAAGACTAGAAACTGGAATTTCATTTATTTTTATTTTTCATTAAAAAATTTTGTAAATTTTTGAATGGCTAAAAATTTTTAAATGTTTAACCTTTTTCTTGAACTATTTTCTTTTCTTCCTAATTCTCGTTATATTTAACGTTAATCTAATCCCCTTAGATATCCAAAATCATTAATATATTTCCGTTTTTATTGATTTTTTTTTAAATTTTAGCTGTTGTCCGGATATTCTTTTTTCTTTTCTGAAAACTAAAATTATTTCTAGACAGAAAATCCTCAATGTTTTCACTCTCTGAGGTCTATTTTATACTAGTAAAATAAGCTTTAAACACAACTGTTATAAATTTGTTAATAGGATTTATAAATTGGTCTTAGGAACTAAATCGACCGACTTATGCTATTCATTTCCCGTCAGTACTTTTATTCTTCTGTTCAATGAATACTTTTATAATTTATACTTTCTGGGGGCAAGCATCCGGAGAAATAAACAAAGCAAAAGTGCAAATCATTGAAAAAATAAAGCTTTTTTTCAACATGTGATTTTTTAAAATAAGTAGTTGACAACCTTTCCGCTTTCTCTTTGTTTTTTTTGTAAGGAAAAAATCTTTTATCTCTATTTTGTTGAAATTTTTAAAAAGTCAGTCAAAACAATTTTTTTATCAGTCTTTTTAATTTTTGCTTGCCTCTTTTCTCCGTTTCTCGACTGATTTTTAATGAATTTTCAGGACATTAATTTTCTTTAAGTGACAGGCCGTGCCTTCTCCGGATTTTTTTAAATTTTATTATTTTAGAGGCTAAATAATTTAGTTAAAAATTATTAGAAAGAATTTCAAGACACGTGACTATTTTGTTATAGACTGAGCAAATAAAAGTGTTAAAATTTTTGTTCCTGGTTTTTCGGAAATATATTCTAATTTTTAAAAATTTAGTTTCCTAGTTAATTCTTCATTGATTAATCTTTTTTATTGGAAATATACTGAAACAACACCCTCTGAATATTTGCACTGCACCTGATTTCCATGCACCCATTGCATGCAAATCATTCCACCTTTTTTTCTTAAGAGGGCGTATTTTAATAACATTTATAAATAGTGCTATTCGTTCATTTATTAATTCTCATTCTTCAATTCTAAATTTAATACTTTCAAGTTTGCCCACAAATCTTTTTTTTATTCCATGCCTTTTTCTAATTTTAGAATTACAGTCACGGAAAAAAAGATAGACTCAAGCCTTTGTAAAATAAAAATTTAGAATTTTCTCAACAATTAAAAATAGTTAATTTCAAAATTAAGATCTAAATTATAGAGCATTAAAATGTCTATAAATTAGCATATTCACTTCAACAAAATACTAATTTATTTTTGTTTAACATTGATGTAAACATAATATGCTCATTTTGTGCGCGGAAAAAAAGATAGACTCAAGATAGATTTTTCAACTTTTGTTCGGTCAAAAATTCTAAAAAAATTTCTGTAGACATTTCCACAGATACTGAGTGGAAAAGTAAAAAGAACGAAGCTTGTAACTTTTTCTTTCATCGAGATCTCGAGCCTCAAAAATCAACGAAAAATGGGGGTACATTACTTTAAAAAATATTTTAACACCCTAGGGCTTGTATTAAAAATTTTATTTTAGGCCTATCTGAAAGCCCATAAAATTTGCTACAAAATATGTCAAACTTAAATCTTCTGTCAAAAAATTCATGGAGATAAAGACCGAGAAATTGAAGAAGTCATCATTTTTGGGGTATTTTGGGAGGTTTTGAGCATTTTAATGTAAAGTGGTCTTGCGTCAGCTGGATATTTTTTTAGAAAAATTAAGTTCTGTACTATTTTGTAGAAAATTTTATGGGCTTTCCGATAGGCCTAAAATAAAATTTTTAATAAAATTTCTAGGGGGTTAAAATACTTTTTCAAGTACTGTACTCCGATTTTCAGTTGATTTTTGGGATTTCAGATCTCGATGAAGAAATGAGTTATGGACCTCGTTCTTTCTTTTTTTCTGCTCATTATTGATGGAAATGTTGGCAAAAATTTTTGTAGAATTTTTGACCGGACAAAAGTTGATAAATCTATCTTGAGTCTATCTTTTTTTCCGCGCAAAAAATGAACATATTATGTTTAGATCAACATTGAGCAAAAACAAATTAAATTTTGTTAAAGTGAATATATGCTATTTTATTCACATTTTAAAGCTCTATAATTTAGATCTTAATTTTGAAATTAACTATTTTTAATTGTTGAGAAAATTCTAAATTTTTATTTTACAAAGGCTTGAGTCTATCTTTTTTTCCGTGACTGTATTTTACATATAATTTTTGCGTACACATCAGTTCAGTCTCTTATACTTATAAAGGGGTGGATAAAGGTTAGTTTTCTTGATACCATTGGATAGATAGGGTCGGGACTGAACTGCTCCAATAATTTTTTATCAACACATGAACATTGATTTTATAAGATAAATGTCGGCATTTATTTTTGTGCTAACCGTTACTATTAGATGATGAATGAAATGACCAAACCTCCCTCCATTTTTCTCTTATTTTCTCTACATTCATTCACCTTGCCATTCTGCATATTTTATTTTTATTTATTTAATATTTATTTTTGTCCTTCATAATTCTTTTTTATATAACGTTGGGTTCTTTCTGCACCAAACTCGGTGTCAATGTTTTTGTATAGGCAAAATCCGATATAAAAATGATAAAATCATCTATTGTAATAGCCTTGAGAAAAAAGTTATATAGTTTTTGTTCTCCTACAATATTTTTGTCCACCTCCCGTCTAAATATTTAGAGACAAACTTGCGAAAATTTTCCCGGGAGTATTGTTAGTCTTAAGTTCTTATGTCTTAAGTTTTTTATCCGTTCTTCATTATTATCCTTCAACTAACACAAAATACGCATTTTCGATTTACTCATGTATAATTTTTAAATTAATTTCCTTTCACACGTAGGTGTTTAAAATTCTTCAAACATTCCCTTAAATAAACATTTTTTTCTCGCCAAGGACGTTTACACAGCTTTTTCACCCTCAGAATAAGGCATATACTATTTCAATTAGGCTTTCCTCATTTTTCTTTTAATATTTATATTTTTGTTATTAATTGCTCATTTAATAATAACGAGCGTTCAGACGCCGCTTCTGAACGCTCGTGCTTTACTTTTTATTGATTTCCAGGTTAAAAAATATTTAAGTTAAAACAAAACACTGAAACATTTTATTTGTTGTCTTTGAATTTTTAATGTAATAACTCAAATTTTATAGAGCTAATATTATAATATTTGAATTTTATCTTTTCTTTCTGTTTGTTTTGGGAATAGAATTTTAAGTTAAATGTTAAAATATTCTAAAAATTAAAATTAATCTATAAAAATTCAAATTTTGCAAAAGGTTACATATGTAATTTGTTGTTTTCTTTTTTGGCGTTTCGTTTTTTTCTTCGTAATATTTTTCCAATAAAAGTATAAAAGCAAATTATTTTGTAAGCGTGTCATTTGCATAAATTCCTTTTCTTTCTTTTTTAGTTTTTTAAATGTTTTCTCTTGTTTTTTAGTTTTGATTTAAAAATTTGTTATATGTAGTTTTTCACTGTTTAATATTTTTCCGCTTGCTCTTCTTTGTTTCTTGCTAGTTATCCTTAATATTTAATTAATAATTTTGCTTCTTTTTCTATCGTGTTTTTAACTAATTTAACATTTTTTCATTTTGTTTTTATGGGGGAAATTTTAAAAAAACTTGATCTATATTTTCTGATTTTTCCTTTTTTTCAATTTCTTTTTAGTTATGTATTTTTTGTTTTCTTTTTTTGTCTTCTTGATTACCGCCACTAATTTTTATTCTTTCTTCATTTGGCCATCTCTTTCAAAAAGTTTTGGTTTTAGCTTCGGCTTTTTTGCCTACTGACGGTATCCGCGTCGTGAACGCACCAAAACATGGATACCAAAGGTGTTGAGGAGCACCGTGGTAGTTAGAGGGATAAGATCCCGCCCTACCACACGCTACACCCTCCTCTTTAATGTAGCGATTAACTTACCTTTATTTAACTCATTTTTAATTTAAATTAATTTGAAATATTTACAAATTTTTTGAAATCTAAATATTTTCATTTTTTCATCGCATTTTTTCTAAAATAATGTTCAATTTTTATTTGAAAATTTTTTAAGCTAATTTAAAACTTCTTTCCATACTATATTATCTACTTTGTTGCATAAATTTTCTTTTGCTAATTTAACTTTAATTTGTGGCCATGATCCTACACGGGATAAAGCCACATAGGTATGTCCGTGTGAAAAGCTTTGACGTTGCCAATCAATACCAATTTTTTTATAAGTTGCACCTTGTCCTTTTATGAATGTCGAGGCAAATCAAATCAAATCAAATTTATACGCAAGCCTTAAATGCAAGCCTTACAGGAAATTGGTGTCTTTTAAGCGGCACTGGAAATTCGCTTTCTGATATAAGTGTTATTCTATGAATATACACTTCACTCCCATTTTTATTACCGCCAAGTATTAAACATCTTAGCACATAATTTTTCAACTCGATAACTTGTAAAATAGTCCCGTTACAAAGGCCTTCTTTTACATTAATATTTCTTCAAAGCATAACTTTGCAATTTTCCTTTAAATTTAATTTGTGCAGAGGGAATCCTGGCGCATTGAAAGAATTAATTATTTCTTGTGTGATCGGAAAATTTTTATTTTGTTCAACTTCGTCAATGCTTAGATAGCTTACGCATTTTCCTGGGATTTTTCTAAAGCAATTTCATTATAATTATCCACTAAATCGTTATAAGGACAAAGTATAATGCGATTCTTTAATTCTCCAAAATCTTTTCTGGCAAAAATATCTTCATAAATTTCATTAACTAAATCATTTTCGTCTTTTAAAACGCAATAATTTGGTAATTGAACATAATCTTTGTCTCCATTTCCGATGTCAAGTATTTCCTTTGCAAAATTCTGATCTTTAGCTCTTATATTTATTGATAATTTATGTTTTTCAAATAGGTTCCACAAAAAGGATTTTTTTAATGTTAAATCTATAATTTCGCTTTTTATTGCAAATTTTTTTATAGGTAATGTTTGTCTAAAGTCCCCAGCAAGTATTATTGTTTTTCCTCCAAAATAAATATTATTTTTAGTTAATTCCCGTAATTTTTTATCAATAGCTTCTAATATAAATTTTGAAGTCATTGGAGCTTCGTCTATAATAAAAAAATCGGTTTCTAAAATTTGATTTGCTTCTTTTGTTCCTGGCACTATACTTGACACTGAATATGCATTCAAATTTATTGGTAATTTAAACCGATTGTGGATTGTTCTGCCGTTTTCTAACAAAGAGGCGGCAATTCCAGAAAATGCCATATTTGTAATATTCTTTTTGTTTCCTCTAATCATATGATATACTGCATTTAAAAGGTAGGATTTGCCTGAACCCCCAGGCCCGTCAACATAAATTAGTTTATATTTTGTTTGATTTTTTGTTATTTTTTCTACCAAATCATAAATTTCTTTTTGTTCTTCAGTCATAAATTTATAAAATTCTTCAGCTTTATCTTTTTCTTCTTCATAATCTATGTTTTCTTCAATATCGCTTTCCTCAAATGTTTCTTGAGGCATTGTTTTAAAATTGGCTAAAGATTTGCTTTCTTGCATTAAATATTTATTGATGCAAGATAGTGTTAATTTATAAGCTTTTTGTGAATTGTTATTCCTTAGAAAATCTTCAGACAAATTATCTTTAAACTCATCAAACAGTATTTCGGGGAATTTCGGATTACCAAATAATAAAATACTTGCAAATAAATTTCTTAAACCAGAAGGAAATTTAAAATTGCTTGCTTCTCTTAAACAGTATTTCCATTCATCATCATTTCTTATTAATCCTTTCGCTAAGCAAGCTTGCGCAAAAGTATTATATTGTATTTTATCAACTGTTCTAAGGTCAGCAAAACTGATTCCAGAAACATGAAGTAAAAGATAACGAAGATAATATTTTTCACCTTCAGTTGGATTAACTGGATATATCCTTCCAAGAGTTTTACAAATTTTAGGATTTTTTCTCTGTTGCCATATACCTTTTGAGGAATTCCACGTGCAGTATTTTGGTATGTCAGAATACAAATATCTTGGCACATTTGGATTCTCTTTTAAAAATTCAAAATAAGCTAGTAACTTGCTTTTTTTATTTGCTTTTTCTAAAATTTTTTCTTCTTCGTTTTTTTCTTCAAAATAGATAACTTGTTCATTTTCTAAATGAACAGGGAGACGTTGAATAGAATGGGACTTTTCCTGCAAAGGAAATTTAAAAATTTTCCAACATGCTTCAATCGGACTTAAATATCTTGCATCAAGATAATTACTTGCCTCATCATAAACTAATTCTTTTATTTCCCCATTTTCTTCTGTTACACAACGAATTAATGCCGCATCATACCCCTTATATATATATTTATAAATATATTTAACTGCTTTTATATCTGCCACTTTCTCAATGTTAATATGCGCTCGAAATCTCTTTAACAAATAACGGTTATAGGGAACAACATTTTGGTTTGTCATCAATTTTGATTTACCTGTTTTCCAATCTTTTTTTAGTAAACTTCTACCATTATTAGGTCTCTTATAAAAAGGATATCCATTCTCATTTACTAAAGTTACTTCACTAAATTGTTTTGGAAACTTTTTAGTACATTTTTCCTTTGCTTTAGACCAACAAATAGAATCAGGAAAATCTTTTCCACACGGGCCATGAATCATTAATGAACTAACTAACTCATATAATTCTTTATCCTCATTTATGTCAGGTATTTCTGCTGAAATAAATTTATCTATATCATCTGTATTTTTTAATTTGAATTCTGATTTCAGTGCCAACAACATATGCAAATGAGGAAGTCCCCTTTTTTGGAACTCTATTGTGTAACAAAAACCTGCTACTTCACCAAAAATTTTTTCTTCTATTATTTCTCTTAAAAATTCTTTTACTTTTAAACGAAAAACTCTTGCTACTATATCTGGTCTGTCATGTGTTCCTTGATTTTCTAAAAGACATTTTTTAATGTCCTCATCTTTGGGATTACACGTAAAAGTTAGAAATAGATCAGGTTTACCAACTTCGTTAACAATTGCCATTGCGTCCATAAAACTTTCTAGCATATTTCGAGGACCACCAGTAAAACTGGTTGGTAATATAATTTGTTTTCTAACGCGCGCCCCAGTCTCTAAAGCTTTTGATTTCAAAAAATTATCAATTGTATTGTATGGTTCTTTGCAAATCTCCTTTTGGTGAGTTTTAATGTAATTTAATCTACTCCATTCTATTCTAGCGGCTTGGTCTACGCACCACTGCTGGAATAATTTTCCGCCATAAAAATGAGGCAAAAACTTGCCGTCGCTTCGGAAAAACATTTTATATTTAGTAAAATCACACAGAGATATTTTTTTATTTGAAACATTTCTTAAATTATTATTCCAACCTAAATAATTATCGGGGTAAAATATAGGATAGCACATTGGTTCGACTATTTGGCTTAAAGGGTAAATAGTCTTTAATTTTTTTGAACCCTTTAAGTGAACAACAACATTAGCTGCTGGTATTTCGTCGTTTGAATTTCGCCAAAGAATGGCACAGACTTCGTTAGATCTAGGAATGTTGTAGCTTCTGAGATCGATACCTTCCTTTATATCGAAAAGCATAGTAATTTCTGGAATATTATTGCCTAACTTTTCCGCATTAGAAACAACTTCTTCATAAACTGTTTTTAACATTTTGTATGATTTTGCATAAATATAATGATTGCGTAGATAATTTTCAATGTATGATATTAATAACTCAGTTTTTTCTTGTGAATCCTTAGAATTTTGATTAATTAAATTGGAGCGAAAATCTAATGCTTGTTCAGTATCTATAAAATACAATTGACCATTTGTAGGCAATTCTTCATTTTCTGATTGAACAACTGTATTGTACGAATGATATATACTTCCTTGAATTTTAAATATCGGAATATTTTTTTCGGGAAATTTAAATCTCATACAGCCTAAAGAAGCGCACGAAAATGATGAATTAAGTGCTCGGATATTTCTTTTAAATTCTTTACTAAGTTCGGTAAAATTTTTATCTGCAACAGCTAATTCAGGTTGAAATAAAACACGCAACTCATTTGGATATTCCTGAATCATATTTTCCAAATTAATTAATTTTCCATAGTTACAACATTCCAAAAATTTATTTTCGCCAACGGTTTTGCTCTGTTCTTCACAAAAGTGTAATGCGGGACAATAAGAACATTTTACATTAAAATTTGAAAGTTTATAAAACTCGACACTTAAAACATTTTGTAGTGCTGCAATTAGAAAGTTTTTCTCTTTGTTTTTCCCTCTAAATTTTCTAACAGATTTCAAATTTGATAAACGTAAAGCATTCTTTTCTTCTTCCGTCATTTTTTCCCTTAAAATTTTTCTTTTTCTGGTTCGCTCATGATTATTTACTTCACTTATGGTTTCTTTATTGTCTAAAGAATCAATTACAAAAATATCTGAACCTTTTTTAAAATTAATCTCTTCATAAAAATTCGCTGTCCGCTTTTTAAGGGAGCTTTGAACCCTTTTTTCAATCAGTCCGCTTTTTTCGGGAGCTTCGAACCCGTCTTTAGAACTTAAATTGGAGGTTGAAGGTAATTTCTCGTTGGGAAGTATTTGCTTTATTCTTACCATAATTGACTAAAAATAGATTAATGTAATAATTAAATCAAATAAAAATAGTAATTAATTAACGGAAAAAAAGACTTTTGAAATATGTTTATATTCACTAATTTTTCTTTTAGATTCAACAAACAACTTATGAAATTTTTTGCAATAACTCTCTTTGTTTATATAAAATTTAGTTTTTCTTCACTCATCAGTATATTGTCTTATTTCTTTAAATTTTTCCAAAGTATTTATGTGTGGTTTGAGTAAAAAATATTTGACAGAAAACCATTTGACCAAATAGAATTTTTTGCATTAGAGACTTATTACACCTAAATTAGAGAGACTTGTTTACATCTAAGTTGAATTTTAAAAAATTTTCCTTTAATTTTTTTGACTCAAATTTTGATTTTCGAAAAATAAACTGCCTGCGCCTAAATGGCTGAAAAAAAAAGACTTAACGCGGCTTAATGGCAGATGCTTTGTTTTTTGTTTACGATTAACTTTTTTGATGAACAATTCGAGAAAAATAACTTTTTTCTCTCTTATTTTTCTTTGTGTAAAATTTTCGTTTCAAAATAAAAACTCCTTTTCTATTCAACCGGCCGAGAAAATTGAACATTACAGACCCAAATAATATATAAAATTATTATTATCAAAAAGTAATTGGTAAAATAAATTAATTTTCCCCCGCGTGTCACCTGATATATTTTCGCGAAATACATTAAAGAATAAGAAAATTCAAAACATGCACTAAAAATTATAAAAATAGTTGAGGTATTAAATTGGAGAGAAAATTTTGGAATTTTTTGAAGAAAAGGAAATTTGCTCTAGTATTTTATTTTGAATATTTTAAATGAATTTTTTAATATTAAAATAGTGTTCGAAATGTTTGATTCGTTATAATTCGTCATTTTTTTGATGAATGGCGGCGATTAAATTAGTTTAAAAAATTCTCTCCCTAAAATTTTTATTTTTTACTGTAAATATGTATGTGTTTATTCACGTGTTCACTACTTTTTCTGGTGCAAAAAATAACATGCGATACGCAATGAATCTTTTTTTGCACGTCGACCGACTATTTTAATCTGCCAAAATAACGTTAAGGGGTGAAGGGACAGTGGTTCTTAAAAAAGAATGCAGCAGCAATATATAAATTTTTTTTATCTTTTTTTTTGTTTACTGTTTATATAATTTTTTTGGGTATTTTCGAAAGAATTGTTGATAAAAAAAGAGAATCGGTTGTTGCTCACGGGGACAGCTGCTCATTGATGTGTTTATTAGTAGAAAAAGTGGTTGTTTTTTTTTATAAATATTTTGGTACAAGTAGTGCAAATAACAAGAACGCGTTCTTTTTTTTCTATTATTTTTATTTCTAAGCGGATATTTATTTTCTTTTTTTTTATTTCTTTTCTAATTAAAAATCTGTTGGGTTCTTATTTAATTAGATTAGTATCATTTAATAAGCACTTTATTTTTTATCTGCACGAATACATAATTTTTGATGCTTTACTTAATTTTGTTTATTTTAAACTAACAATTCATATATACATATTTTTTAAATACTTCCTGTTTGTTAGTAAATAATGTAAATATTTTTGTTGTTTATCTTTTATTTTTTTTTAATTTTTTTAAAATTTTTACACATTATTTCTGCATTCTGATATTTAATTTCTTCAAATTTTAATAAATCATTTAATTCTAAGTTTCATTTAAAATTCCTATACATATTTATTAAAATTGGAACATTAATTTTTAATTTTTATTAGATTATAAATGTTTAGGTACTTCCTTATCTCTAATAATAAATTTTATAGTTGATATAAAATTGGGCCACATAACCATATAACCTCTTTACCATATAACCTCTTTACCTTTTTATTAATTATTTAAATAAAAAAAAGTCATAAAAACTGTCCGGCCAAATTTTCTCTTGACTATAATTTTTTTCGGTTAATAAAAAACGAGTTGTAATTTTGATCTAGTATTTTTATTTATGTAGCTGTCCCCCTTGTCTACATATGAATTTCCTTTTTCTTGTCTGATTTATTAAAACGGTTTTTATGATACTCTCAGTTTAAATACAAAATTTTTTAAACTTTATTTTTATTTTCTCAGATATCACAAGACTTTTTTTCATCCTTCATCCATCTAATATATTTTTTATATTTTTAAAGACGATAGACTTTTGTCTTTTCTCCTTCCGCGCGTTGTAGTGGGTTTTCTATTATTGATGGGTTAAATTTGGTAGAAAAATTATCGCGTTGGATGGGGGACAAATAGCGGGGATATTAAAAAGAGAAAATATTTTGTGTTGTTGCTCCTGTCAATTTTAATTATAAAAATGACCAATCATAAAAATAATCAGTGGCGCGGCCTTAAAAATAATAATAATCAACAACACATTATTTTCAATAATTTTTGTTATTATCAAAATATCTGCCTCCCCAAACATGAATTTTTTTTAATAGCTCTAAAAATGTCCGTGAATGTACGCAAACCCTTGCGCCTTTTTTTAAATATAAAATTAATAATGGAAAAAATTAAAATTATATATCGTGCGAATTAATAAAACAATTGATGCGCAGACAAATAAATGATCGGTTAAGATATAATAATTTCTTTGAATAGATTTTATTTTTATCCCGCATCAATGCTTTTAATAAATGAAAAATTTTTTCTTTTTTATTTTCTAAAAGGATTTTTTAAATTAATTTTTAGATTAGCAATTAAAATTTTTTATTTTTATCAAATATCTCTTTAATTTTCTCTAATTTATTTTTTCTTTTATTTTACCAATTTGCTTCTAATCGGTCAAATTCATTTACAAAATTTTTTTTATCTTCTTTCTAATCGGTCATTTTTTATAAATTTATTTTTTTATTTGTCTCGAGACTGTTAATTTTGTTTATCTTTAAGAGACTACCTAAAAAATATTTTAGTTAAAAAGAAAAATATTTTTATTGGAGTTGGCTGGCTTTTTTTGTTTATTTAGTTTCCACCCATTTCAACAACTAAAAGTCATGATTTTTTCACGTATTTTCCATCAAACATGTTAATTTCTCTCTCTTAACCTCTCTTTTATTGATGTTAATGCAATTTTTATTTTTTTATCACTCCAAATTAGTTTATTTTCAGCACAAGACCTTAAACATTTATTTTGCTAAAATAATTTGGAAAGATATAAATGCTAGTAAAATTTCTATTAAATTTCAGTTTGATTTAAACAAATCATTATTTGAAGAATTAGCAGTGCTGGGTATTGAGCATTTTGTAGCCTCGGCTCCGACCATTTTCAAACCTTGGCATTTTAAATTTTGGCTTCGGCTTTTGAGCTAACTCCTCATGGAGCCATGCCCAGTACTGATAATTAATTTATCCTTTTCTTTTTCCCATATTTGTTCTTGAGATTTCATCTATTAACTTATCTTTTAGCTCGAAACATCCTCAAATTTCAAGTCTTGATTAGATTTTTTAAAATAAATTATCTTCACCCTTCTTCGTTCTTGCTATTAATTTCCCAACATTAAATCTTTTAAACACCTTTTTGTGATACTATTTTTGCTTCACAAAAATAAAATATAAATTATTCTATCTCTACTATTTAATCATTTTGCTTTTCGACCAACGGTTGGTTTTTCTTCATTAAATTCTCCACCATTACTGCCGGGTGTGTGTTTGTGCGTTCACTAGTCGATTATGGTTGGGGCAAATTTATTACTACAACTTTCTTCTTTCAATTTAACTTAACTTTTCCACGTGAATTTAATGAGGTTTTTTCCGTTCAATTTTTTATCAAAAAAAAGTACAGGAAAAAAGTCTTTGACACAATCCTAATCTTTTTTTTTCTTGGGAGTTTTTATTAATTACCTTTATAAAAAAACCAATTGTTCACAGTTTAATTAGTTCCCCATTTTTTTAATGTTCTACATTTAAACTCTCAAATATACTTCCTTTTTTAATTAAATACTTTTAATAATTTATTATCACTTTTGTTTTATTTCTTTACAGTTTTTTATCTTCATAGAATTTTTTCTTAGATTTTTTTAAATTTTTTGGTTTTTGGCTTTCCATTTTCCTTGACTTTCCTTAAAATTAAAAATTTTTACATTTCTTATTGTTGTTATTCTATTCTTTCTCGTTTATTTTTTTATAATTCCCCATATGTTTTAAATTAAAATTTATTTTAAGTTTTGATATTTTTCAATGACTAATTCGTTTATTTATGTTTATTTTTAATTAATTTTTGGCAACAATACTTGGGGAAAACCAACAAAAAAATTTTAATTTAAATAAAAAACATGTGGTTTTCCCTTATATAAAAATTAATATTTAACCAGACACATTTCAGAAAATAGGAAAAGATTAGACAAGATTGATTCTGAGTGCTTTCCGAAGCATGATTGTTATCCATTTATCAACTTTGCTTCAGCTTTAAAAATGTTTTTATAGAAGCAAGACATATCGGGACGGACATATCGAGCTACTTAAATGTACGAACATTTTAGATATAGATATGTTTCCGTCTTTACTACTTTTTAAGTGTCTTCCCCTTTTTAACCTCTATAAATTTCACATAATTTCGATATTTTTCCCCAAAAACTTGTTTTTAATATTCTAAATTCAGCAAGCAAGTCGTGTTTCCCATATTTTTATCACATGTCTTAAAAATTCCTCTTTTCTCCTCTCTGTTAAGAATCGAAAAATATTTTTGTTTTGTTAATACTGATAATTTTTGATATTTTTTTTCTGTTCATAAACACAAATTAGATAGGCCCATTTATTGTAAACAGAGGGAAGAATAAATTTTTATTTTTACAAAAAAAGGAGCTGTACTCTGACGGCGCTACTTTTACCAAATTTAAATATTTTTGATCATAAAAATTTTTTGAAAATTTTTTGATAACAAATTTATTTTGAGAATTTATTTTAGGTAAATTTTCTGCAAAATATTTTTTAAAAATTGTACAGGGTGCGGCAAATTAAGCGCGCGTTTATTTTTTGCCATAACTTTCTTCAATTTTAATGAAAATTGATAATTCTTTTTTTGTTTTATTCCCAACACTTTAGGAAACTTGCTGATACCAAAATTGCTTTTTAATTTTAAGCTTACTCTGAGTAAACTTCCCTCAAAGTTTGAGCAGAATTTTTTGGATAAAAATTGGCCTAGATTCAAGGCTGGGATTTTAATATTGGAAATGTTTATATCATTCGAATCAGCTCTTCATTCTGATTCGAATGACATAAAAATCATGGGGCTACGACAAAAATCGAATGAGATACGGTTCTCTGAATATAAATTAAAATAATTTTGATAAAAATAAAATTTTTGTGTAAAATTTTCAAAAATGAGATTATAAGCTATTTCAATGCTCCTGAACGAGATGAGTCGTATAGTACCAAAATCATTGGTATTGAACGATTTTGAACGAAGTTATGATCAATTAAACTTTGGCATAAAAAATGTTTTTAAATTTTCCAGACGATCGAACTCGATTATCTTTGCCAACAGTGAACCAAATTTTTAATGTTTGGTATAAGCAAGTTTCCTAACGTGTTGGGAATAAAACAAAAAAAGAATTATCAATTTTCATTAAAATTGAAGAAAGTTATGGCAAAAAACAAACGCGCGCTTAATTTGCCGCACCCTGTATAAAAATATTTCTGGCTTTGGAAAAGAAAAGTTTGGACCGAATTTAGGTAAAAGTTGAGCGCGCATTACTCATTTTTTCCTCATTTCCTCATTTTTTTTTATTTTTTTTTGCTTCTCACATAAATTATATTTGTCTATATTTATTTTTTTATTGGCCAACAACATGTCTCATCTATCTTTATTCAAAAATTTATTGCGAAATTTTCCTCATTTTTGTATATTTTTAGAAAGATTCGATTAGACATTGCAATATTTTTAACAACCTTGTTTGTCTAAATCCTCAAACTTTTTTCTTTTAAATTTTTAAAGGCTTACGTCAGAATTAGGCAACAAAATTTTAAAATTTATTTTCTTCTTACATTAACCTTTTCTAAGGTTTTTTGCTAAAATATCATATAGGTTACCTTCCCTTTCCGCCCATTTTCTTCTTCCGTTTCTGGAAGAGAAACCAAAAATTTTTATTTTAATGTTGTTTTATTTTTGTTTTGATTTGTTGCTAAATTCTGCAACAAAATAACTTTCGAAATAATTTTTTATCAACCTAAAAACCCCTAAAAATATTTTTATTATTTATAGCGTCTTTGTACGTCTTGTGTAAAAATAAATGGAAATGTCGCCTCGCAGCACTCAATTAATCAATTATCGACCATTAATCGAACCTTTTAAACATGATATAAATTCACCAACAATAACAACAAACTCAATACCTATTGCTCAAGGAGGAAGAAATAACAACAGTCAACAACAAAATAATTTATTTCATTCATTTTCGACACCTTTGACAAGCGGATTTTTGGAACATTTTTGTGCTCTTCATTTACAGTAGTCGACATAAAGATAGGGACAAGAGTAATTTAATTGAAAATTAACTATTTTTCAGTCAAAAAATACGTTCTATATATCAATCGAAAGCTCTATTCGTATCTCAGTTGACATGTTTCTGCATTTTTCATGAAATTGAAAATTGGCCGAGATAATCCGGATCTACCGGATATACCAAATCCCATATCCTCGGGAAAATTTTTCTGAAAAAATTTGACAAACCCAGTTGATAAAGCATATTTTTGTGAGTATAATCCACAAAACCGCTTAAAAATATCTTTTTCCAGTCCTGAGATATGATTTTTTGAAATTGGCATTTTTCCCTTAAAAATTGAATTTTTTGCAAAAATAGGCTAAAAATGCCATTTTCAAAAAATCATATCTCAGGACTGGAAAAAGATATTTTTAAGCGGTTTTGTGGATTATACTCACAAAAATATGCTTTATCAACTGGGTTTGTCAAATTTTTTCAGAAAAATTTTCCCGAGGATATGGGATTTGGTATATCCGGTAGATCCGGATTATCTCGGCCAATTTTCAATTTCATGAAAAATGCAGAAACATGTCAACTGAGATACGAATAGAGCTTTCGATTGATATATAGAACGTATTTTTTGACTGAAAAATAGTTAATTTTCAATTAAATTACTCTTGTCCCTATCTTTATGTCGACGACTGTAATTCCTTCATCAATAAATAGTTTTGTAGATAAAAATGATTGTAATAGGAACAATAATGGAAGCCGAAATTTTGTATGTTTTTAATCTATTTGTTTAATTTGTAGCACAGTTGTTGAACACCACTATAAAATTTACCTTTTGCCCAACACAACTAAATACAATTTTAAAGATTGGTTGGCCTCTAGGTTATTCAAAATACACCTCATTATAAGAGACTAGGGTTGTCGGTTCGGTTGACTGAAACCGATGATTTTTTTATTTTGTTCTTCGGTTCGGTTCCGGATATCCGAAGATTCTCCAAGAACCGACATCCTTATAAGAGACAAATTTACAGAGAGGTCCAACGTTCAACACCTTTGAAAATTTTTTTGTCATAACAATTTTTAATTAATTTTTAGGTTCGCTCAAAATCTGACTCTGCTGCATTAGATTTAGTTGTAGAAAAACTTAGACCGAAATATATTCCATTCACTTCTCCATTTGTATGTTTGAGTCTACCAAAACATTTTTTAAAAATTATTTTTAAAGGCAAGTGTTGATTCAATTTGTAGTCTTCTGACCAAGAATGAAACAACAAAACAATTTATTCAACCTTCAGTTGATGTTGCACCCTCCTTGAATGAAGAAGACGATGAAGAATATGATTTTATTTTACCTCCACCACAAACATCAAGAAGAAAATTGCGTAATGTGCGATTTGCTGATGAATGTGGATTTAGACTGTCTACTGTGCGAATAATGACTGAGCCTAGCGATTATCCGCCTAAAATTAGTCCAGGTTTTTTATTTTTTTAATTTTTTGAGGTTTAAGTAATGGGGGGGGGGGTGTCTATAGCAGGATGTCACAGGTCCGATCCGAAGCTGAAAAACCCAGAACCAAGAAATTTCCGAAATCTGACCTGACTCTTTTCTTTCCCTCTTATCTGTGATATCCCTGGTTTTTAATTTATGATAAAGGAATTTTCTTTTAGCTGTTCTTCGTCGGATAAAACGTGCAGCAATGCAAAGTGAACTGATTGACTCGAATAAAACAAAATCCGACGGATGGACTAATTCGGATGATGAAGAAGAAGATTCTGGTGATAATGACTACGAAGAATTTGATGGTTTGGATGAAGTCAAACGAATTCATCGCCGCTCTTCTTGGAAGCTTTGTTTCAAACAACCAGCTAGTGAATATCTAAAGTTTCGTGAAACGCTTGACAGATTGAAGGTTGCATTGGAAAATGTTATGCTTCGTAATGATTTGGGGCGTATGAACGGGACGATTAAGGTTTAGAATTTTTTTTAATTTTAAGATGATTTTTTAAATTTTAAGGTTGCCAACATTGCTTATGAAAAGAGTGTTTTTGTGCGCATTAGTGACGACCGTTGGAGTACTTTTCGAGATCGGCCTGCTAAATACCAATGTTCGCCTTCCAAAGCTTTTGACACTTTTCGATTTGATTTTGACATTCCTCGAAATGATAAATCGGTATTTATTTTTTAAATTACGTTTGTCGCAGAGAATCATAAAAATAGGTACTACTGCTGTTTAAAAGTGTCGAAGTTCTCTTACCACTAATGTAGATTTTTCTCATTTTCCTATGTCTTAAGTCAACATCTTAAGCAATTAGAACCAATACCAACTATTGGTTTGTGTGTTCTAGTTCTATTTACAATGGTCCAGTGTTGGGATAGAGTTCAGAACGGGATATTTATCACCATCGAGTAAGATTTGTGACTTACATCAACTTATTTCACAAAAATACAATTGTAAGAGAACGCAACCCCCTTAGACGGCAGGAGTGTCAAAAGAATTTTTTCTCATTTTTAATAACGGTTTTGGAGTTTTCCCTGATTTTAAAATTTTCTTTAAAACTTTTATTCCTTTTTCAGGATTCACGTATTGAGTTTTGTATTTGCTACAAAGCAAATAATACTGAATATTGGGATTCTAATGATGGCCATAATTTTGTGCTCACTCCAGATGAACCATTTCCTTTGTTAATTTCTTCATCACAGCACTTTAAAGACATCAAAGTTTATTATTAATTTATAGTCTTCTTATAAAATCTCTCTCTCTCGGATATTTTTTAAAAACTCATTTTTAGAGGTTTTACTTGAGAATTTATATATTTTATTAAGTTTAAAAAAATTTTATATTTTTTTTCTTGCCTTAATTTTATGTAGTTATAAAAAATACAGGGTGCACACTAAGACGTGAATATTCTATCTTTAATATTTTTCGGGCTCTATCGTTCGAATTGCAATAGTGTGCCCTGGACATTATATATTTTTGCTTCAAGCATTTTATTTTTTCACTTTTACTTGTGCCTTTTTGAATAAAATTTAATAACTAAAGAAGAGTTAATTATTTTTTTATTGTTTTTGGAAAATCAATTGAATTCTTATTGTTCATATTTAATTGAATTTTTATCGTTATAATTTTTAGAAAAATATTTTGGAATTTTTGATGTGTCAATATGTCGATTCAATTTTACTATATGTGGAAGATGACTCCTCGTTAAGAACTTATATGTACATGCGGAACAAGGTTTATTGTTAGTTAAATAAATGGGAATAAACTAAAAGATTTTTATATGAAAATTATTTACGTTAAGCTTTGTTTGGGTGGTTTACACTTAGCTTTTCTTCCTAATGGATTAGGAATGGATCCCCTTTGGTGCACCCTTTTCGAAGAATAACCAATGGAAAATTTAGATTGAATAACTAATTTTCTGAAAAGAGGGGGTGGGGGCGGACAAAAATTGCTAATGTTATGATCTTAAAGTAAATTAACGTTTTTCAGTGTCCTTCAGTTCGACCTCAACCTGTACATACGTCAAGCTTCCGCTTCCAATATTCATCAACAAACGAAAAGTTAGTTTACTTTAACAGTTTAATCAAAAGTCCCCCTGCCTTCGTGCAGGGGGCAACTCAAGTCCCCCTGCCTTCGTGCAGGGGGCAACTCAAGTCCCCCTGCCTTCGTGCAGGGGGCAACTCAAGTCCCCCTGCCTTCGTGCAGGGGGCAACTCAAGTCCCCCTGCCTCCGTGCAGGGGGCAACTCAAGTCCCCCTGCCTTCGTGCAGGGGGCAACTCAAGTCCCCCTGCCTTCGTGCAGGGGGCAACTCAAGTCCCCCTGCCTTCGTGCAGGGGGCAACTCAAGTCCCCCTGCCTTCGTGCGGGGGGCAACTCAAGTCCCCCTGCCTTCGTGCAGGGGGCAACTCAAGTCCCCCTGCCTTCGTGCAGGGGGCAACTCAAGTCCCTCTGCCTTCGTGCAGGGGGCAACTCAAGTCCCTCTGCCTTCGTGCAGGGGGCAACTCAAGTCCCCCTGCCTTCGTGCAGGGGGCAACTCAAGTCCCCCTGCCTTCGTGCAGGGGGCAACTCAAGTCCCCCTGCCTTCGTGCAGGGGGCAACTCAAGTCCCCCTGCCTTCGTGCAGGGGGCAACTCAAGTCCCCCTGCCTTCGTGCAGGGGGCAACTCAAGTCCCCCTGCCTTCGTGCAGGGGGCAACTCAAGTCCCCCTGCCTTCGTGCAGGGGGCAACTCAAGTCCCCCTGCCTTCGTGCAGGGGGCAACTCAAGTCCCCCTGCCTTCGTGCAGGGGGCAACTCAAGTCCCCCTGCCTTCGTGAAGGGGGCAACTCAAGTCCCCCTGCCTTCGTGCAGGGGGCAACTCAAGTTCCCCTGCCTTCGTGCAGGGGGCAACTCAAGTCCCCCTGCCTTCGTGCAGGGGGCAACTCAAGTCCCCCTGCCTTCGTGCAGGGGGCATCTCAAGTCCCCCTGCCTTCGTGCAGGGGGCAACTCAAGTCCCCCTGCCTTCGTGCAGGGGGCAACTCAAGTCCCCCTGCCTTCGTGCAGGGGGCAACTCAAGTCCCCCTGCCTTCGTGCAGGGGGCAACTCAAGTCCCCCTGCCTTCGTGCAGGGGGCAACTCAAGTCCCCCTGCCTTCGTGCAGGGGGCAACTCAAGTCCCCCTGCCTTCGTGCAGGGGGCAACTCAAGTCCCCCTGCCTTCGTGCAGGGGGCAACTCAAGTCCCCCTGCCTTCGTGCAGGGGGCAACTCAAGTCCCCCTGCCTCCGTGCAGGGGGCAACTCAAGTCCCCCTGCCTTCGTGCAGGGGGCAACTCAAGTCCCCCTGCCTTCGTGCAGGGGGCAACTCAAGTCCCCCTGCCTTCGTGCAGGGGGCAACTCAAGTCCCCCTGCCTCCGTGCAGGGGGCAACTCAAGTCCCCCTGCCTTCGTGCAGGGGGCAACTCAAGTCCCCCTGCCTTCGTGCAGGGGGCACAAATTTTGGAGTGTCCGTGTGCCGTTTTGTACATTGGACCGTCCCCTGCTTCGGAGGGGGCTTTTTAAAGAAAGGAGGTGTTATAAACAATACAAAATGTATCAGATAATCAATTCGTTTATTTTTTTAATTTTTTATCAATTTTTTGGAAAATAGTAAATTTTTTTTAAATATTCAATTTTTTCGATTAAATTGCAAAAATACAATTCATTCAGCCAAAGGCGGCACAAGTCCCATTGCTGCCCAATTAATCCAATGTAGTCGGGCAAGCAGATCTACAATAATTAAGTACTTTATAATTTCTCTTTTTCTCACCACTAGTGCCCCATATTGTACTTGAATATTCCAATGATTTATTGTTTAATTTTGCCTCCCTAATTGTTCGTTCTAGAAATCTAAAAGGTTCATCGTCGCTAGCAATTATTGCCTTAAAAATAAAATTTCCGGACTTTATTAAAATTCATTGTACCTCAAGCATGTTTATATATGCACACTGAAATAGAGAATTATTGTAAGAATTTTTTAGAAAACTTGCCGCTAAATTAAGTGTGTCAATTTTGGATAAACGCTTTTCATATGGAAAAGTTGGAATTTGACTTCGAAGTGCCTAAAGTTTTTTAATCCGATTTATTAAAAACTGAAGAGTAAATACGGCAAAAGCTCCATTTATTCCACCACTGATTCGACGACGTTCATTTTTTGATGTAACAGACTTAGCAAAGTCATTCTTTACAACTTCATTATTGTTAACACAAGGCTCGTTACTCTCAACTGAATTTTAATTCTTTAGACTTGAGACTGTTAGAAACCTGAAGCTCCATAATTTAAACGTTTTTGTTGTTTAATTCCATCTGACTTTTCCACCTCATTCACCATATCGGGATAATTTGGAACAAAAATTTCGAAGGAACTGGGGGAATAGAAACACATATAATCCGAAGACGAGCTATGGCAATATGAGGAATTTGTAGCGATAAGGTCGTTGTTATTAGAGGTATAGAAAGCATTATTATCCATGATAATGTCAATAGGAAAATAGTCTTTAAATTTTAGATCATATTTCAAGAAAACGTTCGAAAAAACTACTTAAGAATGTCAGTATTCCAAAAAATTGGAGTTTTGTGCGAGGCAAATTTAAGGGAAAAAAGTTGGGATGGTTGTCATTAGACTTATGAAAATTAATTTCAACAGAAAATGCTTAAAAGAGAATAAATGCGAAAGGGACAATTAGAGACAGCCGTAGCATGATTAAGGTTCATCCAGGCGTAAAAAGTGTCAGAACCATAATAATAATTATTAGAATAAAGCTAGCCTTGATATTTTTATAATTAAAAATGAAAATTAAAAAAAAAGATTTATGCGATGATGAATCTAAAGATTAGAAAAATGTCCTAAAACTCATAAATTAAAAAAATTCTAACTTGACAACTATCCATCCTAATCCTTAGATGAACTATATTTTAAAAAATACAGCAATGCAAAAAAATTCGAATTATTGTTCAGATAAAAGTAAAAATACAATCAACAGATTTTAGACAAGGAAATAAATTCTGAAACATACTTAAAAAAGTCACGTAAAAGTCAGAAATTTTACGAAATTTAATACTTAATAATTATCTAAAATAAGAATTGCGTAAAATCTCGACTTAACGATATTTACAACAAAATAGGTAATCTTTTAAATAATACACAAGAATTATGGATAAAAAATATAAGTAAAATAAAAAAGATTATTGAAGGATATTTTCAAAAATATATTATTTGGTTATAAATATAATGCTTTTTTTGAACTTGCATTTTTTAGGAACTTTGGATTTAGGAAGAAAAATTATTAAGGAAAAAAAATTTTAAAAAGGCAACGACAAAAAATTATTAAAAAAAAGAATTAAACCTTAAATTCACAACACAAGCAAAAAACAAAAATATATCCTTTCCTTCAGTGTGTCTTCAAATTTAAATTTTTGTAAGAGAAATTCAACTTTTTGGAGTTTTTTCAGTTGCAGTTGAATAATCTTCTTCGATAGAAGCATTGGAATCTTTCTTGTTTTGTTGTTCTTGTTTCAATTTAAGTTCAGAATTATGAAGTGGTGGTGAAGCTGAAGAGGTAGCAGCAGTAATATCAGTAGAAATAGCGGCAGCAGCAACGAGTGAATTAAAAGAAGAACGGCAAGATTCTAAAGAGGCAACACTTCCTCTGAAAAATTAATTCTTCAAATATTATAGGAGAATTAAAAAAAATACTTAAAATCCTTAGAGTTCAGCAGCTCATAATATACCATAAGACGACATTTATGTGTTGGTCCAGAAGTGGAAGTTTTTTGTTGTTGTTGATGAGTCGTAGATGGAACATGAGAACTTGAACCGTCTCCTAAACAGCCATCTAATAAATAAATTTAAATTTAATATAAACCAATATGTGAGGATTCTTTTTTGCTGCTAGTTTCTGTTGAAACAGCTGCTACAAATTCGCCAGGATGTCGCCATTGAAGAATATAAGTACCTCCTTTATCACAATAAGTTGTGCCCTAAATTGTTTAAATATAAAAAAGTCAATTTTTTCAAATACATACTTGCATTGAATCCGTTTCTTTAAAATCTAATGGATTCCCAATAATTGTAAGTTCAGTACCAACACGAAATTCTGGTTCACATTCAATTGCCTCAAAAGTAGGAGATTAAATTAAAAAATCTAGAAAAAATTGAATACATGAAAATGCGGAATTGTAGAAGGAGAAAGTAAATTAGACAGTTCACTTGTAACAGTGTCAACAACTCGATCCAATGGACCAGGAGTAGTAGCAGTTGTTGTTGGCGTTGATGAAACTGCTCCTGCTGCTGTAGCTGAATGGCCAGAGAGAGGAGTTTTTGAAGAAATTTTCTAAAATATTTTTGAGGTTTAGTTTAAGCAAAAAATAGACACAACCTTTTCGGAGTAGTAAATAACAAATTCACATTCGCCCTTAATAATGTCAAAATCCCAAGTAAGCACAGAACCAGCTTGCTGAACCCAAACACAAACCTATTTGGATATAAAAAACTCAAATATAAGATAAGAAAATTTTATTTTTTACCTCATATGGAGAACCTCGATTAACCACAACTTGTGTATAAGTATTTGTAAGAATATCATTTGTTTCGCGTAGCAATTCTCCTCCAGGAATTGGTAAATATTCTGATTTTGGAACCATCCAAGGAGGTTCTGTTATTGCAGCGCAGTCAAATTTACATTTCCCACCAAGAAAATCAGGCAAATAATCTTCAGGTATGTAACTGAATTTAAGAAATTTTAAAAACAATTTTTAATTTAAAAAATAAAACCGTTGCAATTCTTGTAGTAATTGATCACTTGCATATAACACAAATTTCTGGCGTGTATTTTCATCAATAAAGGGAGAAATTAAAGTCCATAAAGTTGGAAAAACACGAGGCGCTCGTATAATTAAAACCATTCCTAAACATTCTGGATAGTGGGCCTCAAGCATTTCAATTATTCGTAAAAGGCATTGAACTCCAGGACGCCATAAATGCCGCATACTTAACCCCTCAAGATCAACTAGAAGTGTCCAAGCACTGTAAATTTTAAGTTAAAGAGAGGAAAGAAAAATAAAAATACAAACCTTATTGGTTTTTCCAAACGTTTTGTGGCCTCAGCAGTCTTTAAAAGTCCTTCCTCGCAAATTGAAAGAGTAAATTTAACTATTGATTCAAGACCAACAGAACGCAAAAGACCCTATAAAATAGTTAAACTATTAATTCAAAAATCAAAGAAAACCTTTATATCCATTTGTCCTAAACGCAAAATAAAAAGAGGCCGGCCTTGATTGTCGCTGTGATGCCAACCACCTGGGAAATATTTAATCAATAATGGAGGTGGAACAAAATCATGTAGAATTTTGTCAACATTATGCTGTTTACGCCAAAGAAGAGAATTTACAATCTAAAAATTGACTCAATATAAACTCATATAAAAATTAAAAAAAACCATATGATTAGCTTTTTGAACATCAAAATCACGTGCACGAAGAAAACGCAACAAATGTGCATCATTTGGTATTTTTCCTTTATGTGCTGATTGTAGAACATACAACTCACAAAGACGGCTTTCTTCCAAAGGTGTGAGTTGACCCAAAAAACGTTGAATATATTCACCTTCCAATTTAGAATCCACTAAATTTGAAAAAAATACAATATTATACGGATGAAAATTTCTTACAATCATCAAAACTAGTAGCCCGACCTGCAGCATCAGGTTGAGCAGGATTAACACGCAGTTTTCCCAATTGTTGCGTAACAGAAGCAGCGGATAAAACACCATTTGCTGTCCCAGAAGATTTTTCTGTAAAAAATATTCGAAGAAATTCACCATTAATAAAAAATTCTTACGTTTTCCACTTCCTCCTAATCCACTTGAACGCCTCCGTTTCAGTTCTTCACGTGAAAGTTTTTCCTCTGCCGTGCCTGATAAAGGTTCAGAATTTAGTTCGTTTATAACAGCATTTGCAGTTAATGTAGTTGAACAAGAGCCTCCAAAACCACTACTGCTGGCTGGAGGTGTCGTCGGCGGAGAACTCCTGAAAAAAGATGTAATTAATATTATTTAGTTCAAATATACCTGTCAGGAGTTTTTACTAAATCAATTTTTCCAGTTTCATCAGAAGGATTATCGGCATTTGTGTCCTCTAAAAAAACGAAATTCTATACAGGAACTACTCCATAAACATCCCAACCTTTCTCTTCACCCTTCCATATCGGTACATGTGTAACTCCATTCTTAATCAATTCGTCAATAAAAAATTCGAGTACTTCTTTTCCCTAAACGAAATAAAATATTATTTTTTATAAAAGATAATCAGTTAAACCTTAGCAATATTAGCACTATATTGTTTAACAGCAAGTTTTTCAATTGCCGATTCCAGCCCAAAAAATGATTTTACATCAAGGCTTGAATTTTGTTCAAAGCATGTCCATTCTGGATTTTCTGTGTGAACCTATATACTTTTAAAATTAGTTTAAAATGAAAAAAACAAACGTAATATCGGCAATTTTCAATAACAACAATACGATTAGCAAAAGAAATGTTTGAAGCCTCAATAAGCAAAGTTCTAGCACGCAAATTTAAATGATTCCTTTGTTTAAAATAAACATAATCTACACCCGCAATCTTTAAAAAATAATTGGGTAATAGCAAAAATGAAAAATGAAAAACCTTTTTGACAAGATAAGGAGCTTCTACATTAAGTTGACATTTACGTTCTATAATTTCTTCACCACCATCTTCAGCTTTCCATTCATAAGTAATCTCAGAACCGACAAAAATAGGAATTTGTGGACATGTTGGAAATCTCTAAAAAAGCTTTTTAAAAATTTTACGAAAATTAACCTTGTGATAAGCAGCCATTACCAACTCAAAAGGAAATTTGTAGACACGTACTGGACTTTGATAAGTTTGAACCATTTTAAAAATATTTTTAAAAATAATTTAATTATCTGCAAAAATGGAAAATTAGTTATTGAAAGTTGGGGTTCAATATTAAATAATTAACACGAAAAAATTATAGTATGACTAATGCAAAAAATATTTAGATTATTAACGGTAGCTGAATTCATTCATCAATGAAAAAAAGCAGAGAAACTCCACGAATTTAAGGCTTTAGTAAAAGATCGGAAGGCAAAATGAGTAAATTCGCTGTCCGTACAAAAGGTCGTCTATTTTTGAAGAGAACAAACGTCGATTTATTAAAAGATCGATACAGTCAAAATAGGTCAAAAGGTCGTTTTTTATGCAACTGACAAAAGACCGACTGAGATTTTCTTATAGTAGACAAGAGTCGAAAATGCTTGAGGTATTTGAGAAGATCAAATGTAATGACACTTTATCATTAAGTATAACAAACAATTCCATAATTATCAATCATGAAAAGTTAGATTTTAATGATCATTTATTGATTTTCATCATATTAAAACTTAACTATTTCGAAATACAGTAACTTCGCACACTCAAATAAGGCACTGAAAAGTCCCAAAAATTTATATTTATTTTTTTCTCTAACTACAGTACTCCATTCTAATAATTTCTCTAACTTTTGAGATAAAATGTCATTTATTTTTTAATAATTTTCCCAAATTGCCAACTACCTAAAACATTTTCTATCCGTGCCCGCTCAACTCATCGAATCCTTAACTCATCGAATCGACCAAAAACGCTCAACTCATCGAATCGGCTAAAATTCCTTAACTCATCGAATCGGCCAAAAACACTCAACTCATCGAATCCTTAACTCATCGAATCCTCAACTCATCGAATCGGCCAAAAACGATCAACTCATCGAATTTTTCCAAAAGGGGACGTTTGAGTCCCCTGTTTTTATTTTTCTCCCGAAAGGGCTAACTGAATCTTTGTTGAAAAATTTTTTTGCTGCTATGGAGGCTAGGAAAAAGGGCTTTTGGGCATAATCGGGGTCTACTGGACTAATTTGGTTCCGGTTTTACCCGGTAAAATCTCCAGCACAATTTATTAGGAATGAGATAATGTTTTCAGGAATGAGATAATGTTCTGATAATGTTTTCACTGGCCGGATAAACTTGGATGAGTGCCCGATCAACTAATTAACAAAATTAGTTGAAACCCCAGAAGAAAACAAAAAAAAATAAACAAAACAATAAAAAATCTAAAAAATAAACACGGGGACTCAAACGTCCCCTTTTGGAAAAATTCGATGAGTTGATCGTTTTTGGCCGATTCTATGAGTTGAGGATTCGATGAGTTAAGGATTCGATGAGTTGAGTGTTTTTGGCCGATTCGATGAGTTGAGGATTCGATGAGTTAAGGATTCGATGAGTTGTAGGGTAGCCTTTCTATCTCTACCTATTACATTCCACCTTATTTAAAAATGGAGACAGAAAACTTTCGAAAAGAATACTAGAGTCGCGGAAACATGAAAATTTCGTTCTCGGACTTTACAGCAGTTTCAAATAAAAATATACCTTTTCTAGAGCTCGGTTAATTTTAAGTCCTCGATAACACATAATGAAAAATAATAAAGCATCGACAACAAATTCATTTTATTTATTCAAACAGATAAAATTTAGCTAAAAACAAGCAAAATTAAAATAATAATTGTAGTCAGAATTAGGATTTTGACAATTTAACCGTTAATTCTTTTCCATTTTTGAGAAAATGTCGAAGATTTTTAGGTTAATTCGACTATATTTAATTAAAAACAAAAAAAACTTGAAAAAACTATGTTTTCGTCTCCATATTCTTTCTCAAATCCAATTTTTACTTTTATCCATCATTCCTTTATTGCTCAACAATCGAATTTTGCATTTTGTCTTTGTAGGAATTCAATTCTTGCCCATGTTTGACGATTTGTTCTTCAAGTTCGTCCTCTTTAAACTGAAAGAAATAAATCTTCAAAGATAATGGACAGTGACAAAAAAGGGAAGGAGTATCCTGACTTATGGGAGGTTTTTGATGGCACACCCGATTTATACAAATGAGGTGTCGTTCGAAAGAGCTCGGGATCTGATTGTAAGTCGATCGCACATGGGAAGAGGCGGAACGGACGTTCGTGGATCGAATTACAGACCCCAAAGGATTGAAAAAGAGAAGGGCAAGTAAGCTTATTTTTTTGATAAGATCAGCTCGGTACTTATCGGTTATTTCAAATATTTATCCCAGATCGATTCAGCTCGACGCCTTTTTCGAATTACGTAAAATTTGTCGAAACGGATGGGCCAACAAACCACCCTATAAATCACAATACCGAAGGGAAGCAAATGGACGGAGATTTAAACATCGTCAACGGAAATTTTTTAAATTAATAAGTTCCAAAAAGGGACAAAATTTGAAAAAATAAACAGAGAACTGTGGAAACCAATAATAAAACCAATCAATTAATCTTCAAACCTAATTTGCTGAATTCTAACAAAGGATTGCAGTTCTTCAGTCATTTTTCTGCTGATTCTTGTTCTTCTAAAGATTCGCATCAAAGAGACGGTCTTTCCGCAACAATTCACTGACTTAAAAAATAATCTTGAAACCATAGTAAATAATTAAAAATAACCTCTTAAAAATTTTTAAGACTTCTGGATACTCACGCAAAGCTGAAAACTAAGTAAATAAAAAAATTAAAAAATAAAAACAACCGATAAAAAGATCAACTATCCAAAACAACCAAATCAATGCATCTAACCAATGGAACATTTGATGTACGCCTTCTCATTTGACAAGAACTTGGCCAACATTTAATTGGCTTTAACATTGTAAAGGATAAACTTATTTAGGGGAGGAACCTTGCGGACAAAACTTGCGAATTTAAATTAAGTAAAAAAGCTACCATGTAGACGAGAGCATTGGAGTTGAAGTCATCGCCCATATACCGCCGAAGCGATACATGGGACTTTTGCCCATATACCGCCGAAGCGATACATGGGACTTTTGCCCTATACCGCCGAAGCGATACATGGGACTTTTGCCCATATACCGCCGAAGCGATACATGGGACTTTTGCCCTATACCGCCGAAGCGATACATGGGACTTTTGCCCTATACCGCCGAAGCGATACATGGGACTTTTGCCCATATACCGCCGAAGCGATACATGGGACTTTTGCCCTATACCGCCGAAGCGATACATGGGACTTTTGCCCTATACCGCCGAAGCGATACATGGGACTTTTGCCCATATACCGCCGAAGCGATACATGGGACTTTTGCCCTATACCGCCGAAGCGATACATGGGACTTTTGCCCATATACCGCCGAAGCGATACATGGGACTTTTGCCCTATACCGCCGAAGCGATACATGGGACTTTTGCCCTATACCGCCGAAGCGATACATGGGACTTTTGCCCTATACCGCCGAAGCGATACATGGGACTTTTGCCCATATACCGCCGAAGCGATACATGGGACTTATGTTGTTGCTGCTGCTGTTGAAGTTGTTTGTTGTTGTTGTTGCTGCTGCTGAAGCACTGAAAAAATTGGATGCATTTTTCAAAAATTGAAAAATTGCAAGTCTTGTCCGCAACTTAATACTACCCTCCCCCCTAAAAAGGTTAATTCCCAAAAAGGAAAAACCACGCATTCTGTTGTAGAAAAAGATTGACAAGAGAGGACTCCAAATGAAACATCAAAAATCGATTATTGATTTTTGGGATGAAGTGTCATTTAATCTTAATGTTTTGCATTATGCCAAATAGCACAGATTTTTGAACTCCAGAACTGAGTTTGCTACAAAGTGGAGTGTGTATTTTTTGTCGTTGTTTTTCTATTTTTTGTAGGTTATAGATTTAGAATTTTGTTTATTTTTCAAGCTTTATCCTTCTTATTTTTCAGAAAAAAATAAAGAAAATTTTTAAAAATGCATTCGCCAGCAAATTCGCGCAATTCAAGAATGTCAATGTCACCATCGCCTCGACCTTCTCCACGACCTTCTCCTCGACCGTCTCCAAGACCTTCTCCATCTCCACGTGGCATTCGTCGTCAACCGCCTCGAGATAATTTCCAAATGCTTGAAGAGTTGGCCAGTTCTTCGTCTTCTCTGATTAAGGAAAATATTGAGAATCCTGCAACTAAAGATTATTGGGTTAAACAGTGCCTGGATCTTGTGGCTGCAAAAAATGCTTCTGATGTATGTTTGTTTTTTATAATTTTTTTAAATTTTATTAATTTTTAAGGTTAAAATAGAGCGTTTAAAACAAAGGAATGCTGAATTGGAATTAGAAAATAGACAAATTCGTGAGTCCAAAGTGCGTATGCAAGTGCGTGTTGAACAAGAAGAGGAATATATTTCTAATATGTAAGGTTTTGTTTTTTATTTTTAAAATAATAGTATGGGGGAGGTAAAGGTTTGTCTGAGTGGGCATCGATCTTCAGGCAGACATCCCGGCTTCGCTCACCCCAGGCTTGAAGGCCTTCTACTGACTGGGCTTTCACCTTCTTTTAGTAGATTTTAAACCCTAGCCTAGTAAGAGTTTCAATTGTTAGGATTTTCCTTCCTTAAATAATTTTGACATCCTTTTTTAGGCTTCTTAAACGCATTCAAAAGCTCAAAACTGATAAAGAACAACTTGCGCTCAAATATGAACAAGAAGAGGAGTTTCTCATTAATGATTTGATGCGTAAACTTACTCAATTGGAAGGTGAACGTGATGAATTAGCCAGTCGTCTGAGTAAAGATCAGAGTTGGATGGTGGCAAATTTGTTGCAGAAAATTCGTAAACTTGAAGCTGAAATTCAGAGTAATCATAAGGTTTATAGAATATTTATGTATTTTTGGGGTACTTGGTGATATCCTTCCCCACTCTCCCTTGAAAACTTTTCTGCTACTTGTCTAGTTTTTGGAGTTCCTCGATGTTGATTTCAGTGTTTCTTAAGGTCAAGAACTGGTCAGGTTCCTTACTTAAAATCAAGGTTTTGTAAAAAATCTCATCCCTAAAAAACTACCTATATTTTTTTCTCGAATTATTTTTAATCTATTCCTTTTATAGTCTTTGGAGCAATTGCGCCGCGAGAAGGTTGACTTGGAAAATTCATTAGAACATGAACAGGAGGCATTGTTTAATACTTTAGGAAAAAGGTTTTTTGCAATTTTGGTTTTTAGAAAAATTCTCTTTTAAAGGATGGACTCGCTGGAAGCAGAAAAGCGTCGAATGCAAACACGTTTGGACGAACTTGAGGCTACTAGTAATAACAACACTACGACGACAACGACGACGAATACTTCTGTTGCCGCTTCTGCTGCTGCTACTACTACACCTAACGAAAATCCTGTTGAAAAGGCAAATTGATTTTAATTTCTTTCATATATAAACGAGTACATAAACACCAGGGATATATTATTTAAAAATTTCTGAAAATATAAAAAAGGGATAAGACTCGGGATTCCGTTAAAAAACTTCTTTTTGACTTTTATTTTTAATGTATTTCCATAATTCTGTTTGATTTTTATTTTTGATGTACTTTTCTGTTTTCTCAAAAACTTTATAAAAATTAAATTTTAAAGGAAAAGGTAATCTTCATGTGTATTGGTCTCTAGAAAAATTGCCACGAAGTAATCGAATGTGTTGAGTCTGGATATGAGATTATTATTGGAATTTGTTCAGAATTAGACATGGCAGAATTTTGGTCCGGGATTTGAAGAACTCATATTTTTTTTTTTTTTTTTTAATAAACTTATTTATTTATTTATGAGCAACCACACGGTATAAAAAAAATATTCAGATCAGCACACTCGATTACCTTTTTCTAGGGACCATTAGACTAGAATATTACCAGAAAAAGATTATAACATTAGACATAATTATGGTAGTAACAGAAAGGTATATTTATATAAAATTACCAACCTATTTTTCTATAAAAAACTTTCACGATATAAAATTATTTTTCTTTTTAATCTAAAAATTGTCTTTCAAATGAAGCAATTTTTATTGAGCTTATCTTTTAAAATAAAAAAATAACTTATACTCTTCCTTCTTTTTAAATAGTATTTTTCCCATTTTTACAAATTTTAATGGGGGAAGATTGTTTTTTAATTTCACCATTCTTAAAATTCTTTCCATTTTTAACAATATTTTCTTCTTCATTTTCCCTCAAATCCTTTGTTTGAACCCATTCAAATGCTCGACAATATTGATATTTTCCTCCCGGGGCATTAAAATTTTCAGCTTTTAGAGGTTCACATTCACCAGAACAAGTACGTGGATAACAAATAAAGCGAACCTTTATATTAAAAATAAATTTTTTAATTTCTGGATACTTACATTACGAATATCCACAAGTTGTAAAAGTGAGAAAAATCCATAGGAAAATATTGCAATATATTCAGTTATAGCTTCGCTAGGGCGAACTGAAAATAAAATTTTTTAGAAAGCGAAATAAGATTATTTGCTCAAACTGTTTCCCTCTTAAATATTTTCAAAAATTGCCAAAATTTATTACCATATCCATGACATCCAGGCATATGAATAAACATTTGATGTGTCTGAAATAATTGGGAACTAGTCCAAGCATACAACAAACAACAAAGTAGACGGCCTGTACCAGCACACAAATCTACTTGTTCCAAGTGATCTTTACAAAAAGTAAGAATTGTCCGAATAAACATATGCATAGTTGAGGAAAAAATAAAGGTTCCAAACATTGATTCGTGCAAATCTGAGGAAATGAAAAATAGACTTGGACACGGATACGGATTAATGATAGGAAATTTTAAAGAATCTTGACCTTTATTTTGGTTAAGGACCTTGACCAGATTCTTGAGTCAAGGAGAATTGAGGAAAAAATGAGTCAAGGAAAAATCAAGGTCATAGAAAAATGTCTTGATTTTGACTTTGGATCCAGGAAAACTCAAGGCCTGAATTCAGATCCAGGCCGATCGCTAATACGGATAATATCCGGATACGAATACAAAAATCCGTGACCATGTCCAAGTCTGATTAAAAGAAGAAACTTACATGGATAATCAAAACGAATGGTGATAATTGAAAATAGTCCCAAACTAAAAATTTCAACTATAGCAATAGGGGCACTAAGTTCATTCATCCATTGCATGAGAGGATTGCTGAGCACTAATTGATAATCTCGATATGAATTTCTTTAAAAAAAGAAAATTTTTAAGAAAAAAATTTAAAAAATACCTAATAATAAAAGAAACAAAAATTCTCACAGCCATAGGGACACAAACAGAAACTCTGAAACACACATTACTTAAAACCTTCAATTCTACTTGTCTTAAAAATGATGGCCACATTCCCCTTTCATATGGAATTGTGTTCTAAAAATTTTTTTAATTCTTAAAATTAAAAAAAGCAAACAAACATTGCAAAATCCAAGCGTTTTTCCATAAGTATATAATAATTGGTTTAGCGCAAACCGTTCAAAAGACAAATGTTCAATTAATTCCATAAATGCAAATGCCGCAACAAAAAATATAAAAGAAAATGCAGAGAATCCAGCAATTGGCCTGGAATTTTAATTTTTTAAAAATATTTAAAAAATTCCCCAACCAAATTAACGGTATATTTAAATAAGCAATATCTTCATTATCGTCTTCAACAAAATTCGCAGCTTCTTTAATCTCTTGGTTTTCTTTCGCATTTTTTGGAACTTTTATATTTGTGTTTTTGGAGGTATTATTACATTTAATTCCATTCTTTCCGTTTTCTTTAATATTTTCCTCTTGAATTTTTGTGTTTTTATTGTTTAGAGCTGTAAAAGTTTAATTGAGAATTTAGACTTTTGTTTCAAAGAAATTTCCTCTAGAACTATTTTTTCATCTATCGTATTTTCTCGATTAATTTCCAGGGGAATTAATATTTCAAACCACTTAGCGACGGAAAACTATTCAAAGGGGAATTATTCAAGTTTTGCAATTTGGACGGTGCAGTACTTGGAGAAGTGAGGAGGAATTACCGGTTCAACTTATTTCTGACGTGGGGAAGTATTCGAGAATGGAGAATTAATCAACAAAATACGATAATTCTGTATTAACCAACCTTTTAAATGCTTCCTTTTCTCATTCTCATTAATTTTTGAAACTATACTTCTTGGTGATGAAGGACAAGAAGGTAGAGAGTGAAGATGTAAATGACGTGATAATGAAGTTGCTGGAGACGAAATAATTGGTTTGCTAGAGGAAGCAGCATAAGCATAATAATGAGGGGCAATAATGTTTTTGGTTGTTCCATTTTGTTGTTGTTGTTCCATTTGAGGGATAGTTGTTTATTAAATGATATTTTTAGAAAAAATTATTTTGGCATGTCGTTGGAGGTTATATTGTTTTTGTTTTTGTTATGACTTCTAGAAAATAAAAAATTATTTAAAATAACGGGGGGGGGGGGGAATTGTTTTTAATAGTTTATTTTTTTCTGCAATAAAAATATACAAATAATCAAAGAAAAATCTTGGAAAGAGCTAAAAACTATTAATAAGCAAGATTTGTCATTCGCGCTTTAAGAGACGTAGGAAAAAAGTAAAGAAAATGAATTGTGACTGTCAATAAGGGGGATATATAAATAATTGTTGGGTTTGTGCTGCGATTTTTGAAGGAAGATTTTATAGTGAAAAAAAAAGAGAAAATAAGAGATCGATTTTTGATTTTCACCTTCAAAATGGTTTGGTCTGTTATTATTATTAAATATTATTCAAGCCTCCTCGTGATTATTTGAAGAATAAATAGAAAAATTGTGTAAAAATTAATTTTCGAACGAAAAGCCGTTATTAGGAAGAAATAATGGGCTAAAAACTATTTGTAGAAGGATACAACCAAAGGAGTAGGGGGAGCACGCCATAATACAAAATCCCAAAAATCTGCCAAAATACCAAACTGTACATCAACGTGGAAGATGGCAAAAAAATCAACATTTTGGGTTTTCGTTGGGGGGTCTGAAAGATAATAATAATAACAGAACAAACCATTATTGAATGGATTTTCAAAATTTAGATATAATAATTTGGAAAGAGGTGTGAATTGATGAGCAATATGATAAAGCAAGCAAGCAATAAAAATTAAATATTGGGAGGAATGCTTCCGCCAATGACCCGATTTTAGAGCTTAAATTGACAAAGAATTTGTTATTCTTCTAATAAAAAGTGAAACCAGTTTTTAAAATCCCGTTTGTCCCTGTTGACTTTTATTTTTTAATGTCTAAAATTTTATTGTTCAAATATTGTCTTTTAGGAATTTTAGATTTTTGGCAAGTCAACAGAAAAGAACTAGTCATTCTATTATTGAACTTAATTTAACCTGAAGATGCTTATGTGAGGATCCAGTTGCAATAAATCAAATAACCCTGTTGTCCGTACTTGAAGAAAAATTGGTTGTGCCCAGTCTTGGCTCTCGCTTTGCTGTGGTTTTGTAAGGAATCGTCCCATAACATGGGTACAATAAAATCTCGGTGAATCATCCATCAATTTGCCTTCATTTTGTGACCTAGAAATGCAAGATGAGGAAGCAGGTGATATTAATGAAGTTAAAATAATGCCTAAGGGCTTAAATGGAATAATACCAAAAAGTTACAATAAATAGTACAAAAAAATTAATTAAACAATTTTATACAAATTAAAATTATTAATTACTATTAACATTAATGAAATGTTTTTATTAATTAAAAGAAGACTGGGCTATATATTAAATAATATCTTCATTTAAAAACAAAATTTTTCTATTTTTCAAGTCAATGGAAAACATAAACAAAGCAAAGGATTTGAACTTGGAGCCAAAAGGAATTTTGCATCACGTAAAGCTTGTGAGGGCAATTCTGGTAATTCACTGCGAGATTGACACATCTACAGAAAATGAGGGGAATTTATTTTAAAATATTTTTAAAAAAATGTTCCTTTACCAAAACTCGAAGTTTCATGCCCGCATCCTGTTGAGAAGACTGTCCATTAGATCCAGAAGAACTTGAGGATCTGAAGAAAAAAAATGATAAATTAAAAAATAAAAAATTAATTAACCTAAAACTTGAGCTGGAACAAGAACTATGAGTACTCGATGCTGATTGACGCCTTTGACCGATAGTTAAAACATGGTGGTTGCAACGATATTTAGCTGCTGCTCTCTTTAGGGCCTTAAAAATAAATTGAATAATTAAAAAAAAATTTAATTTTACTTCTAATGCAGTTGTTGAGTCTTCACCAAGTTGTCCATTCGCTAAACAAAGCAATCGAGAATTTGCTAGTCTTGAACGCCAAACCAAAATTCCCATGGTTAAAAGAGAAAGTTCATTGACGGGAATGAGATTACGTTCTAGTAGATCCTAGAAAAAGAAATTTTTGAATTTTTTTTAGAATTTTTCAAAAAATTTACCCCAGGCACAACAACACTCTCAAACCACTCAACATTTGTGTGAGTATCCAATTTTGCAAGAAACAGCCTATAGTTACAATTAGAATAAGCGTTGTTGTTGCTTCTTTGCAATGTTTCTTGTTCAAGAATAGTGGTGGTTGGAGGTGGAGAAGAACATTTACGTTGAGGTATAGGCTCTGGTTTTTCCTTAAATAAATTTTTGAATTAAAAATATGTAAGATAAAACACCCAATTTGCACTTAATGGGAGACCCAGGCTTGATGCCTAGCGGCAGTTGGTGGCTCTGGTATAGTCCCTGTATAGTAACTTAAACAGGCATGTCCCGAGGAGGCAATCGGGTCTAGCATAAATAGCCTTTGTGATTGCCTAAATTATCCAAAAAATATTTTTCTTACATGTCTAGCAGATTGTGAAGAAGTTTTTCGTTCAGCCCCCAACCTTTGTTGTTGTTTTCCAGAATTTTTTGAAAAAAGGGATGATGAAACTATACTACTAGCAGATTTGTCAAAGCCTCTAGAAGGACTTGGTTCACTTCCATGTTTGCATATTTTGGCTTTAGGTGATCCAATTTGGCGTTGAATTAAAGTATGAGACGAGGAAGAAGAGGAATCTGAAGAAATTGAAGGATTTGTTGTCAAAATTTTAGTTTCTTCTTTTGTTTTTGTTGATTTATTTGAAGAATTGTTGCCCCCAGAAACTTCTGAAACAGAAAGGACAAAATCGTAGTAAGCAATTCCAAGAACAGAAGATTCAAAAACGAGATCTGAAAATTAAAAATTTTTAAATCCTTAATTTGGGACTTTTTCATATCCGGTCTATTTGAGTCTCAAAGTTAATCTTTCCTTTCAGCGACATAAGGGATATGAAAAAAGGGATACACGACAAATTGCCAGTAAGGCTAAAAACACCCATTTTGCCAATAAGGCTAAAAAACTAATTTTGCCAATAAGGGTAAAAACACCCATTTCGCCAATATGGAACAATTTTTAAAAAATAAAAAAAAATATATTACCACTAGGTGAAAGAGACAACAACCCCGCTGCTGCAGCTAATTCCATTATTGAAGGAGTTGGTAAACAATTAGCAACAGCACTTCCACGACGGCTTCCAGTATTTGTTGGTAATAATGAAGTTGTACTTAAAGCAGTTCCTTTGCTGTGTTGAAGTAATAAAAGACCTGAAAATGAAAAATTTTTAATTTTTAAAAATTAAAAGGAAAATGTATTTTTGAAGAAAAATTTTTCAAAAATGTACAAAGAAAAAAAATTTTTTTAATGTAAATTCGTGATAAAACACCAACGATTATTCCTCAATAAATGAATAAAACGAAAAAAAAAATTTTTTTAAACAAAAGCAAGAAAAAATTCTCATAAAAATTATTAAAAATAAATTTAATTATTTTTAATAAATATTTATAGTAAACATTTAAGTAGACATTATTGTTTTTATTATTTAAGTTTTAAAGTGCATGGTGCGCGGGAAAATTAGATTTTGACATTTAAAAAATTCTTTTGTTATTTAATTACTCAATTTATTTTTTTGTTTTTATTTATTAAAAAATTAAGCACTTGGAAAAAAATTGGGAAAAAATAAATCAAAAAATATGATTTAAAAGAAGAATCTGTATTAATGGCCATCCCTCAATAATTACCCAGCTTGTATGTTTCAACCTCCTCTAGTGAGAAATTGAGAAACTAATCCCTCTCCCCAAAATTCCCTAATCAAAATTCCCAAAATTCCCTAATACACGTTCAAATTCGCAACCTAGAATAATCACCCTTCCTTGATTAGCGGGAGGGTGGAGAAATAATTACTCGGGGTGTTATTCAAGAAAATACAGTTAATGTCAAAGGGAAATTGGGGGAAAATGTGTTTAAATTATTATTAAAAAAGTATTAAAAATAAAATAAAAATAGAATATTAAAAAAATATTTTTAAAATAAATTTTTCTCGCCAAAAAATTAAAAAAAATTTTTCTTAACTAAGACAGACAATGAGAATAATGGAAAAAAATATTTTTCTAAAAATGACTAAAATTAACACATAATAATTAGGTATATCTATTTTTATAATTAAAATACTATGTTATTAATGCTTTTTAAAAATTTAATTTGTACCTTTAAATAAAGGTGAAAATGAGTGAAAAAGAACGCCCATACTTTTACGTGCGCGAAACTATATTTAATTTTAAAAATTAAAAAAACCCCATTTTCCCTTTGACGCTTTTCCTCTCATTGCAATTTTATTCTTTTATATTTTTTCTATGACGAAATTAAAAAAATTATTCTTTTTGTTTTACCTCATTTCCGCCGTTCCCATGGCACAAAATTAAAATAAAATAAAAGAGGCAGTTTAAAACAAAAGGGACTTCCGGTTAGGTTAAATGTGTTTTTATTAAAGGGGAGATAACACGAATTTTAAAAGTCAAATTTTTAAATACAAAATTTCTATTTTTGTTTAGACGCAAGCAAAAATTTTAAAAAAATACAAAAATAAAAATACAAAAATTTTTAAAAATATAAATTAAGAAAATATTTTTTCATAAAATAAATATTTTGCAAGGGAAAAAATAAATAAAAATAAAATATTTTTCGAAATTTCGAATTCGACGAAATTTCGTTTTTAGTTATTTTATTTAAAAATCTAGAAAAAAACCCCACCAGTCTTTGTAGGCGTAGCAGGTTCAACAACTCCTCCATTACATTTCCCATTTTGTGCTACTTCAACAACATCATTAGACAAAGTTAAAGCGGCCATAGGGAGAGAAGCTCGTGATGGGCGACCACCATTCCTACCATTCCGAGTTGAAGTTAGGCTACTAAATAAAATGAATTTTTGACTTTATTTTTGAGGGTTTATTATTCAAAATTTTAAAAATTTTAGCTAACGTCTCAATATTTTTTTCAGACCCACCCATTAGTAAGAGGGCTTTGATTCTGAGGAGAAGCATATGCCGCTCTAAGCTCGGCCATTTTTTGTTCTTGATTTTGTTGATGATTTCCATAAATTGCACTTGTAGAAAAACGTGCAAATAAACGAGCATTAAGTAAAGAGGGAGGAGAGGAAATTCCTCGACGAGACGAGGAGGTTGAAGTTGGAATTAAAGGTCTTGAAGGGGAAGAGGTTGAATGATGCGAATTTGATGAGAGATTAATTGTATTGTTGGCTGTTGTGGCAGCCATATTTTTTGAGTGAGAGAAGCTGGAGATTTTTTTAATTTTAAAATTGTTTTTTTGGAATAATTCCTTAAAAAATGTTTCCAAATTATTTTAACGACGAATAAAATTTAAAAAATAAATTTTAAACAAAAATAGAGAGTTTTCTAATTTTTAAAACCAAAAATAATCCAAAAATAAATTTTTCTAAATTAATTCGAGTAAATGTTTCGATAAATTAATGATGTAAAAAAATATTAAAAAATATTTTTTAAAAAATATTTTCTAATTTTTTAAGTTTCTAGAAACGGTAAATTGAGTGCACGTATTAATTAATTGAGTGCACGTATTAATTAACGTATTTAATTAATAAATACATTAAATACGTAAATTAAAGCTTAATATTCTATATTTAGTAGGGAATAAAATGTGTTTATTTATGCTCTCTCTAAATATGGTAAAAAATATATTTTTATATAAGGAAGTTGGGGATTAATTTGTTAAATAATTTATTTGAAAATTAAAAATTGTAGGGTTTAAATATTTTTGTAGGGAAAATATTTAGAAATACTTAAATAGAATTATGGCTAATTCCTATTCATTTCCGATAAACTTGGACAGACAAAAGTGGAAGCTAGGATAACGTATCAACCTGTAAACTATCCCTGGTAATTATTGCTTTGAGCTTAATGGCCATTAAAAAGCTCTTTTGAGCTCCCGCCCGGGTGAGTAAATTAATCGGGGAACATCTTACATTAATCGAGGAGTGTTAAAATTTCGAAATTTGAACGTGTAGTAGAGCATTTTAGGGAGGGGGTGGTAATTATTGCTGGAGGGTGTAATAAATTAAAGTGGGGTAATTAATTAAAACGGGGCTACTTTGGGTAATCTTTATAAAGAAGATAAAAATTTTTAGATCTTCAAGATGAATAAAATTATATTTGATTACATTTAAAAATAAAATGATGTGATAATAAATTAAGAGAAAGCTTAATGGCCATCTAAAAGCTTCCATTAATGTGGAATCTGGAAAAAAATTAATGTACATTAATAAATAAAAAGCAAAGATGACACTGGAAAAAAAGAAAATTTTGTTTTAAATAATTTATTAAACTCTCCCACTTATTGTTAGAAATATTAAATAATTTATGGCACGAATATAAGAGAAATGTTTAATTGACAAAAAAGGGAAAATAAAACATTAATTTTAAAAATAAAGTTCTCGTCTAAAAATTTTTTTGAAATTTTAAAAAATAAAAAAATAATTAAATAAATTAAATTTTATTTAAATTAAATACCATAAATATATAAAATTATTTGTCTGAGAAAGGTGTGTAAATAAATATAGAAACATTTTTATACTATTTAATACCATTTTAAACACCTTCATTTACTCCTATTTCCGTTGACATTAAATTATTTTTTTTCAAAAAAAGTATTGTTTTTCAATAAAAAAATTTTTTACTTAAAATTATTGGGTATTTAAAAAAATAAAATGAAGAAAATGTCAAAAAATTAAACAAAAAATTAGAATTAATTTTTTTAATGCTGTTAAATCTAGTATAAATAATGCCCACTCACTTAAGCTGAATGTCCTCTCTAATAAAATGCCCCTGTCCCTTTGAAGGTGATTTAAAAATAGAATGCCCCCTCCAATGCATAGAATGCCGCTCCAATCCGCTCCCTATGATAGAGTGCCCCTATTAAAGGTGATTGAGAATTGAATGGCCCCTCTAGTGTAATGCCACTTCTAGGGCCCCCTTTAGTGTCCAATGCCCCTCCCTCTATAAATAATAAAATGTCCATTTTTGAAGGTGATTGAGAAATGGAATGTCCGGGCATTCAATTAAATATAGTAAATTAAAATAGCTTTAATAAATGTTAAAAGTCCAAATAATAAAATAAAAGTTAATAAAGTAACAATAAACTATATTTATACGTAAAGAATTGTGAAGACTTTAATTTTACTGAAATTAATAATTAACAAAATGATTATTTAAGAAAGGCTTCTATTGCATAAATTATTCAAAATTAAATATTTTTTAATTATTTTAAGATAAAATACATCATAAAACAATAAAGATAATTCTGTTTTTTATGCCCACACATTTTTTAAAAAATTTTCCTCGTGACCTAATAAACATTTATTTGACTCAATTTCAAGTCAATTTAAAAGATATAAGGATAAAAACGAATTAAAATGACTCGTATTTTAGTAAAATTAAAAAGATAAAAAGAGGATTTATTTAGTTATTTGTCTGGAATTTAAAAAAAGATTAGAAAAGAAAGGCTAATAGAAGTAGAAAATATTTAAAGAAAAAAGGGGGAAGGAAGGGCCGGAAGGAGCTGAAGAAGCAGAAAAAAGAGAGAGTATCTATAGCAAAAAATATTTTTTTAGTTTTTTAGCCATTCTTCCAACAAAACAACCCTCCACAAATTGTGCAAACGCGTCAAAAGCTTGGGGGAAGAAGCTCTGTTCTGCGTCAAAGCCTTATTGTTATTGCTACTAATGATTGTTATTTAATTTAAGTAAAAAGAAAGAGAGAATCCTTTTAAATTGGTGTAAATAATAAGACAAATTAAATTTATATTTATAACAAAAAAATATTTTTTTAATAATAATTTAAGAAAAGAAACTGACGTAAATAAAAATGAGACAAAAAAAACGTGCTATGGATGGATTATTTAAATATTGGGATTAAGCTGATAGGAGAAGGCATGTGTATCATCGTGCTGTCCGATCCCCTAAATCTAGTATTTATTTTTTGTTTGCAGTATGTTCCCTGATAATTTCACTAGAACCCGGACTTAGAGGGTAGTCGAGATCGTTATCTCAAAAAATAAGGATTTCAAAAACCGAGATTTCTCATTGAGATCTCACTCGGTCCAGGATCCAATCTTAACAACAAAAGGTTTTTCAAAAAATTCTTCCATCCCAATTTATTCTCCCCCTACTTCATTAATTAATATTCGTATTTTTTGCTTAACAATCATCGTTTGATTTAATTTTTTTATCAAAAATTAACATATGAAAATAATATTTTTAAATATTTTAAATAAAAAGATATCTCCTAAAAATCTTATAGAATGTTTTTGGACTATAAAGTTCATTATTCAAAAAATAGGTGCAAAGTCCAAATCCTCCCATTTCTTCTTTAAACTAATTTCCAAACCAAAAAAGTGTTAAAATTTTTTGTTTTTATTTTTTTTTCAATTTATATTTAATTTAAAAAAATTTAAAAATATTTTTTTTCAGATTTAAAAAAAATAAACAGGAAGTATGGAAATTAGAAATAATATTAATTTTGTTTATCTTCAAACCCTAATTTATTATTAATAAAGTGCGTCAGTTTATGTTTATTTTAAAACACTTCCCCTCCCACGCGCACGTATTAAAAGCTTGTTTTTTAATTTATTTTGTAAAAATAAATAAATAAATTATTAAAGAACTTTTCTGTAAATATATTTTGTAGTTTGTAAAAATGCTAGTTAATTAATGTAAATTATATGCTGTAAAAGCTTTCTTAAATAAATAATAATTATAAAACTTTTTCGTAACTAAAAAAGGGACATAATGGTAATAAAATTATTTTTGTGGGATTTTTCTGAAAAATAAGGGTATCGGCTATCTTGTAGCAAATTTCAAGGGCTTTCGAATAAGCCCAAAACTAAAATTAAAACAATCCATAAGAAGTCGAAAATATTTTTTGAAGTGTGCTAACCCTGTTCTATGTTGATTTCTAGAAGAAACTTATTAATAAATATTTGAGATAAAACACAAAAATACTCTTAACGAATAAAACAACAACTGGGGAAAGAAATAAATATTTTGGCTATTTCCGGAAAAAAATAAAATAATTCATTAAAAATGACTTGAAGAAGAAGCTAAAATTTTGCTGCAAAAGAGGGAAATTAAATGCAAGAAAAAAGGAAAAGAGAAAGGTCATGAAATTAAATTTTATAAAAAAAGGAAGAGCTAAATACATATTTTTTTTGACTAATTTTTTTATAATTTGTATTTTTAATTAAGAAATAATAAAAATGACAACAATTTTAATGACTTGAAAATTATTAGAAAATATTAAATAGAAGCAAAAAATTTTTAGGAAGCAAAAAAAATTATTAGAAAGCATAAATATAGGTATTATAAGAAATAATTTATTTAAAAAGAAAAATTTTTCTAATAAATTTTATTTTACTAGGATTATGTTAAAAATAAATATTCTGGATATAAAAATTAATATAAAATGACATGTGGATATTTTATTAAATCATAATTGAATCAAAAATTAATTGGAGTTGATGTAAATATGTCTATAATGACTGTCAAATTAAATATAAAATTTTGATTATGAGAAAAATTTTTTTTGATAATGTCAAAAACTAAATGTCAAATATTTTTTAAAGTAAATTTCTGAAAACTGAATGAGGAATGAGAATAAATCTGAAAAAATGAAGAAAATTAGTTGAAGTAAATTCTGAAAATAAGATAAAGTAGGCCTTGAGAGAGTTTAAATTTTTAACTTAAAAATACAATAAATTTCTTTGAATCATTTTTAATTAAAATTATATGTAAAATACAAAAATAAAATATAATTTCAGAAATAAAAATTATTTCAGAAAAAAAATAAAAATTCGTAGAATTAAAAAGTTCTGAACCGCTTTTTTATTTTTTTAATAAATACAAAATTATTTAAATATATCTAAGCTTAAGGTGTGCCAAAATATATTAGGAAATTTAATTTTTAAAATACGTAAAAATGACATATTTCCCTCCATTTAATATTTTTATGATGCTTGACGTAAAATCTTTTTAATGATTTTGTTTTTAATTTTTTCTTAAAATTTTCCCCAAATTTTATTGGATAAAAAATTATCTTTTGTGGGCGATTCCCAAAAATGGCATAAATCCCCCTCTTTGTTTTTTCGCTCATTTATTCTTTAAAACCCTAAAAAGAATCATTACAATATGTGTTCCATTAGAAAATGTCCCTGGAGTAATGCTGATGATGCCAAAGACGTTGGATGGATGATGAGAAGCTGGCATGAAAAAAAAATTTTTTTTCAAAGAAAAAAATAAAGGAATG